TACTCCACACAAGAGCTGCATACAAATCCGAAACAGGTCGACGCGACGGTAAGTTACTACGGCACTAGCGAGATGAAAGACGGCCTCGCCGTTTCAGTAACAAAGTTTTATTGCTTGGCCACATTTTATTTCAAGAGTTCAGAAGCGTTTTCTAGGAAGCTCGTACAATTTATATTGCTCCGTCAATAGATACTTTTTCTCGAAGCTAAGACTTTTACCGCTCATATTAAATCGTTGACCTTTAGCAGAAATAGGCACATTTACATATTCATGCTATCGTCTGTTTGTTTAAGTTTAATCGTTATAATAGGGAATAAAGTATGAAATTGCCGTTTTATTGTAATACGTAATTTGACATACAACCTTTTCATGGTTTTGAGATTTTTGAGTGAAACTTTTTTCAAATGGTACTTAAGAAGTTCTTCTTTTAAAAAACTTGCAACATTCGATTATCGACTTTCAGTTGTTTTTTGATTCAGCTTAGACAAGAAAGATGGATACTTCGAAAATTCGAGTGGTTTTTGAACACGAGTTCCGACGCGGAATTAACGCTACAGAAACAGCTTGCAATATCAATGTTGCGTATGGACAGGGGCCTGCTAATGAACGCACCGTGCGATTTTGGTTTAAACGCTTTCGTGATTGAAATTTTCATTTGAAAAAGGAACCACGTGGTAGACCGCCCACACATGCGAATAATAATGATTTAAAAGAGATGGTTGAAGCTGATCCGAGCCAAACTACCCAGGAATTGGCGGCACGGTTTAACGTTACCTTACCAACAACATTGACTCATTTGCGTCAAATCAATAAAATAAAAAAATTATGAAAAATGGGTGCCTCATGATTTTACTGATCTGCAGAAAGAAACGCATTTTCAAACTTGGGTTTCCTTGTTGAATCGATACAGATATTAAGGAATATTGGATCGAATTGTAACGTGATGAAAAGTGGATTCTTTACGATAACCGTAATCGAAAAATGCAATGGCTGACCCCAGGTCAAATGCCGCAACAGTGTCCTAAAGTAAAGCTCACCAATAAAAAGGTAATGGCAACTGTTTGGTGGTCTCAGCATGGTGTTATTCACTATAGCTGTCTCCGATCTGGTCAAGCAATAACGGCATATGTCTACTATGCCGAACTCCGAACAGTGATAGCAAAACTTGCAGTGAAACAGCCCCGACTCATGAATCGATCTTCACCATTATTGCTCCATGATAACGCGAGACCTCATGCAGCACGAATTCTACAGGAACTGCAATTACAAACCATTCGTCACCCTGCGTATTCGCCAGACCTTGCTCCAACGGACTACCATTGTTGTCGCGATTTGGATAATTTTCTACGCGATAAAAAGTTTTCTTCCCACGAGGCAGTACAAAATGCTTTCACACAGTTTGTAGAATCTAGAATAATCTAGATCAACATCGTTCTATCGCAAAGGCATAAATGACCTTCCTATTAGATGGCAGCAGTGTAGATAATAATGGTAGATATTTTGATTGAATAAATATCTTAAATGAAAAATAAACCAATTTCAATTTTTCAGTACAAATCGGCAATTTCACACTTTAACCCTGATTTTATGTACGTAAAGCAACTTCTTAGACGAAGTGGCTGCTGTATAAGAAGATTGTACACGTATAGGTATTATTAAGAACGATTGTTAACCTATTCATCCGATAATCAAAATAGATACGTCTATTATAACAGCTGACACCTCAAGATCTAAATTAATTTGAAGAAAAAGATACAATAGAAATTAATAATGGAAAATTGGTGAATAAACAGAGAAGAAAACGATACTTAAAATTTTTGGTAACAAAATTGACTGTCTAGAAAATTCGGTACTAAGACGATTATTAAGACGATAGATACGAAGACGACTACGATTTGAAATTCGAAACTAAGCAATTAATTTGTCTATTCATATTTCAATAGCTACTAAACAAAGAAATCTTAATTATGTTGCCTTTGCTTATTTACTCAGAATTGTAAAATTGAGACCTGTTTGTTATTAATCAAAACGGAATGACGAATCCCAGTTTACTACGAGTAATAAGTAATTTTTGTGTAGATTATCAAGGTTTAGTTTGCGTTTTTAGATATTATGTAGATTCCACGTATTATTTTTATAATTAATTGTATTAAATGGAACGTTTTTTCAACGTGATTTTTGTGCTATTGAAGATAACTAACGTCAGTGCCGGATTAAGCAAGCGTGGGGCCCGTAGCAAATTACTTCAAATGCCCTTGATCTACTATGGTTTCTTAAGCATAAAGTGGTAAAAGCAAATCAATAGTCAATACGTTTATTTGCCATCTATAGGTTACAATTTTGTGGGTATTTAGTAAATTACTATAGGCGCTGTTAGGCTCTGACAAGTACAAAAAGACAGAGATGAGATTTTCTGGCTATATAGCAAAATAAAATATTCATCAATTTCTTATTAGGTGGTAGCTAACAGAACTTTATTTTAATTGGCGGATTGTTTGTTACGATACTCGATGGTAATGTCAGGGAATCCCCGGCAAAATTTTCAGTGTTACCAACTTCGATCACGAATCATTTGCATTGGTCGGGTGTCTATTGTAGCGATAAGGGGTAGGATAACTATTATTAGTGTAAAAAAAAACATGCGTGAGATTCTTGCGTCTAGAATTTAAACTTCTTTGGTTCTGGAAATAGTTTATTTTGTGCATTGCTCTTTATGCATTTGATAATGATCTTACTATATTAAGATTACGAAATGGTTATGAAAAATTCCATTGGAGAAAATCTCTCTTAAAGTAATAAAATATATTTTTTAGTCATAACTTCTATAACTCAATATACTTATATTCTAGAAAATAAATTTTTGGTATATGGTTACTAAATTATACTAATAATAATGTAGACTGTTAATCTTACAAATAAATATGTAATTTTAACAACTTAAATCGAGCCATATCAATTCTGCTACACATCCACACTGTGTCGGGTAACGGTGCTTACGTCAGACTTATTGTAGAGCTAATTATCAGGCTGATTGAAATTCTACACGTTTATACAAACAACTTTTTGTTAATAAGTCACTCAAAAAATTAAGCTCGGGCAGCGATGAGTGGGTTTAAATATGCCGGGCGCCCAGTTCGTGCGGGGCCCGTAGCAATTGCTACTCTTGCTATATGGTTAATCCGGCACTGCTAGCGCTGACCTGTCTTCGTTTTCAAGAATGTTTCCTGTAGTACACCCTTTATATTTCACATAATTGTAAACAGACTTGCTTTAACAAAAAACCGACTTCAAATAGAAAAAAAAGAGATATTCCAAAACAAATTAATATACACTAAAAACAATAATAATCGAATTGGTTGTCGTGATATTCAGTTATTGAGTTATTCATATATTTGTCGCGCACATACTTTATGCAAATTTAAGATATATGGTTTTCTCATGGATATCATTATCAGAACTAAACTAAATTGAAATTGGACCACACAGGAAGCGTCAGCTTTCTAATAAAAAAATTTATCAAAATCGATTCACCCAGTCAAAAGTTATGAGGTAACAAACATAAAAAAAATACCGTCGAATTGAGAACCTCCTCCTTTTTTAAGTTGGTTAACAAGGCAAAGCCTGCAGGGCTCACTAATAGTATATAACATTTTACTTTTTTGTTTTTGTTTGTACATAGTCCTTAACTTCTGTTGACTTTCGTCGATTCTACTTATATTTCCAAGCTTGCCCTGACAAAATAAATATATCAGGTCACGGTCAGAGTACGTATTGAGCCGATTTAGTTTTTATATTACATCGTACTTTTAGTGAACCTATTTTAGTCATAAAAGTAGAGGTTGTATTCGGCTAAAGCCTGTGTTCAGGGTTAGACGACGTGTAGTAGCCAATAAAATGTTAAGCCAAGAGAAAGCCTGGTTTAGTTTTAGTGAAGTCGAATCGTTTTAATTTGGTCATAAGGTAAACAAACATCTGTGTTCTGAAACTTTTGGCATCCCAGAATGCATAGGTGCAGGTTTCCTGGCACTTTTGTGACGACTGCTCGCCAAAATACTTTAATTCGACAGTGTTTGAAAAAGACATTAAAGTAAGTTGAAGTATTGTGAGCCTTCTAGTAATTGGCTGGCACAAGCGGCGTGCCCAATTAAAGTCGTATATATTATTGCGAATAGCCGTAATCATGAGCAATGTATGAAAAGTGCTCTGCTGAGAAACATACTTAAGATGTGTGTTGTTTTTATGCATTTTTGGCATTTTGATGCATGTTTTTTTTTTTGCACACGTGTGAACGAGCTCACAGCCCACCTGGTGTTAAGTGGTTACCGGAGCCCATAGACATCTACAACGTAAACGCCGACACCTACATTCCTTTACCGTGGAAGTCAATCGTCAACATTTGCTTAGTACGTATTTCATTAGAAAAATTGGTACCCGCCTGCGGGAGTCAAACACCGGTGCATCACTAGATACGAATGCATCGGATGTCTTATCCTTTTGTTTTTTCCTTTTATCTAGTTATTAACTTACTTGCCTTAATTTTTTTATAAATTAGCTCTTTTATTTTTCTTGGCGACTTTGAGAGTACAGAGACATTAGATACAAAATGATTTGCGAATCATCTTTAATATGTCTAAAAAGATAAATCTAAAGCAAACTAGTTATCGCAGTTTAATTATACTTTTTAAAATTTTCAATGTAGTTATTAATGTTCGTTGCTGACCAACATTAGGTTTGAAGTTTTCTAGAGACATAGGTACCTACACACTGTTGTGTTGTTTTGTAGCATATCTAATACCTTATGTATCCGCTTAATAATTTTCACTTGTAATCAACGATGTCCACTCACGTCATATAATAATTGAATTGTTGTAAGTTAATTAAGCTACTTAATTGAAACAAAAATCAACTATGTATTTATACTATTTATTTTGCAAGCCTCGTTTGAAATAAAACAAAATCTTCACGTCATATAATATTTGAATTGTTGTAAGTTAATTGAAATAAAAATCAACAATGTATTTATGCTATTTATTTTGCAAGCCTCGTTTGGAATAAAACAAAACCTTTATTCTTTATTTGAAAATTATAAAGCATCGCGATAAGCTTAATGTCTTAATTCATCATCTGTTTCAACAGCTTCGCAGCTATGGTACTTAGACGAGGTGTCGGGGCAGCTGTCCGCTACAGACAGGTCGTCTAAAGAAGCCACCTTCGCTTCATGAGCAGCAAGCGGCATCAGCTCTTCATCACCATCGGTATACGTTATTCCTTGAACGCAGTTTCGTTTCAAGGTTTCTGGAGCCTCGACCTCCCGGGTCCAGCAACCTGGTTGACGAGAATAAATATTTTACTGGTGATATGACCTCTTGTGAGTCCGCGCGGGTAGGTACCACCACCCTGTCTATTTCTGCCGTGAAGCAGTAATGCGTTTCGGCTTGAAGGGTAGGGCAGCCGTTGTAACTATACTGAGACCTTAGAACTTATATCTCAAGGTGGGTGGCGCATTTACGTTGTAGATGTCTATGGGCTCCAGTAACCACTTAACACCAGGGAGCTGTGAACTCGTCCATCCATCTAAGCAATAAAAAAAATTAGTTAGTTTTTTTTTCTTGTGGTAAACATTAAATATTTTTTTTTTAGGCATTTTTTTTATTTTGGCAAGTACTCGTGTTTTTCTGTAACATGTATGATTATTTGTTTACTTGGTCTTTTCTCTGGCGGAACGGGCTGTACAGTAGTCGGTGGCGGCGGGTTGCTGACAGAACGCAGTTTCCTCGGACTTCGGGCCAAAGCGTGAGAGATGCTCGGCAGCCTAATGTCTAGATGTGATCCTCTTTCCGTCACAATCTTATTGTTCATAGCATACAGTTTCGTGGTGATGTCCCGTGCTATGAGCGTGGTAACAACGCAGGCTAAGTACGGCTCTTTCACGAATAGATATTCGAGGGAACTCCTTTGCCAGTACACGTAGCGGCATGATGAAGCCGCTACTATAGATACCTGGGGAACAAATGGAAGCCTTTATTTTTATTGCTTACATTGGTGGACGAGCTCACAGCCCACCTGGTGATACTGGTGAGCTATTACTGGAGCCCATAGACATCTACAACGTAAATGCCGCCACCCACCATGAGATATGCGTTCTAAGGTCTGAGTGTAGTTACAACAGCTGCCCCACCCTTCAAACCGAAACGCATTACTGATTCACGGCAGAAATAAGCAGGGCGGTGATACCTACCCGTGCGGAGTCACAAAAGATTCTACCACCAGTTACTATTTACATTTATATATGTTGTTGACAATTAAATACTCCAGTTCGTGTGGTTTGCGTCCGGAATAGACCGACGGCGCTACGTATATAGGCGAGTGAGTTAATCATAACGCCTTACAGCTATACAGTTTATCTACTTCTAATGATATAACCGCGGACCACAGAGGGAAGTTCGGGAAGCGGTAGCAGAACATTTGGTTCTAATACTTGTGTTTTCTAATTAATTCTCAAACAGTTAATATATATTTTTATTGCACTAGATTGAAGAAATGATTCACGTCCCAACTGGTGTTTACTACTGTAGTCCGTAGACATCACAACATAATAGCCGCCTGGGGCGAAGTTCAAAGTATGCGGTTACATGGCTGTCCTGCCATTAGATCTGAACTAAATAATACTAATTGCGGGCTCACAATATGTTCTAATCCTCCCACTTTAAAGTAACTCAATTCTGAATTCGTTGTGAAAATTCGATATTAGGAACAAAAGTAATACGAACAAATGTCGCGACAAATTAATTTCTGTATTAAAAAAACGCAAATTTTTGCATTCAAGTAAATTACATTAAGTTTTCCGAAGCCGTTCATCACAAAGCTCTTTGGCATTACCAACCCCATTCCGTTGACCTAATTGTTGTCTAACATGGCTGTGTAGCAGTTAAAGTAGCTATAAATGGAAGAAACTGGGTTAAATATCGATGAAGTCTAAACCTCCTTGCGAAAAAGGGCGGAACAAGACTTGAAATTATTTCTTTTCGCGGATACAATGTTATGGGCACTTCAATTTTAGTTCGATAGTTGAATTTATTGCATCGTTCTTGCAATTATATCGATTTGAGTTTCAGTACTGTGGGATTCATATGTCAAAGTATTGAGATATTAATTTATTTAAATAGTACTAACGACAGACGTTTACAAACTTTTTTGAATAAGTTAATGTGAACCGTTTTGAATAAAATTGTTATTACAATACCGAATTGTGAATCTGAGCCATTCTCGAATTCACAGGCGCATTTATTTTTTAATCAAAACCGGTCCAACCATTTAGAAGGAGTTCACTAACACACACACGGACAGAAGAATTATATATATTAAGATTAACGATAGCCCACAAATATTTTCGGCGAAGTTCAAGAGCGCGCATCTTTCCCGTGTGGCTGAACCTAAGTTGATTAATGTTATTGGGTAGCCCTTGTTCCACGCAAAAGAGAGTTCCTCCTCAAAGTGTGCGGTGGAATTCAGAATATCTAGTGCCTATGGGCGATTTTCTTTAATATTTTTTTTACATGTACGGGCGAACGCGTCTACAGCTCAACCAATGTTAATTGGTTCCCGGAGCCCATAGATATCACAACGCGAACACCGTCTCAGCTCATATTAGTTATAAAAATTATATTTTTGCGGTTTTTATTTTCATTGCACGATGTTATACCATTATTGTGTATTCGTGAACATCATTTAAGTTCAGATATATTTCATTAGAGATATTGGTACTTGTCTGCGGAATTTGAGAACCGGCACAATAGTTGAAGTAGTAAATTTTATGCGGAAAATCATTAAAACAGTTTTACATGTGCGTTAAAACTCGTAAAAATGATTTTCGTTGTTGAACAGATAAAAAAAATACAAATCTTAGAACTAGCTTTTAGGTCTTAGTAATTCAAATGACATATCTATACACGCGAGCAAAAGTTTGGAATCACTTACTTGAAATTGGTTCCGCGTGATCTTGGTTACTAAATAAGTTTTTAATTATCATAAAAATGACGTCGTTTTAAAGGTTCAATTCTTAACTTTAAATTGATACTAAATTCATTTAAATCGAGCCAGTAGTTAAGGAGCTATCCCTGATTAAGTGAAGGAGGTAGGAAAACAAGGAAATATGGAAAAATAATGAATGAACAAAACAACAAAAATTAACAAGTAAAAGAAATTATTTAGCCTTAAAATTAAGTATCAGTACTTTGTGTTCCCTTCCCTCGCCCTAATAACTGCTCCAAGATGATTCTTCATAGACATGTTCAGCTTCTGAATTGATTCTTGTGGGATACCTTCCCACTCGTAAATCAACGCCGATTTCGGCTCATTCAGACATGAAGGAGTAGGGGCTCCGGAACGAAACTTCCTCTTCGGTTCATTCCACACGTGCTCAATGGGATTCAAGTCAGGACTGAGCGCTGCCCAGTCCAATGTGGCGATACCGACTTCTTCGAGGTATACAGTTGTTACACGGGCAGTGTGACAACGAGCGTTATCGTGCATAAGGAGGAAGTGATCACCGATATATCCAGCATAGGTAAGGACATGTTCCAGCAGAATATTGGAAATGTACCAGTCCGAAGTTAGACCGCCTCCTCGTCCCCCGACAGGCACGAAAACAAGCTCGGTTTTACCATCGAAGGAAATGCCGGCCCACATCATAAAATGGCGCCCCCATAAGCCACTGTTTCAGCGAAACAGCACTGCACAAATTGCTCCCCAGGCCGCCTGTAGACCCAACCTCTTCGGTCGCTACCGTGCAAACACATCCTGCTCTCGTCGGAGAACAGGACTTGCCTCTATTGCTCAACCTCCCAATCAAGATGGGTGCGAGCAAATTAAAGGAGTGCTTGTCGGTGAGCTACCGTGAGTTTCGAGCCTGTGGGAGGCCTTTTTGGAGTCAGATTCGCTAGCTTGAGTCGTCGACAAAGTGTCCACTCGCTGGCTGCTACCCCACGAATATCTCAGAGCTCCTGTTGGACGTCGACACCATGTAAATGCCGATTTCGGAGAGAGGTTGGCACGATAAAACGGTCATCCCTCTCCGATGTGCACCGGCGCCGTCCAGATCTTAGTCTCGGGATAAAGCCACCCGTCTCCTGAAAGCTTACAAGCTTTCGAAACACAGGACTGGCTGAGCCCTTCTTGCAATAGGTCTACGATTTGTGCTGCTTCTGTAGGTGTTGTCTCCATTGTCGTACAAGGTAAAGAATCAAAATTAGCGGAGATGTGTACCGGTCAACGTGTGAAAGTCAACTGATAAAGAAAAACCGATAACAGGTGCTTTTATAGGGGTCAATAGGCCGCAACTCGCGACGTATCAAGCAATTGAAACACGTCTTTTTCGTTATTCCTTCACTTAATCCGGGATAGCTTCTTAAATACTAGCTTGATTTTAATGAATTTAGTATCAATTTAAAGTTAAGAATTGAACCTTTAAAACAATGTCATTTTTATGATTATTAAAAAAAAAATTTGTACACGAGATCGCGCGGAACTAATTTTTCAAGTAAGTGATTCCAAACTTTTGCTCGCGAGTGTATATATTAATATGTGAAGCACAAACTTAGTATCCCTTTTTACGAAAATTGCGTGGACGGAGGAGTGTGAAATTTCCCAGACTTATAGAGAATATAGAATAGGAGTGCAGAATGTTATCTATTTATTTATTTATGTATTAAAAATACATTAAAACAATTAAAAAAAACGTTACACACACTACCATGAATTTGACACACATGAATGCATACCTACTATTTGCTTATTGTCAAACTTGTCTTATTGCTTATAATCTGTGTTCAAATTAAGAATAGGCACTGAAGTATGAAAGAATAGGTTAATATTTGTAGGTTAAATATTGTTTGTCTTTATTAATATTTGTCTAAAGTGTATATAGTCTTGGCGAAGTCTTTGACAATAGAATCGTAATAGTGTACAAACTTATAATTTCAATTAATTATAGTCAAATTTCGACTACCGGGGGACTACTAGTACTATTGAATTTACTAAATTTGAGGAATTGATATATTCATATTTGAGATATTCATATAAATTAAATAGCATTCAATTATTGAGTATCAATTAATTAAGGGTTTTATTTTTTATTGTGTGAATCTTAAAATAAATGTTTGGTCGAAGTAAAAATCGACCCCGTTGCGATTTTATGTTTGAATTTTTTTAGATTTATACATAATTGTTATATTTATAGCATAATTTAGGCAAACGAGTTTAAGATTTTGATAGATCCGTCATTTATAGATATCGATATTGACAGGATTACTCGTACAGGCGTACAGCTAAATATCTTTGAATGAACTGTTTTTCTTTGAGTGAATTTGAAAACGATGAATTTGGTAAAAACATTATGAGTATTCCGAGAATAACTTTGTTTTGCGTGCCAATTATAAGTTTTAAAAGCTCAAAAAAGGTCAGCAAAAGTTTAGCCTTTAGCGAAGCGTTTAAGCAAACAAAAAAAACGAGATAAATTAAAGTATAATTAAAATATAGATAATATGTGTATTATTTTCATTTAATTAAGTATCAAACTCGTCTGATATCCAGAAGAGAAACGATAGTTCCTTGATACTTTTTTATTGTTCGTAAACAAACTTCGGGGTGTTTGCAACTTTATCCACCTGATATATTGATATTAGCTCAACCTTTACACCCTCGTCTAACATTTGTTTAAATAGGCCAGGGGTTTCGCATACTGGGTCGATACCAGATAACCTACCTCCAAGAATAAAGAGACTGTTTACAAAAATACAAAACCTGTTATAATTATTATGGTATAACAACGTTGTAATGGAATTAACCCACTTTTGTGCTTTGCATTCTTTCAGCCATTTATACTGAGATCAGAAGCTTAAGTTAAAAACTATTTTTTTTTAATCGCTTTTGTACTGATAAGTGTATCGAAGCCTTTGCATTGTAATAAGAAAGATGATTCGATCTGTATCGGTCATCTCGTACGTGTGTTTCCGGTACCCTGAGCACTAGAAGTCGTCCTGGCCTAAAGGATAAGACGTCGCTACATCGCTACATACGAATGCACCGGTGTTCGTATCCCGCAGGCGGGTACAAATTTTTCTAATAAAATACATACTTAACAAATGTTGTTTACTTCCATGGTGAAGGAATAACATCGTGTAATAAAAATCAAACCCGCAAAATTATAATTTGCGTAATTACTGGTGATAGGATCTCTTGTGAGTCCGTCTGAAGGGTGGGGTAGCCGTTGTAACTATACTGAGACCTTAGAACTTATTTCTCAAGTTGAGTGGCACATATACGTTGTAGATGTATATGGGCTCCGGTAACCACATAAGACCAGATGGGCTGTGAGCTCGTTCACACATCTAAGCAATAAAAAAAAACTAGAAAAATCTCAGATTGGAGTCGATGTATGTGTAAAGGTATAAATCTTAATTTTTTTTAAATGGGTCCTTTCAATAGCCCTCATTGTTCTTTGCACTTTTTCAGAATCTTATTATTTCATCGCTCGATTATATCGCACTCCTTTAAAACTCAATTAAAACCCAAAAGCAACTTTTTTTTAAATGTAGGTATACATTTTATTTTAATTACCAAACTAAGATTTGCTTCGTAAATACAATAAAAAAAATTATGAAAATATTAATTAACTTGCGACCCGCCCTCGCTTCGCTTCGGAAACATTAAAACACACATGAAACCAAAAATATAAAATAAAAAAAAATTTAAAAAAAGTAGCATATGTTCATCAGGTACAATGTCGGCTTCTAATGGAAAAAGAATTTTTCAAATCGGTCCAGTAAATTCGGAGCCTATTCGAAACAAACAAACAAACAAATCTTTCCTCTTTATAATATTAGTATAGACTAACATATACACCAATGAAAACTTGAACAACTCATATCTAAACGGAACTCACCTTGAATTTTTCATCGATAGTGGCTCGACTCGACTCGAATTCTGGCGAGTCTAGGAACTCGCACGGCAAAATCGGATGGAGGAATTGATGTCCACTCATTACATTTACCTAGAAAATAATTTAACAGGCCATCGATTTTTTCACGTCATTGATTCCTAGATACAATGGATTTTATTACAAAAAAAAAATATATGTAACGCCCTGTACCCGAAGTGCGACTACACCTAGTTCTAGCCGGCTAAAATTAGGTGTAGCCGCACTTCGGCGTTTAAACCTAGGTATAACAGATTTGTTCACGGCTAATATTAGGTGTAGCCGATTTCATTTGGTTAAAACTAGGTATAGTCTTTTTTATGCTGGTTACAACTAGATGTAGCCAATCGTACGTGGTTAAAAGTAGGTTCTATTCTTCGTATTGTTTCTACCTATAATAAAACAAACTAGAATCAAGGAACGTTATTATTTATTTGTAAAAGTAAATATAATAGAAATTTTTATAATAACATAATTCTAATTTTAATAATCTATATAAAACTTCTTGGTAGACTACCTATAGAGGTTTTTTAATCTTGTCTAAGATTCTCGAAAATGTGAATTGTAATACTTTACTTCGTTGGGATCATCATCATGTTATTATGCGTATTTTTATTTTTATTTTTCAACTAATAATTTATCGATACAAAAATATCGATATTTTGGAACAGCTTGCATCCCCTTCATTGGATCAATGATTCTTATCTACCAACAAACGGATGCATTTACGATTTAACTCGTCAATTTATAATGAAACAATATACTTTTTTTAGGTAGGTAATTCGCTGATATTTTTGTTCTTTTTACAACACTAACCCTAGAATGCATTTAAAATATGCTCTTTGAGTTTTTCTCTCGGTATCATAAACGTATTCATGATCATGAAGTCTAAGCGAAACGCTTCCATAAAATTACGAATAGGTGTCGTTCGAAGTCACGTCTACACCATTTAGGTACGTGATCGCGTATCTTCATTGAGGGCATCTGTACGTGAACACGAGGAAAAACTGTTTTAAATCCATCGCTATCTTTACTGGAAAGCACTTTCGTGTGTACCCTAAATGGGTTTTTACGTTTAGTTATGAGTGAAAATAAGAAAACTCACTACTGCATGGGTCGATATGATCTTGTATCGTGACGGACGCGTTAATTTTAAATCGCTAGTCTACAGAAATGTAACAGACCTAAAGCCAAATCGAGTCAATTATTTCTTTTTAAAATACGATTCGATATATTTACTGTCCAGTTATAGCTGTTTCTCAGTTATCATTTTAAAACCTACCAGCCTCCACTCCCTTAGAAACGACCAATCTTCTCAATCGTCAATCTTACCTTCCCTGAAAGCAATAGTCCAAGTCTATCGGTTTTTGTCAAGTTTTGCATCGCGTACGCTTCGCCGGCGTGCAAAGACATAATATGAGCAAAATCCGGCGACACCATCCTCTTGAATTGTAACCTTGAAACCTTGACGAAATGAATATTATTGAAATTATCAAAACATTAATTTGCTTGATAAAAATTAATAAATTTGTTTTTGGTTCACACAGGGTCTAGACGATACTTCCTTTAAATGTAAAAGCTTAGGACTAATATTTTTTAGGGCAAAATCATAATGAACCACTAGAGCTTGTGGACATCAATATGAAATCCGTTGTTCACACTGAGACATATAATGGAACTCCTTAGAGTCCGTGTACTGTTCTTGACTTTATATGACACGTTTTCTAAAAGATACACCAAATTGTTGCAAACATTTTACGATTTTCAATTGGATAATATATATATATATATATATATGTATTTTAAATAAGGTCGTAAAATAAATGCATTTCGAATTACTTCGTCGTTTACGGCATTGGTTAAGGGGAATTCACTTGTTTTACGATCGACACACCCCAGTTTGCAGTCGGTAATATTAAAGTACTCACATAACTACGTGCTTAATCAATTTAAATGTATTTGACTTTCCGTTTACCTACTCTACGTTAATAATTAGTTTGGATATAATATAGTTACGAAAATCATATTGAAAAACAGCAACGGCTTTGGGTAGTTTCCAATCATCAAATAAGTTTTCGTTTGAAGACTTTTAAAACTCTAAAGGCCTATCTATGACTCTAAAGTGATTTTTTTTTTCTTAGATAGGTGGACGAGCTCACAGCCCACCTGATGTTACGTGGTTACTTGAGCCCATACACATCTACAACGTAAATGTGCCACCCACCTTGAGATATAAGTTCTAAGGTCTCAAGTATAGTTACAACGGCTGACCCACCCTTCAAATCAAAACGCATTGCTGCTTCACGGCAGAAATACGCGGGGTGATGGTAGGTACTTACCCGTGCGGACTCACAATGGACATGTCGGATCAATATTTTTAATGATAATGGGAAAGCAACATCGATCTAAACTTACAAAGACTTTGAAACATTCGTAATTCAAAACACAACCTACGTAATTTTGGACTATCTCGTTCGCTTACCTTAAACGGTTCGAATAACGTGTGGAATACTTCTTCGAGTTCCGGATCAAATTTGACGGGTCTCATTTCATAAACCAGATACACGACCTGAGCTAAATTAAGAAACACGAATCCAAAGTTCCACGAGAACGCATCTGGAGAACATATCACGTGCCATGCCCAAATCGAATACAGCATGAAAGCTAAACGGAAAAAACGTAATCATTTAAAGGAATTATTCGACGGTCGGAAACACATGAAAACCTGAATAACAAATATATTTAAGATACAGACTGGAACACTAATCACGGGACCAAATCAAATGGTCAAATTATGTATGTATTTTAAAGCACATAAAAACGTTTAATTAGGAAAAAACAGTAGTGTTAAAAAACACGCTTAATAGGAAACTTTTTCTTCTTTATTAACCTAATATAAAGAGGGTTAGGGTCGAGTTTCCACCAACGTTGAGTTATCGTACTGTCCAGTTAGGCCTTTTGTTTTTTTTTTTACCACAGGAGAAAATCGCCGATCCCCACCCGCACGGCAGGTGGGGTATGTGGGAGTCGAACCTCACTAAAAACTCCTGCCGCTCACAGCCGGCGCCCTACCCCGGACCGGGCGGAAACCTAGTCGGAGCTATTGAGACGGCGGGACAGGGTTTACGCAGAGCACATTACATCTATCCCGCCGTCCCCCAGACGCCGGACCGGCGGCCGCCAGCAACATGACCGCCGGTTCCCTCGGTCGACGGGCCAAGAGCCCGATTGATAGTGCCGCGCTACACCTTCCCCCGGAGCGGTCGGAGGAACGCGACCTACCACGCCGGCCCACGCCTAGGTTCCTCCCCGCACAAAGCGGGTGGAGCCCGAAGCTCTTAGGAGGCCAGGTTACAGACGGGACCCCAGTCCCGACCCCCTGCTCGGCGGCGGCGGGTTTCTGCGTAGTGAGGAGAGCTTTGCCTCACTCGCCCCGCCGCCTCCTTTTGCGAGATGGTGCACTCGCAGAAGTCGAGCATAGCCTTCCAAGACTCGTCGCCGCCAAGCATCGACGCCACGACGCTAGTCCAGTTTGGTCAGGAGGAAATCGCCGGACTTCCGCCCTCCCCTGGGGATGGAAGGCGGGGCATGTCGGAGTCGAACTGACTAAAACCTCCTGTCGCTCAACAACCCGCGTCCGAACCTCGCATGAGACAGAAAGTGAAGCGAAAGTGAAGCGTTTAGTGCGGAGCACATCTCTCCCATCACCCTCCCCCTCGGGACGCCGGACCAGCGAGTTAGGCCTAGGCCTCTTTAAGTGTTCGAGTCATATTTGTTCAACATGTGCCCGGGGGCCGCTCTCTTTTACGCCTTTTTTTCAGGTAGGTCTAGTGCCAGGTGAACGACGTAGTCGCAGTCCTCCACATCACGTGTTCGTACCACTTAAGACGACTCTCTGTGAGTTTTTGAACAATTGGAGCAAGCTTAGAATACGGGGACGTATATATACATGTAATTTATTCGCAACTTAATAGCAAACAGAACTAATATTATGTAATTAACAATACTGTATCTGTATCTTTATCATAACTGTATCTTTTTTTATTATTCATGTTCTTTTATTTTTTAATATATTTTACAATGTTGTGTATTGGTCGGTCTGATGCTGGTGTGCGCGTCACTCCGCAGGTGCCGGCGGAAGATCAGCGCCGCAGTACCGATTGTTTCGTTACTGTTAGGCATTGCTGAGCCGGTAACCGTTTCCAAGCCTCGTTATTTTTGTTATCTTTTTTATTTATTTTTTGTACTTAATTTGTGTTTGGAAAAAATGTTTATTATTATTATTATTAACAATAAACATTTATTATTCAGGTTATTCTGGTCATATTAGGGCAAAGTATGATTGCATCTGAGAACATTTACAGGTTAATCAGTTTTCAGGAGTCATCTTGAAGTTGGTGAAACCATGTTAATATGTAAATAAAGACAAGTCTGTTCTTTTTTGGTATTATGATTTAGGAAACACTTTTCATTATGTTGTTTCAATAGACCGAAATGTGTACGATGTAGGACTGGGGATCGGAGTGAAATAATAAGAATTAATTTTTTTGCTATTTGAAAACAGAACACAAATCAAGGGCTTTATATTCTATTTTAATTTTAAATTGGTCTGTATTGTCATGTTTTATATTTTATACATAATATAATTGGTGGTTCGAGCACCACGCCAACATAATATTTTGTTGATTTTGTCTTACGAATATTTTAAAACTGGCAATTATATCTCATTACGATTTAATATCTTTCATTCAATTTATTTAAACTCAATCTAACGTGATTAGTATTTCCAAGTTGTCAGGATTTCGTCGGGCCACGTGACCGAAGTACTTGAGGAGGCGCTGCATACAGATCGTAGAGACGGGTCTTGACGTTTAGCTCCGAGAGAATTGACACATTAAAAAAACTAATAGTTGTAGGTCACGTGGTAGGAAAGAGAAGTCGAGGAATATTGCCAACCAGGTGGACGGACATTGTCAAGGAGGCCACAAACACCAGCGTCCCAGGTGCCTTTAAGCAGCCCGAATGCAGACAACTTTGGGAAAGCTGGGGCAAAAACTAGACCAAGGTGATCACGATCCTCAGTAATGAGGAAGCGACGAAGGAGAAGAAGAACGTGATTAATGATAGTCTCATTGATTTATTAATTCTGACAATAACCCTGTACCGGGGTATTCGGCTTTGATTCATGGCATGAGTCTTTTTAAGAAATATATCTAGATGTTAGAGAGAACTAGAGTTTACTACTACTGTTTTCAGTTTTTAACAAATTACAGATGAAACTTCGTGCTGTTTTTAATTTAGCCAACTAATAAAGTGGAAGCGCAAGATAAACCTAGTATCAAATAAAACATACCAACAGAATTTTATAATATAAAACAAATAATAACGATCAAAATGACGAACATTAGCAAAATCTACATTATAAGAAAAGGGCGGGAAAAGTGTTATGATATTGGTTAACAAATTGACAGTTGAAATTTATCTGTTTTTTCTTTTCCTACCTATTCTATTAACCTCGAGGGGTTATTCTAGATTCACCGAATTAGTAGATGAGCTCACGGGGCTCAAACCTGACGTCGTTGCTAACATGAACCTTAGCAAGAGCCATGCTTCGCAGAATCTACCACCGGATCGGAACCGCGACCCACTAAGAAGATCCAGCGAGAAACTCAGTGGGCTGTGTCTGTGGGTTAATTTACACGCCGAGCCATTCGTCGCAAGCGATGGGTCCGAAGAGAACGATGACTGGTGCTTGGTGTACCTAAAAGCACCGTTAGTGGATCGGGAGGATCCGAGGTGACGCGTTTTGGCAGGATCGGCTATGTAGTTTCCGGCGGCCACGATGAGAGGGTTCTCGTGTCGTGCCGCTTTAAGAAAATGGAAACATTTATAATTATTATTCTAAAGAATGTGGTAATGTAATAAATTATCTATGGCGCATGTGATGTAAGTAGTATTTGTAGCCTATACTGTATTTCAAATTAAAATTATGCGTAAAACGTCTTAACTTACCAAATATAAGAATTGTGTGCATCCATAATTGACCTTTTTTTGTACTCGGTGCACAGTAAGATGCTACAAACAGCAAATTGGAAAGCTGTACACAAAAAAGACATTTGATTTTGGAACAATTTTAAAAGATCTGAAAATCAACAAGCTTTTACTTACAACTTACCTGAAATAATGGGTGTTGTGGAATCCTCCATAACGGACACCACGGCCAGTACCATGGTCCTATAATTTTAATAAGATTCAACATGATGAGTACCGATTAATTTGAAAATACGCGTACGCGACATTGATCTTTTCGTCTACACACTACTATTTTTCCCAGTATCTTTGTTAGAACTGTCGTCTTGTAAGTAATTATATTTGCCATATAAAGGGATTCTATACCATTCTCCAGCCCAGTCTCCGTTCACCTCGATATATATATCTCGAAGTAGAACGGAGTATTATTTATGATGTTTTACTGATATATTAGATTATATGAATAAAGGGTTCAAGCCAGATGAAACCCCATCTTAGAAGAGAAGCAGTTGACCATTACGTTGTTGTCTGGACGTGTATTGATACAATAGTAGGGGTGGATGGTACTAGGATGTAAATTTACTGAATAATAGCACGAAAAATTAAAAAGTTGCTCCGGGTTCTTCTGTACTCTCATTCTTCTTCACCCTTTTTCAAACATTAGGAGAACGGCGAACTCATTTACGCATCTACATACCTATGCAATAAAAGTCGTCTACTGCTTATTCAAACTCACACGTATGTATCAAAGATAATAAAAATTTTGTTAGTATTTACCTGATGGCATAGTGTAGTTAACCGAACCAAAGTCGTGATAGCTACCATTTTCTACCGGCCAAGAAAAATTCAATTCTCCTATTTCTAGAAAGTCACTTTTTCTCCCTGTGAAACCACCGTGAGACATGTTTCTTGAAATAGGAACTTCAAATAGGAACGCTAAGCTTAAGTTTTTCCGCTTTCTTTTATTTTTGTGCAATGTATAACAATACAGACTAAATAACTACACTGTACAACAGCTGTTTAAATTTCATTATTTTCATCACTAGGAACCAAATCAATATCAGGCAAGCTTATTCTTAAAGTTGAATATATTGCCATCTATCGGAATTATGTAGAATTACGCATCAGTTTGTTGACTATTAAATTAGTTTTTGAAGTAAGTTATGCGAATTTGAGATGAGATGTTGCTTATAGTAAGACCTGCTAAGTTGATTATAATCTTAGAAAAATTATGTCGTTAAATGTCAAAACCATACTTATTTTGCGTCGATAGATAAAAATTGAACCTCACAAATCGAGTCATTAAGTATCTATTTACATGCAATACTAATCAGAAAAATATGATTAATGAGTGAAATTAAATAAGCTAGTATTTTCTTCGGTTTTCGTTGGTTATAAAAACAGAATCAAAAATTACTTTTACGATGCAATCTCTTTTTTTTCCAGAGTGTTCGAATACATTTACTGTTTTTGTGGATACGGACGACAAAATTATGTTTTGTGAAATTTTAACGGTAATTAGATTAGTCGTCCATGGCCATAAAAGTAGTTTTAATTATTTAGCTACATTATATTTTGATGAAGGACCACATTTTTTCTTTGTGTCTTAAGTTAGATTTTTTAAGAATATTCAAAAATGACTTTGTAATATTTATAAGTTCTTGTTTATTCCATTTTAGTTCATTCTAGATTCTAGTTTTCAATTATTACAATTGAAATTTAGAATCGAGGGAAGACTTAATAAAAATTCAACAAGTTGACCTTACTTTTAACTGTGCCGTGACTTTTATTAACAGTTCACAGTTACTTTTACGTTCAAAATTTTATAATACCAAAAAATACTAGTATCAAGGGGGTATCCTCTTCGTTTGATATAATACCAGACGATGCTGCATCACTTATAAATAGCATTTTTTTTGACATTGACATTTGCATTTGTCATATTATCACATCGCGGTCGTGTGTGTGCGTCACTGCAAGTGTGCTGATAAATGTGAATAGGTACTGGGTGCTGAGCAGTAGTACATTTTTCTATAATTTCGTGATAATTCGTTCTGATTAAATAAATGAATATGCGGTAACAGAGTACCTTAAACATTTTTTTCAATAATAAATAGAACATTTTCTAGTTACAAAATTTAAAACTCGTAACTGGGAATGCCTTTTTTCAAAAATGATCCTCTTGCCAATGGTACGTACTATGTAATACACTTGTATAAATAATTATGCTTGTCTTATTCTAAAAAGCTGTGGTCACAATTAGAAAACGTATTTATTACTATCTCAAAATATAGCATTTGTTCTTTATCAAAGTTAACCACTTACTCCAGCACTTCAAGGCAGCTCAGTTTGAAGTCCACATATTTGTGAATGATTAGGTACTTTAATGCATATGATTGTTCAATTGTTCTGCCATTTTTATATTTTATCAAACATAATATATTAAGATAACATTAAAAACAGTGGAATATGTATAATAATAATATTAGCTTAAATCAATTACAGAAATTTATCAGATATTTTATGATGTACATAATTTGGACTTTACTTAATATTCTTAGCTGCATTTATATTTATTAAAGATAATTTTACTCCATGTCATAAGATCATAATTTGTAAGAATTTCAACAGTTCTGAGTAAATGAGTGAGGTGAGAAATGCTATTCAAGAAAAAAAATATCCCAATTAATTTATAAATTTCTTTCAAAAACTTAGTGCTATATTTATTGGGCAAATCAGTATACCAGATTAATACTTGTTTTGTCAGTTATGAATTGTGATTTCATAATTATTGTTTTTAATGGTGCAAAAATGTTTTAAACACCTATGTTAAAAATATATATAAAATTTAATATTTTCAAGTTATAGTATAATATTTACTAGTCTTTTTACATATCTAGTCAATGATATGTTGAACTTTGCAACAATATACCTATTTTAATACCTTCATCATCATCATCATCATTATCATCATCATCATCATCAGCCTATAGCAGTCCACTGCTGGACATAAGCCTCCCCAATTGCTTGCTGCTGAGAATGATCCTCGGCTTCTCTCAACCAGCTCCTGCCTGCCATCCTGCACAGATCTACACTCCACAGAGCCTGAGGGCATCCTGTACTTTGTTTGCCATTCTTATATGTTATTATTATTGTTTGTTTTAATACCTTAATTACTCATTATACTCAGTTAAAAATAATGCACTCATCTATGTCTGGGCCAGAGCGGGGATTTGGGTCTAAGCACATCCACAATTTCCAAGTTTCAGAGAAATAGTCTGCCAAGTTTATCTACAAGTTAATATGTTGATAATAATGCATATCTGGGTATATTAAGTTACTGTCAAAATACATAAGATATAATATTAGTTTTGTCATTTTTACAATCACATTCATCAATATTAAGCAATGGTTCAACATAGCTATTCTAATCTGTTCTATTTTATATCAATAATTAGTTAAATTGAAAACATGAATTTCAATTGAACTGTTGAAATTTCAATGAAGATTGCTGCAATTGATGACTCAATTCCATTGACCCACAATGACAATAATTTTAGTTTACAATGTCTGTTAAGGTGACCATAAAATTGAACAATAAACTATAATACTAAAAAATCTTGTATCTTTTTAGCTAAATGAGTATTTATTGTGATTATGACAGTTGCATGCAGATGCATAATAATGCAATGCGAATAGCATTGGATTATTATTATTCTTAATAATAGGGCTGACAGACTGTGAACTCAGCATTGTTGTGATGCACAAAGATCTGACTGAAAATATTACATTTTTTTCTTCAGAAAAGAAGCACAAACTGGAATATTGTTCTACCTATGTATAGGCCTAACAGAGTCCATAGACATCTCAATGATAATACTATTGTAGATTTTAAGATATAAGATTGAAGTTTCAATTGCTACAGCTGTTGGGATATCAACAGAAAGCTAGTGCCATATGTGTTCTCTGACAGGTTGATGTGAAAGAAGAACTAGGAGGTTGGCATTTACAAAGAAAGTTGTAGTATCTTGAGATGTCTAAGGTATTTGACCAAAGCTAAGGTCCTGCTTAAAGTCATGATGATTAGGATTCCCCGAGCTATAAAATGTAAATAAGAAGATATACTTACACATATATATATCTTCTTCTTTTTCTCCACCTTATCCCACTAGGTGGGGTTGGTATAGCGAATTTTACTACTCCATTCTCTTCTATCAATTTCAACACTCACACTTCTCTCTCTTTCTCATTCACACACTCCATCCATGTTTTCTTCGGTCAGCCTCTTCCCCTTCACCTTGCACTACTACCATTACCATACATCTCCTAGTCACATGCATCTTCTCTCTACGCATCACATATAAATAAATTGAAATTGAGTATCAATCTTAACACTTATCCTTAATCCTAGCCTCAATCAATCTTAACCCTTAATTAATTCTCAGTAGCTTGCTGACACTTACCACTTACCCACCTAGTAATGTAATTGATACATTATTCTTAAATTTAACTTCTGTAAACATGATGTCAGATAGTTTAGTTGTTAAATTTTTATTATGATTTTAGATGAATATGAAGTCATCGGTGAAGCATTTTGGCAGACCCTGGAAATTCCCGGAGAAGAACAAATTTTAAAAATATATGGCTACAAATATTCGAAGATGCATGCCCTCGTTTTCCACTCTATATGTACAGTATTATGTGGAGTCCCATACATTGCATTGCTGTACTACCCAAAGTACAATCGATTCAAATATGTGAAATGCAGTTTAAAATCAGCAGAAAAGATTTGCGGTATGCCTTTTTTGTAATAAAACAGCTTTCACCCATTTAACCTTAATAATTATTGCTATTATATCCTATATAATGCTATATAACCTAAATAATATATGCTTAATATTCTGTTACAGTGACAGATTCAGATGGATTATTTTATTTAGCACAAATAGATGAAATGGATCTCAATCTATCGAATCATAGAGAAAATAAATTGAGATATTTTATTTACCAGCATAATCGTTACATTTGGTTGAGTGATCAAGGTGCCTTTGTTAATGTTCTTGCTCTCAACGAAAAACTAACTATATGTATGTTGATGGAAAATCTAACAGGACTCAACAAGAGACAACAAAATGAATTGTATGTATTCGAAATTTATACTAAATTTATTTCTTGGTCGTATTTTTTTAATTTACATTTTTTATGTTTTAGGCTGAAACTTTATGGTGGTAATAGTGTGGAGGTAAAAGTAATGAGTTACTGGACCATCTTCATCAATGAAGTCTTTAATCCATTCTATTTGTTCCAAGTTTTCTCCATTGTTCTTTGGTCATTGGATGAGTACTATCAATATGCTACTTGTGTGTTCATTTTGTCAACTGCGTCATGTGTAACAGCACTGTGTCAAACAAAACAGGTAATTCAAGTAGTACCATATTCCTCTGAAAAAGGTGACCGTAAACAAAACTGAATTTTCAAAATAAATGTATTTGTTTTATATGCTTTGTGCGCTGTGATTGTCTATTTAATTTCACAGATGAGCATCAAAATTCACAAAATGGCTGGTGGTACTAGTGCTTTTACTGTAACGGTTCTGAGACCAACGCGTTCTGGACGTGAAGAATGCGTGGTGAATGCTAGCAGGCTGGTCCCTGGAGATGTATTAGTGATACCATCTGATGGATGTGTAATGCCTTGTGATGCGGTGATTCTGACGGGTTCTTGTATTGTTAACGAGAGTATGCTAACAGGTTAATAATTTTTTTCTTAATTTTAAATTGTTATTAACCTTTAACTAATGTGAAGTTCAAATAACTTTTCTATAAATTGTATTGTACTTATCTATTTTTCATAATAATTTACAACACCTATGATCGTCTTACATCAAACAGAAATAAAATTTTCATACATAAATAGGATCCTCAGATATATTTCTTATTTACATACAAATAGGAGATCATGATAATAGTCGGTCTGTGAATAATCTAAAAAAAAATTAAGTCCCTGAGGGTTTTCGACCCCAAGAGCCCACCTTGAACGACATCACGTGATGATGTCCATGGGCTCTGTAAACCAACTAGGATCAAAAGGGGCGTGAGCTCGTCTGCCCGTATAAACCATTTCAAACATTGACTCTTCAGCTGTACATATTTGTTTTGCTTAGGTGAAAGTGTACCAGTTATGAAAGGCCCTCCGTGTTTGTCATCTGAAGTGTATTCTACAGAAGTTCATAAACGACATACACTCTATGCTGGCACTCATGTGATACAAACCAGATTTTATGGTAATAACCAGGTCAGTATTGTGCGCGGAATTAACAAATATACTATGATAATCTATATATTGAGATCAATAGAAATAAATACACTACATAATAGTAGTACATTTTAGAAGATTGTAATAAAATTCTAAATTTATCTGGTATTCCGCCAAATAACCAAATTATATAAAATTTTATTACGCTATATTTCTGTATATTAAATTTGTTAATTCGCTCGTCGTTCAAAAGTTACTGTACCGATTTTCGCATAAGTATTAACACACGCCTGAACGAAGTCTCGAAGACTGGTATATATATTTTTATTGCTTAGATTGGTGAACAAGTTCACAGCCTACCTGGTGTTAAGTGGTTACTGGAGCCCATAGACATCTACAACGTAAATGCGCCACCCACCTTGAGATATAAGTTCTAAGGTCTCAAGTATAGTTACAACAGCTGCCCCACCCTTCAAACCGAAACGCATTACTGCTTCACGGCAGAAATAAACAGGGTGGTGGTACCTACCCGCGCGGACTCACAAGAGGTCCTACCACCAGTATAGAATATATATTGGAACTTGCTAAAACCATCGGATTAGATCATATCATTAAAAGCCATATTGTTTTTAATATGAAGCGCATCGGATATAGAGTGAGCTACCAACCTGAGCAAACTTGGCAATCCATAGTTAAATGTTCTCCATAGTTATCTTATACCTTTAAACGAGCAATTCTTGTATATCAATATATATAATCTGTATCTCGGAAACGGCTCCAACGATTTTAATAAAATTTAGTATACAGGGGATTTCGGGGGCGATAAATCGATCTAGCTACGATTTATTTTCAGAAAATGTTGTTTTATTCGTGTTTTCAATAATCAACTTTACTACAATACACAAATTTAAAATTACTTACAAAATATAACTCTTCCCGACATCTATTGGCGAATAATAATAACCGCTTTAAAGACACAACAAGATGGCGTTATAAAAAAATAAAAATAAAAACGAGCAAAGCTCGGTCATCATCTTCATCATCTAATAGAAATTGAAGTAACAACAAATAATATTTCCTTTTAGGTTTTAGCTAAAGTCGTAAGGACCGGATTTTACACAGCTAAAGGAGAGCTTATAAAAAGCATACTGTATCCAAAAGAGGTCAATTTCCAGTTCTACGACGACGCCGTCAGATTCGTAACATTCATGTTCTCCATTGCTGCGCTTGGCATGGCTTACTCCGTCTGGTTATACGTCCTGCGAGGGGTCAGTATGGATACCTTTATTGGTTGATTGGTTTACATTAAATAAAAAAATAAATAATAGTTTTAAAAAACTAAAAAAAAATCGCTTTTATAGGAAATCCAAATAAAAAATACATTTTAATAAAAAATAGTGTAAGAAAAAATGATTTTATTGTAAAAAAACGTGGGGTGGTTTTCAGGATATTATCAAAATAACCCTTCTACTCAAATCTGTCCATGTACCCCACGCTTTGTTTACAATAAAATATTTTTTTCTTATACTATTTTTAATTCAAATTTATTAAAATTTATTTTTTACTTGGATTTTCTATAAAAGCGTATTTCGTTAGTTTTTTTAAACTATTATTTATTTTCCATTTTTAGTGGAATTTCAATTTTTTTTATTATTATTATTTTTAATATTGAATTGTCATCGGTCCTTAATAAGTATACCAAATTTCGAGTTAATCCGACGTTTTGAAGGGGGTCAAAATCATGTTCAAAGATTCCGTTACAAACACACATACGTCTGAAGCTAATAAAAGCGTAAGTAAAAACGATACCCAAATAATTTATTCCGTTTCCAGAGCTCCGTCAGTACGATAATGCTCCGTACATTGGACATTATAACCATAGTGGTACCGCCTGCACTACCCGCGGCCATGACAGCCGGCGTAGTATACAGCCAACGCCGTTTAAGGAAAAACAAAATATTCTGCGTCTCACCGCCGAGGATCGTGATTTGCGGGAAATTACAAGTCATGTGCTTTGATAAGGTAACTAAAAGGAAACATCTGTTTGGAACATGTTTTTATTTTATTTATTTTTTCTCATAATTTTGATATTCCTTCTTTAACAGACTGGTACTTTAACTGAAGACGGCTTAGACTTCTATTCGGTAATTCCTTCGAATGAGGGCGAGAAATTCGGGAAACAAGTGGTGAATGTGACGGGGCTGCCGGCTACGAGTCCTCTACTGCAGGCCCTGGCTTCTTGTCATTCCTTGACCAGCATCCAAGGCGAGCTTAAAGGAGATCCGCTTGACTTGAAAATGTTTGAGTTTACACGATGGGTACGTAACAAATCTGCAATTGTCTATTAATAAAACAGTTTAAAATCAGTAAGTAATTAGATTTCTACATACTCCGACCGGTTCAGATGCGAATATATTTAACATATAATCAAACAAAATTGGTCCATAGTCGACTGCTTAGAAATATGTGGACTTCAAGATCGCCTTGCATGAGACTATCCATGTGCTTATTTACCTACATAAATAGCATTGCAAAACAATTTACTCACCATTCTGTTCATATCTCATAGCATTCTCAACTTAGTCGTATAACCATAACATAGAATATGGTTATTATAACGTCAAAGTGGCTGAACTTTCTAAGCAATACATAAGTAATTTTCTCATATTCAACATAGATTTCAGCTTTTTCTGTCTTCATTATTTAGTCACGCCTTTCGTGAAACCTTATAGAAAAACTGTAGTGATGGGTATGTTCAATTGAAATCTAAGAAATTTGTCGTCTGTAAGACTCTTTCAACAAATTGATCCCCTAAAATAATTAGTGTCTACCCACATAAATTCAATGGTTTTTTCATCGTTAATCATAATACAAGACGATCGATTTTCCACAGGAATATCTGCAATACTGTATTTGTGAGAACGTTAAATATGTTTGGTCATTTTTGGGGAACTTTGACAACTTGCTCGTTGCTACGTTTATACACAATATTTTTTGAGGTGTTATGAAATAAGGTTTTTATATTTTACATTGAATGCTCTTAAATAAGTTGTGCAACCTAGCCTTAGACCGGTCAAGGTATTGAGTAACTATCTATTTCATGTTTAATGCTTAAAACATGCAAGGCCACGTTTACGATAACAATAATAACATAAAGTTTTAATAGACAACGGACAAAAGGTTCTGCATAAACGTTAACATAAAAACGAAACAGATAAATAATAGGTATTTTTCGATGAAGTTGCCATTTTACGATACTGGCCATTTGTAACGTAATTGATGTATGGCTGGCAATCAATTCTAAATTCAAACGAATTTCATTTTAAAATTAAGGAACTCTATTTTCAAATGTAGTCATTTAATTATTGATTAATTTGTTGCTTTCACTACATTTTTATTATTTTCATCAATATGAACACGATAAGAATACCAGTAACTATGAAATACGAATTCCTGCCCGGTAGCTATGCTGCAAAAAGGGCTCACAATATTAATGACGTGTACGGAGGGAACACTACAAAAGAACGCATGACTCGTTATTCCGACATGGAAATTTGGATCTATAAATCGAAGCTCGAGGGCGCCCTAAAATAACGACGAATTTAATGCGATAGTGGACACTGACGATGTTCAATCTACCGCTGAAGTGGCAGCTTTCAACGTTAGCATTAAAACATTTCTTGGTCCATTTTCGTTAAATTGCCAAGGCAAAAAACATGGTAAACGGGTGCCGTATGAATTTAAAAAACCGCCAGAGCAATGAACGCGTTAAGGTATGCCTTGCCTTGCTTAACAGACACAGCAACGAAGGAATTTTTGGGAAAAAAATTATTATTTTTGATAATCGTAAGCGGTCATCATGTTGGTTAAATCCTGATTCAGAACCTAGGCAATGCCTCGAACTAAAACTTGCCCCTAAAAAAGTCAGGGCCGTTTAGTGATCTGGTGCGGTTTTATTTATCACAGCTTCTTACCAAATGGCACCAGCATTTGATTTTAAACTACCGGTCGCCTGTCTCACTTCCACCTTCCTTAGTGCTTGGGACTAGCAATAGACAATAGAGCTGGAAACTTTTGATCAACCAGTTGATGCCAATTCTACATCTGACGAGTAATAAAGATATAGCATTTCCTTTCCATTTCTATTTTATAGCATAAAAAGGTCAATTAACGCACACGAAACTAAAAATCTTATATGCAAAAAGATTTCAAATTGAAACAAGCAATAGTAAAATCACGCATTGATAAGAATAACATGTCAACAGAATTATCAGATAAGTTAACTGAACGTATTTACATAGGCCTTTTTGTGAATGATTCGTCAGATGTTTCGTTGAATTGGTAGTATCTGAACAGGTACTGGAGGAGCCGGGCCCAGAGAACACGCGGTATGACAACCTAACACCGTCTATAGTTAAACCCGTATCGACAACGGAGAGCACACAGAATCTTGACAATTATGACCCTTACACAATGGAAATTCCGTATGAGGTGAGTATAGTATTAGCGGTATGTCTTCAAGCCGTTTAATCGAAATTGTAGGACCAAAGTATTCTAATTTATGCATAGCGATGATGGAACATTAGGGATTCGTTAGTTGGTAACGCGGGGAGAGTTGCCCGGGAATTCACTGCCCGCGATTTAAATGAGTTGCGGGTACTAGAGAAACTCTCGCTGCGATGAGGGTGTAATAGGAAGAAGTCGTAGTGGCCTAAAGGATAAGACGTCCGGGGCATTTTCTATAACTAGCGATCCACCGGTGTTCGAATCTCCCAGGCGGGTACAATTTTTTCTAATGTAATACGTACTTAACAAATGCTCACGATTGACGTCCACGATGAAGGAATAACATCGTGTAATAAAAATCATACCCGCAAAATTATAATTTGCGTAATTACTGGTGGTAGGACCTCCTGTGATTCCGCACGGGTAGGTACCACCACCCTGCCAATTTCTGCCGTGAAGTAATAATGCGTTTCTTTCGATTTAAAGCGTGGGGCAGCCATTGTAACTATACTGAGATCTTAGAACTCATATCTCAAGGTGGGTGGCGGCATTTACGTTGTAGATATCTATGGGCTCCAGTAACCACTTAACACCAGGTGGGTTGTGAGCTCGTCCACACATCAAAGGAATAAAAAAAGGTGATCAATGATAAAGTCTTTGATTCGTAACAGCAACTCTAGTTTGGTTATGATAAATTTCGAAATAACTGTCTAATATATGTGGGTCAATTAAGGACCCAAAAACTGCATTAACGAAAGTTTAAAATTGATTGTCGAGTAACATTATTGATTTTTGTCGACATGTATAATTTATGAGTTTAAAATCGCGAATACGCTTAGTGCAGAGACCACCGAGAAATTGTATTTAGCAACTAATTTAAGGTACCAGGTGCCTTATTGCCTGCTGGTACAGGATATTAACATCCATGAACGACGACAATCTCTGAATTATGAGGACCGTATTTTGATCTACGTAAAATGACAAAAAAAAGAGTTAAAGTTAATTGCCTCAATTTTCTGGCAACAATGTTGATAAAGTATGTGTGGCCCAGTTATAGCTTATTTTTCTGCTGCGTATGTTTTTTAGATCGGTCTTCTAAGGAGGTTCCACTTTTCTTCATCCCAACAATCCATGGGAGTTATCGCCCGAGTGCTTGGACAACCACAAATGGTGTATTTTGTTAAAGGAGCGCCCGAGAAGGTAAATCGATATAATAATAATGTAAATGTGTAAATTTGTATGCTTTTTATAACGCAAAAATGTAACCATTTAACATCAGGGAGGCAGTGAGCTCGTCCTACCATCAAAGCAAAAAAAATATAGTTTCAGGATACCTTTAGGCCTGCTTTATCTTTGTTTTCTAATAGTAGGGCCCAGTTTTGACCTCAAGGCTTGTTCTGAGGTATGTATGTGTCAATATATCTGATTCTGCCTTCAAGCAATTGCATATAAAATTTATATATACCCATTCAAACCTTACACTTAACGAGATGGGCCGTAGTTAATAATATGCACGTGCCTAACAAGATGTTTGTTTAATGTTTGAACAGATCTCCGGCATGTGCGCCCCGGAAACCCTGCCGGAAAACTTCAGCACAGTACTTAACGAATACACATCGAACGGCTTCCGCGTGATCGGTCTCGCTCACAAGAAGCTTGACCGTAAAATGAAATGGGTCGACGCCCAGAGAATCAAAAGAGATACCCTCGAATGCGATATGGTCTTCCTAGGCTTCCTAGTCATGCAAAATAGCCTGAAAACCGAAACTACCCAGATCATAAGGGAGCTACACATGGCCAACATGAGGCTGGTCATGGTCACAGGTCTGTATTTACCCATAATGCCTAATGTGTAATAAACAGTAAAACAAATTGAAATCGTTGAACATACTTGGTATACTTAATATCCATAATGCAATATTTTGTTGATTACCTTCGAAAATAAATACACCCCGGTGTAATCTAAAGGCTACACTTCCAAGTACCATGACACCATGTTTAATTTTTTAATTTGGAGCCAATTATTATTATTTTTTTTTTTTAATGCTTATATGTGTGGACGAGCTCACAGCCCACCTGGTGTTAAGTAGTTACTGGAGCCCATAGACATCTACAACGTAAATGCGCCACACACCTTGAAAATATAATATAATATAATTCAACACATTCATTCGAATTATACGCTGGAGTCGAGGAAGGTAACCCAAACAATTTTTTACTAAGAATTTCTAAGGTCTCAGTATGGTTACAATTGGAAACTCGGTTATTCACTGATTTCTTCAAACTACCCGCGTCCCACGCGCATTCACAGTACTATGACCTTTTTCACCTTTCTTGGAGTGCCAATTATAACTTTAACAAATTCCATTACACACTAATGAATAGCTTAGGAACGCATAGAGGACAAACATATAAACATACGAATTTTTATTAATTTAACATACCATATTTGTACAATGGAGTTTGTTCAATAAAATATTTAAAAAAATACTATACTCGTTATGTGACAAAAAAAAAATTTTTTTTATTGCTTAGATGCATGGTCGACCTCACGGCCCACCTGGTGTTAAGTGGTTACCAGAGCCCATAGACATCCACAACGTAAATGCCGCCACCCACCTTGAGACATGAATTTTAAGTCTCACTTTTAACAGTAAAACGGCTGCTCCGCTCTTCAAACCGAAACGCATTACTGTTTCACAGCAGAAATAGGCAGGGCGGTGGTACCTACCCGTGTGGACTAGGAGTGGGTGATATAAATCGTATATAGATTCAATATCTATATATCGCAGCAATATCGTTGAATCCGATATCGCCCCGCACGAAATCTATATATCGATATCAGCCGATACACGATATTGCTCGATGTGATGCGCATCGCCATATCGGACCGATTCGTGAATCGAAATCTATATTTCGATATCAGCCGATACACGATATTGCTCGATGTGATGCGCATCGGCATATCGTACCGATTCGTTAATATCAGCAATATTCGTTTGGTTCGTATCGAATCGGCCAGAGTGAGTGAGCGCACGATAGGGATATCATGTGATGAATGAAACAGAAACAGGCATTATCCATACAATTGTAAACCTTATATTTAAGTCCATATGTCTGTAGATTATTCTTAGCGTATCAGCAGGATACAATTAAGGAAAGAAGTTTCAACTTTCGACCCTAACTTGAATGCAGTATAGCCTATTTGCATCGTTGAATTTAATTTCACGCGCTTTGACCTTGAACTAGAATTTTTGGACAAGTGTTTATAAATACTTAAAAGTTTTTTGTGTTTGATTTTTAAAGTACACATTTTTCTATTTTTAGTTGAATCCAAATAATTGAGTTTATTTCTTGTGTTTGTATTAAACTTTTGAAATCTACACTCTTTTGGTATATTTTGTAATTTTAAATTAAGACACAAAATACTAAAAACTGAAAATAATGTAGCCAGTCCTAAGCCTGGTAAAAGCATGAAGGAAAGTTTTTTTGATATTTTTATTTTCATGTTCTTTTTATTACTTTAAGATCATATTATAAATTGATATCAGAAAACCAACCGTATAACGTTGACTTAAATATATATCTACTACGATATTATATCAGCGTATCGTTTCAAATCTCAAATATCATGAATCGAGAAAATCTACTAGCATCCATCAATATATAGATTCAGAAAATATATAGATTCAATATCCGATATTGATCCTCGATATATAGATACGATTCGATACGCGGCAAAACCGATATTACCCACTCCTAGTGTGGACTAATTGTTCGGAAAATGAATATCATTTACAATGATACATATTCACCTGAATTATTTTCGATTGCAGGAGATAACATCATGACGGCTATGTCAGTGGCGCGCGGATGCTTCATGGTTCAGCCGCAACAGAAAATAGTGTTGATAACTGCAGTACCACAAGCGAACGATGCTCAACCTCCACTCACCATGGAAGTAAGTACGATCCAGTTCAAAGATAGTTTGCGACCCGTTACAGATGTTTCCAATTCCCACTCTTACTTCCATCATCCATCCAAAATTATTTCCTTCCTCAGCATTTCTTAGTACTAGATATCCCTTCCGCCTAGTAAACCCTTCTGCCTGCGACAGTCCGATGTCTTCATCCTCACGGTACGGCTGCCGTTATTTTTAAATGTAAATGCTCATTATTAAGTATGTTAATCACGTGCGCAAAAAACTTTTTTTCTTAAATAAAAACGTTCCTATCGTAAAAGTTCGCAATGTGTATTTGCTTTGGAACAAAGGTAGATAGTATTGTATTACTTTTTCAGTTATCAGATGCTAAAGCACAATAATGGCATAATATTCTTTTGGAATTTCGTGAAAGCGCACGAGCGTAGAGGAATCGCAGGATATATATGGCTTCTCGGTTTTTCTCATTGAATTGAAATTGAAATTTACCTAGATTCCCTTTATCACAACAACTTTTTATTTATTTATTGCTTAGATGGTTGGACGAGCTCACATCCCGCCTGGTGTTAAGTGGTTACTGGAGCCCATAGACATCTACAACGTAAATGCGCTACCCACCTTAAGATATAAGTTCTAAAGTCTCAAGTATAGTTACAACGGCTGCCCCACCCTTCAAACCGAAACGCATTACTGCTTCACGGCAGAAATAGGCAGGGTGGTGGTACCTACCCGCGCGGACTCACAAGAGGTCCTACCACCAGTAATTACGCAACTAAGTTGGCCTAAAAGCTACGAATGACCGTAAATAAATCGTGAATTCTTTTAAAAATTACAGGTCGTCGGAGAGAGCGGACCACCAAAGCTACCGATGGACTCATATGTCATAGCTTTGGAAGGGAAGACTTGGCAAGCAATACGAACGTACTATCCAGATTTAATGCCGACTGTATTGAAAAAAGGTACAGTAGCAGATTACGTTAGCTTCAGACCACTGAGTTTCTCGCCGGATCTTCTCGGTAGGTCGCGATTTCGGTCCGGTGGTAGATTCTGCGAAGCACCGCTCTTGATAGAACTAGTGTTAGCAAATTCTCTCAGCTTGAGACCGTGAGCTCACCTACTCGTTTTGGCGTTACCAGCAAATAGATAGGGAAAAAAAAAGTTAGCCAAAGGCGTCTCTAGTCCCTCTAGTAAGGGCGCGATCAAAATGGAATAATGTAACAAGTTCATTAAAAATGACCTTAATGCCGCTGCGTCCAAACCTTACACCATAGGTAAAGTCGCTTCTGATGTTAGCTTGCTTTTGGCCTTTGTTTGGTTGCATTTATATATTAACTTTAATATTTAAAATTGAATCAATTAGATGCCTCACTTGGAGATAAGTTATCGATAATCATAAACGACATGTTTTTGTTGTTGTTTAATATTAATGATTTTAATTAAATAGCTAAATGAAATTAATAGTTGTAAATTTTTTATCCTTTTTGAATGTCGAGCCCAACGCTGATTGCAATGTGTGATGTCATATGTGGTTAATTGTTGTATGTTAATAAATCTGTAGTCTGATGCTAATAGATCTCTAAATATAAAAAATCATATCTTTTAATAATACGTAAGCATTAGAAAAATGAGTCATTATTAACTACAAAATAAGTAAACGCTACATCACGTTGGACTTTTTTACATAACAAGTTTTGAAAGATTATGGTTAAAGTAACGCCTTTTTAGGCATATAAATATAGGTAATAACGTTCTATTTAGCAGAGTTGTGTAGTTTGTGCGGCTATTTAGAAGCAGAGCCCGCATTCTTATACATTAAGCAAATTAAAAAAAAATTAAAAGGATAAATTGACTTTTTAATTTATTTAATGGATTTGTATAATGTTCTTTTTTTGTTATAACTTCGACCTCTAGATAACAATTATTGGATAAATTTAGTATTCAAAAAACTGATTAGCAAAAACGGTTCGATACGTTACAATTAACAACAAATCATAAAAAAACTATATAGGTACTACTAGCGGATTCGGCAGACGTTGTGATTATGTGAAAGCATACACATCATTCAAGTCAGTCCGGCCGCTTAGTTGCAGTGTAGATAAATAACCTAGATAACGATTGCAACGCCATTTGTCGGGCTGATTTGTGAATTTAAACCATTCAGGGCGCCACCCAAACACATACAAAAAATATAATTCAAATCGGTCTAGCCGTTTAGGAGGAGTTCAATGACATCGTACAATAGAATCTATATCTATACTAATATATAAATCTACAGTGGTTTTTACGGATGTTCCGTTATAACTACTGAACCATGCATCCGATTGACTTGAAACTTGGTATCCATGTAGAAAATACATGTACTTAATGGATAGGCTAATATTTATATGAGTGTTGGACTCCCTACACCAGTTGCGGGGGCGTTAATGATGAAAATCTTTGTGGGGGTAAGAAATAATAATGTTAATTTTAAATGCCCAGCGAAGCGGACGGGTACAGCTAGTTATGTATATAAAGATATACCAACTTTATGAGGGTAATGTTAAAAAACGTTGCGCGCGCAGGTATGGTGTTCGGTCGCTTCGGTCCGGACCAGAAGACGCAGCTGATAACCGCGCTGCAGGACGAGGAGCTGACGGTGGGCATGTGCGGGGACGGCGCCAACGACTGCGGCGCCCTCAAAGCCGCGCACGTCGGGATATCGCTCTCCGAAGCCGACGCTTCCGGTACGTACTTTTTTTTATTGCATAGATTGGTGGACGAGTTTACAGCCCACATAGTGTTATATAGTTACCGGAGCCCATAGATATCTACAACGTAAATGCCGCCACCCACCTTGATATATGAGTTCTAAGGTTTCAGTATAGTTACAACGGCTGCCCCGACTTTCAAACCGAAACGCATTACTGCTTTACGGCAGAAATAGGCAGGGTGGTGATACCTACCGGTTCGGACTCACAAGAGGTCTTACCACCACCAGTAATTACGCAAATTATAATTTTGCGGGTTTGTTTTATATTACACGATGTTATTCCTTCACCATGGAAGGCAATCGTAAACATTTGTTAAGTACGTATTTGATTAGAAAAATTGGTACCCCGCCTGCTTAATTCGAACACCGTTGCATCGCTAGGTATGAATGCACCGGACGTCTTATCCTTTAGGCCACGACGACTTCACGATTTATTTATAAAAAGCCTTTTCTGGTTATATTCACCTTGTGTAACCTCTACAGTCCTCAGTACTACTAATTAATACCAAGCGGGCTGGTAATGAATTCTTTTGGCAGAGAATAGTTATCGACGCGTGCTGCCCTACACCATACCCTAACGCCAATCTTCAATAATGTAATATAAAAACTAAAAAAACGCGCCTAAATAGCAAACCGAAATACTAACAGTTAATTAAAATTTCAACTTGTGTTGTGTACCATAGAATATATACAATGTACAACATAATATACAATAATAATAATATAAGATAGGTTAATAATTCGATAGAGGTAAACATCATTTATATTTAATAACTCTTGTAGGAAACGTTAAAAAATGCAGAACATACACATTAAGCATAAGTGTAAGCATCAAAAATAAATAATGCTGTATCGTTTTATCATTACATACTTCTATATAGACAGTACCTACTTTGTTTCAGTGGCGGCACCGTTCACTTCTCAAGAGCAAAACATCACATGCGTCAAACTGCTAGTTCTAGAGGGACGTTGTGCACTCAGCACTTCATTCGCAATATTTAAATATATGGCTCTGTATTCGCTGATACAGTTCTTCTCAATTCTTATTCTATACAAGGTATGCATGTCGTTATTTCATTCATTCACCTTACCACCCAATAATGAGATTAACTGTTATACAAGTATAATAAAACTTAGATTTACTGGCAGATCATATACCGTCACCTCGTTAGTCAAGTGGTCAATGACCCTGATTACAATACTATCCTATTTAGTACTGGAGTGGCCAAGGTATTTGCTTCAGAAAGCCCAGTAACAGAAGAAAATATTAGTATGATGCTGTAGGATGACCAACCCTATTTTTGTCAAGTAAAAAATACTCAATGAAACTTGTAACATGAACCATGCCTATCTAACCAAATTTTCCTGGTGGTAAGGCCTCTTGTGAGTCCGCACGGGTAGGTACCACCACCCTGCATATTTCTGCCGTAAAGCAGTAATGCGTTTCGATTTGAAGGGTGGGGCAGCCGTTGTAACTATATTTGAGACCTTAGAACTTATATCTCAAGGTGGGTGGCGCATTTACGTTGTAGATGTCTATGGGCTCCAGTAACCACTTAACACCAGGTGGGCTAAAAAGGGAAAGTGTTCACCGTCTTCTATTGATCTTGGTAGCACCATTCGACCCTGGGCAACAATCAGTTCCTGTACATCGACTTGGTGCTGACGACGCTGCTGGCGCTGTCCCTGGGCCGCGCGTGTCCGGGCCCGCGCCTCACGGCCGCGCTGCCGCCCGTGTCGCTGGTGTCGCCCGTCAGCCTGGCGCAGCTGCTGCTGCAGGTGTTCCTCGTGCTCATGGTCCAGATCTCGGCCATCTACGTGCTCCACGGCCAACCTTGGTAAGAGTTTGTTTGTTTGAACGCGCTAATCTCAGGAACTACTTGTCCGATTTGAAAAATTACAATGCTATTGATATAGATATAGAGGAAAAAGGGTGAATATCTCGAAAGACTACTGATCTCCGAAAAAGTGGAAGGAAAGAGGCCTAGGAGGCGTAGTCCCATGCGCTGGTCTGATCAAATTAAGACGACATGGAATCCAGCATCAATGTCGCTATCCACTGTACATAATCCAAACAAAAATACTCCCTAAAGGTCACGACCTTCAGCACTGAGAAACGCGACGCAAGGAGGAGGAGGATTGATAGAGATAAATAGAAGAGACATAAATTCCCGGTGACGTTTTGTTCGCAGGTTCAAATCCATCGAAGGTGGACCGAACATAGAAAATATAATGTGCTGGGACAACACAGTCATATTCATCACGACCTCGTTTCAGTACTTGATCATGGCCTGTGTTTACGCCAACGGCTGGCCGTTCCGTGACCGCTTTTACGCTAACTGTGAGTCAACATAATCCTTGTCACTATAATATGTACATACTATACTACAAACACATTGTTGTCGATAATACTCTAATGGTACCATGCCGGAAACCTTAACAAATGAAATGCCAATAATAACTTTATAGTTTCATTTCTATCACATAAACGAACGTATAGAATAGGAACAAACAATAAAAAGTAAATTTTACATTATTAGTGAGAATGAGTTACAAATTATTGAAAATTTTAAAACGAATATTTAATTGTGCTTAGCTGTACCCGTTTAAAATGTTTTATGTTTGTTTGTATGCACAAATGTCCTGTTGGTCACACTAACTATGAACAATTTTACTGATCGAAGTCAGCCTCTAAGCAAACTTGCGTTGTACAGAGGTACAGTTCAGAAAATTACTCCAAAACGAAAACAAATTCCATTTAAATCCACTAAAATGTCATAATATCACATGTTGAATGTCAAAACATGATATATGTATATACCATGTCTTAAACCCAGTATCTGCTTCAAAACATTATGTAAAAGTCTCGATCATAATTTTTTTTTATAGCCCTTGAAGGCAGACGAGCATACGGCCCACCTGATGGTGAGTGGTTACCGTCGCCCATGGACTTCAGCAATGCCAGAGGCAGAGCCGAGCCGCTGCCTACCGAAATAGTGCTCTGTGTTCATATCGACGGCGTGCCTGATCCTAAGATCCCGTGATGCAAATACACTTAACATTTCAGATTCGATGGTGCTATCGCTGGTGACGCAAACCTCATTCGTGATACTGCTGTTGATGTGCCCCTGGTCGTGGCTCGCGCATTTCATGGACATCAAAATGTTGGACTCCACAGATCCGGACCAAAAAACTTTCCGTACTTATTTGATGTTGATACCCTTCATACATCTGATCTTGGCTTTTACTATAGAAGTGAGTATACATTTTATTAGTCTATTGGTAATTCGATTTTAAATTTCCGTAAACGTGTTTGAAAAGCATTCTTTGTAACATAATATTATTTTAAATCCCAAGAAACAAATACTGCTAAAATTTTCTAACCTAAACTACCTTAATGATGTTAACCATCTTGAATTGGAAAAGCACCTTTCGCTACATATTATCTATACTTTTATACTATCTATATTAATATATAAATCTACAGTGGTTTTTACGGATGTTCCGTTATAACTACTGAACCATGCATCCGATTGACTTGAAACTTGGTATCCATCTAGAAAATACATGTACTTAATGGATAGGAAAAATATTTATATGAGTGTTGGACTCCCTAAAAATAATGACAATAAATAATAATGTTAATTTTAAATGCCTAGCGAAGCGGGCGAGTACTGCTAGTTATTTATAATCCTACGAAACAGATGGTGCCAAAATTTTCTAACCTAATTAATTATCGTGTTACAGATGACGTTGTCGAATTCAGAAAAATTCTCGAAGCTGTCTAAGTTGATCCGGAGACGGTGCCGGGACAAGGAGGACGCGTCAGTGGAGGGCGCGTGTCCGCTGTGGGCGCCGCCCGCGCACGTGTGCTGACTGGCGCCGCACGCGCCGACCGCCTGCCCCGGACTCGTCCGCAGCTAGCACCCGGCGCGCCCGCCCTCGCGCGGTCCACAACGCGTTAAAGGCAGATCTACACAGAGTCAGCTACTGACTCTAATTAAATATTTCCACTATACATATTAGAAGAGCGTCAGCGTTAATTAGTCCAGTCATTTTAGGCCAAATTAAGTGAATATCTCGTCAAATCGACGTACCACGTAATAGTACATTGTGCACCAAGGAAGAAAAATAGGACATTTCCTCCCGCGTGTAAAATTGGCTAACTAGCGGGATGGGATGTCCTACTTTTTTCCCGCGGTGCACATACAATTTTTTCTCCTACCAGGCCGAAAGTTCGTGGAGTACCTAGCATACTCGTAAAAAAACAATTTCAATTTTTTTATTTTTAAATAAACTACTACTAATTGAATAAGAACTGTCTGATAAACTCATTATTGTTTAATACTTCACTATTAAATTTTATTGCCTTTTGTTCATTTCACTTTTACACTAAACACAATATTGCAAATTACCCGAGCACAACAATGGCGGAGAATTATAGGTGCGTGAGAGCAGACGTAGACACTAACGGGCATGCGCACTTGTCAGTACCCAGGGAGGAAGAGTTACACTTTCTTCCCTGTACAGTGGGAGGAAAACCGAACTTTCGGCTTAGGTAGCAGAAAAAATATATTACCACGTATAAACTTGTATTTTGGCATTCTCAAAATTCACATATGATAATAGTAGCAAGTTTTAAAATCAGGGTTCAAAGGTCACAAACGTTGAGTTCAAGGTAAAAATAAATATTAAACAGAAAAGTTGTGGAGAATTTAATTCTCTGCAGTATTGATAATGAATTGCATAAAACCCATAGAAACCGAGATATTTGCAAAAAATGTAAAAATAATCGATTTTTGTGACCTTTGACCCCTGACTTTAAAACTTGCTACCATCCAATTATATATGAATTTTTAAGAATAGTTTTAGGATGCCAAAATACAAGTTTTAATTTGTGGTAATATACTGGGTATGTCGATTTTCCGAGATCAACCCCCTATGATGACTGGACTAACTGACAACACGAGACGCCGAATGTGAATATTGTCGGATCTCGAACCCAGCGCTGACGCCTGTAACTGACTCCGTGTAAATCTGCCATAACTAGTAATGTATCATGGAATTCAGTTCTCAATAATTTGTAGTCAATGATGGCGTCGATCCGGCGTCCGTATTAATCTAATTCATAGGATAACGTATATTTAATAAGATGAAATGTTAAATTCATTCCTAGGAGCGTTATTTCGAGGTCGTAAGCGTGACCTATCACAAAACTAGAGTTACCTATGGGTGTCGTGTGTACATGTGAAATACTTAGACGGTATTGTGTATACTTTATCTTAAAATGAGTACTTACACGTTTCGTTGTACTATTTATTTTTTAATCTGTATTTCGGTTGTTTCTATTTTTATTTATTTCTTCGTGTATTTTTTTTACGTTTTGGTGCTTAATAATTTATTTATTTCGTACTGTGATAAAAATAATGCCAATTTATTGAAAATCGATATTTCGATACCTCACTTACCCTTTAGTTACAATACTATTGCTTAATTAATAAAGCAGTAGTTACTTTTTTCTTTTTCTCTACTCATTCGCTGGCTCACGGGGTCAACTTTAGAGAATTTGTTAACACTGCCCCTAGCAAGAGTAGTACTACGCAGAATCTACCACCGGATCAGAATCACGACCCACTGAGACGATCCGGCGAGCGATTCAGTGGATTAATAGTTACTTAAGATAGCTACATTGAAGGTCGAATTTCAAAAAAACGGCCCAAGCAATGTATTTATTTGCCTTTCTTAATAAATTGTACTTACACTTAATGAATCGTACTCCGTACTTATTAAATACTAAATTGAATTGTTAAAAACATGAAACTAAAGAAAAAAAAAAACTACATAGGTTTCGTACTTAATGCAATGAAATTTTACAAGTTTTTATAAACCGTAATGATTCCCAACAATTTAACTTTAGCTACATCGGTCAATATTTTTATTTTTCCTAAACATATCCTAAATGATTCTCGGATTATCACATTAATGTTAATGGTTAGTTAGTGTCTTTATTATTGATAATTGTTTAGGTTCTGAGTTGTATTTCTTTGTTCCTTTCTCTTATGTATGTATGCTTGCGTTACCCATAGCCCATAACGCAGGTAAATCTTGAATCTGCTAATTTGTATTGATCAATTATATAATCTGAGAATCCTTTACTTTGTAAAATCATTACATCATACTAACCGTGTCTTCTAAATCTTTGCAAACTTTTCACTGACGCTTTCTTCTGTTTTATTTCGAATATGGCGAATTAAAAAAGAAACCTCAATTTATTTTAATAAATTTTTATTATTAAAATTTACATAAAACGTTCACTACTACTAATTTACATTAAAATTTATTCTTGCCTGTCAACACTTAATTAATATAATGTAAGGCCTTGTCCTACGTGAGCGACAAACCGAAGCGATACAGTTTGACCGATGTTTGAAAAATAATCTATTGAATATTTTTCAATAGATTTATACTTAATAAAATTATTTTTTATTAAATATACAGTATAGGGAATTTTTACTGATTGAATAAGATTTATGAGGGATATTAGGATAGTAAGAAGTCTTTGTTCATTTGTGACAATAGGTCGAAACATGTGACACAAAAATCACGTGTTTTATCGAAATTAGTCGCACTGCGTAGCATCGCTATTGTTCGCTTTCCACCGCCCACCTAGGACAACAGGTAAACCATCTTGTGCGTGATTTACGTTATTTTCGTAATTAATAATATCTTAGTGCCAAACATAAGGTAAAGTGCATGTAATAATTTCGAATAAACAGTGCTATTTAGAGAGATTCGTTCAATAGATGAAATTCTATAAGCACTTAAGCGACTGTTAGCGGATCGATCGTAATAATACGATGGTCCCTTTTAATCATTTTAAATCAATAAATCTTCGATATCATTCGATTGTAAACGATTGCATTAAAATCGATTTTCCGTCATAATCGCTCGTCACTATTTAAACCATGTGCGGAATTCGTACTTTAAACAATTTCGAAATACTATTTAAACGAATCCTTATTTATTAACACCTGAAAAGTACGTACCGCCAATAATTCAATTATAAACGTAATATTAATGTGTATACAACAGTTTTAATATTTTAATGAACTGGGTAGATTTTTCACGTAAAACAATTCGAATTATGAGTCGAAGTTAACGAACGTATTATTTAGCCAAAGTTGAAATTAGAACGAATGAATGATGTAGGTAGAATATTGTAGAAGATTGATAGTTTAATTACGTTAAATTAATTGCTACCGTTCGGTCGGTTGTCAATAAAACTGAAGGTAAAGTTTAGAACGAACACCCCGACAAGGTGATAAAATATGTATGTATTAAAAAAATAGATTACATCATGTAAGCATTAAGTCCTAGTTAGTTTAATTTATTGGTTTCTGATGATCTAGTTGAGCAATTTACGAGTCAAACTTCGTAATGAAATAATAACTCAATTGTTAATCGATACCAATATACATATTACATGTAATTGTTTGAAAGAGGTCCAAACTTTTATTGACAGATTATGATTTGAAAAAAAATAATATGTTATCATAGTAAATTGTTGCATTTTCGTGTTTATTTCCTTTTTTGTTTTTTTTTTTTTTGTAACATTTAATTTTCGAATGTTTGTTGACTATTTTTACGTCGTTTATTACGATAATGCAGTTCAATGTAATCTTGTCGCGAGATTTAGATGAATGTGTTGTGTGACCAAGAGAAATCGAATAAAATAATATTAATATAATTGAATTTTTATTATTAATTCAGGTAATTCCATGTCGATAAGAGTCATATTATTTATCACTAATTTAAAAGCAGGAGGAACTGTGGCAAAGACTCACATGCCAACTACAATACTTGACCTGTTTGGTTGATATGGCGGAAGCTAGCTTATAATCAGTTCATAGGGTGCAATGCGTCGGAATCGCGACCTGCTGAGAAGATCCAGAGAATTAAATATTTCAATTTAAACAAAGAAGAAAATGTCATCTATAATTATTAGTATTTTCATCGGTAATTAAAAATACCTGTAAAAGTCTTTAACCTCGCGTATTGTATTATTGACCATGTTCCGAATACTTTTTAAAAATCTCACCAAATTAAATTACCAAGACAATAATTTTACAAATTATTTTCAAACTAACCGAAAAGTTCATATCTGACAGCGGACTTTAAGTACGTCTTTTATCATTTAGTAGTCGTGCAGATGATGCATTCTGATAAGTGTCAATAGATCAAATGTGACGAACCAAAAATAAAAATATATAATAAATTAAAATCTTAATAAATTAAGTATTTTTTTTTAAATTTTGTCTGTATACATATATAGACAAGATTGTGTGACATGTTACGGCAAATACGTTGTGTAACCCGGTGGAGGAGAATACTGCGGCGGCATGGAATCCTTTGTACGAACAAGAATCGGGCGTACGCTTCCGGGTATAGGCGGTTCTTTCCACCTATAAATGTTAATTTTAATTGGTAAGTTTGGGAAGGTCGATGTGACTCAATTCGATTTGGGTAATCTATATATAACTAGGGCAAAGACAAAACAGTTACGTTTAAATGACTCGGCGGTGCAGTATTTAACATCCCGGACCGGCCGAGGGTCGTAGGCTCGATTTTTTTCATGGGGCAAACGGCCGTCTGGTGTAGTGGTAAGTGACACGGTCACTACACAAGGGGGTCGCGGGTTCGAATCCCGCCAAGGAAAGATATTTGTATGATAAATATAAATATCTTTTCCAGGGTTATGGATGTATATTAAATATATGTACGTGTATAATAAAAATCTTACATTTATTTCCGTTATCTGGTACCTGTAACACAAGTTCTTTACGAACTCAGCACGGGACCAGTTAACGTGGCGTGATTGTTATTAAATATTTATTTATTTATTTATTATTTATTTATTTATTCGTGTATATAACAAATTCGTTTGCTCTTTGTGAATATATTTATAAACCATGAATATGAATTTTGAATTCGTGAACCCGCAATATGGCGGACACTCCCTCCCCCCGTCACGTGAGACCATTGACCCCGTCCATCTACTGAAATTCAGCTATATGACGGTGTTTTTCGAAAATTAAAATCTCTTACCAAGGTATCAAACTAAGATTGTGTGGCGGTTTCGGCTGCGCTAGTCTTTCGGCTCGTTCTCTCCGCAGCTGGTCGGCGTCACGTACCGCTGCGCAACACGCCCTTAGCGTGAAGTAGTACAGCAACTCGACCCCGGACAACAGCGAGAAACCGAGGAACAAACCAGCGATCCCCCCGAAAGATACTAAAATTTTCGCATTATTAGTTTACATAGGTTTTTTTTTCGTACAAAGACTTATTAAAGGTCGAATGCCAGTTATACAATAAATATTTGTCATGCAAGTGTAGTGTTCGCTCACGGGGCCCGTACACACGTTCACTCCCTCCATGTCAACCAACCCAGTTTCTGCAGCATAGCCGTCATGGCACAGTGGTATGTGAGGAATGTAGATTTTCAAGGCCATCTAAATCTAGTACCTACAGATACGTAAGTATCTTATAGAAGCTTCAGAATGCTACTTCGACAAATCGGCGCGACAGGAAAACCGCACTTGTGGCCGCCGCTAATTATTTATCCGACCGCGACGGGGTAACGCAAATCCGCCGTCGCCCGAAATATGTCTTGTCAGATCTCCGGATTCACTCTCGGTGCTTTTAAGTCCCTCAAGCACTGGTTACCGTCCTCGTCGCACGTCGAAAGAGTTCAACGAGCGCACTAACCCATAGATAAAGCCCACTGATTTTCTCGGTGGATCTTTTCAGTGAGTCGCAAATCCGATCCGGTGGTAGATTCTGCGAAGCACTGCTCTTTCTAGGGCTAGTGTTAGGAAATTCTCTCAGCTCCCTTACCCGTCCGGACGTAGCTGGAATAGCCTCTTAGACTACCAGCGAATAGCTACACACTTTAAAAAGACATACCTAAAAGGTCCACCCATCCAAAGAGTACTTCGCGCTTATAGCGCACCATCGGCCACGATACAAATTCCGTCTCCAAAGAATTGCTTTCGCCCCCTCTCGTAGCACTATTGCACACATAATAAAGAATAATTAATAATAACTAAGTATTTCATAGTTCCCATGCATACCAAAGACCGTTGAGGACTTATTCCAGAAATTGAAAAAGGTATTTTCCTTCAACGAAAACAATAGAGTTAAGTATCTACCATTTTCTCGTCAGTTGTTAATAGATTTTCTCTTATTTGTTTTTTAGTATCGATTGATGATGTACGTTTTCAATACAAAAATATTAATAATAACACATAAAAGTAAATGTAAGCTCTAATATGATTTTGAATTCTGAACCGTTAATAATTGTGACCGAACCATTGGGCAAATGCTCTTAACTAATTTATCGATGTCACTTACTCAGTTTCAGATAATTTTTCAACTTCGTAAACGGTGTGGGAACAGCCCAGCTCACATGAGCATTTAGTCACATCTGTAATAGCGCTTGCGTGTTTCGCTATGCATTCCAGCTCCCGCAATGTACATTGCTTGTATCCCTCTGAAAGAACAGGATTCTGTTTTCTATGCGCAACAAAACGCAATTAAACCCGAGTCTTACTCGTGGTTGTGTGTCTGCACGGGTAGGCACCATCGTCCTACCCATTTTTGACGCGAAGCAGCGTGACTGCTGCATTCCGGTTTCTTTAGATGAAGCAGTTATAAACTAACGAAGGCTTCAACCTCTTGACCCTAGATAGATTCACGTTACGATATGATCTCCGGTAACTACCTAGATAACACAAGGTGAGTCGTGACCTCGTCGAATTGCCTAGAAAGTTTAAAAGCTAAGAATCGAGTTAATTCACTTTTTGATTATATTTCATTGCTCAGATGGGTGTGTTAAGTGGTCGTCGGAACCCATTTGCGTGAACAATGCCAATGCCGCCACCCACCTTGAAACACGGGTTCTAAATCTCAGTTTTATAGTGCAACGGTTGCCCAACCCTTCAAACTGAAACGCATTACTCCTTTATCACAGATACAGGCAGGGTGTACCTACACGTGCGGCCTCACAAGACTCTACTAACAGTGTTTTTTTTTAAAACTAAGAACGTTTATAACTTATTACCAAACTCACTTATAGTTGGATAGAAATGAGGCACGCATTTACAAAACGAACGACTTCTTCGCATACGACATTGTCTCATGCAAGCTGAATAGGTGTAGATATTCGATGTATCCAGGTGCAATTCATCAGCGAATACGCAACGCCTTTGACGGATTGACAATTGGCGAGCATCATCAGTTGTATAGGTATGCTTGACGGAAAATGAAACCTTTTCGACGCGATAATCCCATGAGTGCTGAGCGCTTTGTTCTAAACCAGCCATTTCTTCAGTCGAATGTATATAGATCTGTTAGATAAATTACTAACTAAAATAAATGAAATCAATAGACGAAAATAAACAACATGAAAGTAATTTTGCGTTGTACGTACGTCGAACGTCGTATTTTTGCGGTCCGAATTAAACATAAATGACCATTTTGCGTCAGTTTCGTGAATAAATGCCTCTATAAACTGTTCTTGTTGTGTTTGCGACTGCCTGTGAACATTTTTGAATTATGATATTCATTCTACATAGGTTTATTGCTTAGATGGGTGATCAAGCTCATGGCCCACTCAGTTTTAAGTCACCACCAGAGCCCATAGACATCACAACCTAAATTTTTTTTTTATTGCTTAGATGTGTGGACGAGCTCACAGCCCACCTGGTGTTAAGTGGTTACTGGAGCCCATAGACATCTACAGCGTAAATGCGCCACACACCTTGAGATATAGTTCTAAGGTCTCAGTATTGTTACAACGGCTGCCCCACCGTTTAAACCAAAACGCATTACTGCTTCACGGCAGAAATAGGCGGGGCGGTGGTACCCACCCGTGCGGGCTCACAAGAGGTCCTACCACCAGTAATTACGCAAATTATAATTTTGCGGGTTTGATTTTTATTCCACGATGTTATTCCTTCACCGTGGAAGTCAATCGTGAGCATTTGTTAAGTACGTATTTCATTAGAAAAATTGGTAGGTACCCGCCTGCGGGATTCTAACACCGGTGCATCGCTCGATACGAATGCACCGGACGTCTTATCCTTTAGGCCACGACGACTTCGAATGCCGCTATTCTTCTTGAGAATGTTTTAATCGTATAGTAATAAGGAAAATTATATGTTTTATTCGTCTAATTTTTATTAGGCAATGCTATTCCTTTATCGCGGAAATCATTCGTGAACATGTGTTAAGAATATTTGTATTTCATTTCATTTAGATACCGGTCCGCGAATTTGAACACCGGCATAGTTGCATCGCTCAGTACCTATAAGTACAGTAGGCGTAATATCCTTTAGGCCACGAAGACTTCAAATTGGTAAAATATACTCTTTAATTAGTTCGTAAATAAAATCACTTCATTTATACATTACCAAGGCCAAATTTTCTCCGCGTGTCTTGAATTAAAAGCATAACAAAAGCCCATTTCCGTGAATACAGGTATGAGCAAATCGCAACACTCTTCGGAGTCCCCTTTCCACTCGCAGTCGTAGAACAATGTTTCGCAATGTCGCACAACCTGAAGACATCCATTAAATATGTAGGTAGGAACTATAAGTGTGGTCAAGGTCAAAAGGCGACGTCTCTATGGTTCAAGTACCTAGACTAAGTCGCATTTGTTTCTTCTTCACTTACTTTAAATACGGCTTCTTTCGAATCTCTAGCGGGCTCCGGCACATTGTTTTCATTTTCGCCTACAAGTCCCGGCTCCGCTAAGTATTCAGCGGCATGTTCTGCTATAGAACTATAGCTCAATGTGGCCAGCCATTGCATCATTTCGGCAGCTCGTTCCGGAGGATCGGAGCCCCAAACACTGGAAATTAGCAGAATAAACGTGCGAGTCAAAATACGCGTCTTTTGCGATACGTACTTAGGTACCTCACATAAAATCTTACTGGTGTTGGGACCTCTTGTGAGTCCGCACGGGTAGGTACCACCACCCCGCCTATTTCTGCCGTGAAACAATAATGCATTTCGGTTTGAAGGGTGGGGCAACCGTTGTAACTATACTTGAGACCTTAGAACTTTTATCTCAAGGTGGGTGGCGCGTTTACGTTGTAGATGTCTATGGGCTCCAGTAACCACTTAACACCAGGTGGGCTGTGAGCTCATCCACCCATCTAAGCAATAAAAAAAAACCTCATTTCCTATCGGTTATTTCTAACAGTGTACATTTTACCTTTCGATATACTCTTGCAGTAATTCATCATCGACAGGACTAGCATCACATATTGTCACAGCCGGAAAAGGAACATCCCAATTGTGAAAATCCGTATCGAGACCTGAAAATACAATTTCCTAATTCACTTTTAATGTCCATTAAATACTATTGAGCTACGACAAAAACAAAGTTTTACCTGTAATCGTTGGATTGGTTTGAAACTTTTCCCATAAGCTTACGATAATAATACAAGTCGTTACTGCTCCTATGGCAGTAAAACTGAACCACATAAACCTACAAAAAAATCAATCAGAATCAACTTCTAAAAAGTAGTTATAGAAAAAACGGTAAATTAATTTAATACGTCCACATACTTTTCACAAAACGGTCTGTCTTTTTCTGCGATATATCTAACCCCGTGTAGTGTTGAATTATTGAAGAATTCAGTTGTTTGATGTCGCAGACTAGCAGCAAACAGTGATATGCCGTTGACCTCCTCGTTTCTCTCAATTTTTCTATTACTTTTACGCCCATGTTTTACTTTATTCTCTGGATAAACTTTCATATCGTTTCACATTTTCAAAATAAATCATCGACTAATGTAGTAAAATTACGGAGCGTTGGCGTGGTCGCTTCAGCATTACTACACATCACGCTACTGAGATTGTATCACAACGATCGATTACTCATAGCGTGATTGTTGAATGTCCTATATCATAATTGACACAAATAACGCAATAATATTTTTATTATTTGTACGTTTTAAGGGTTCCGTTTTATGAAACGTTTTTATTTACATTATTGAACATTATACATTTTTAATATTAATGCGTAGAACACATCGATATGTTCATGTAATACTTGGTTTTTTGTTTTGGATCTTATCGAAGTTTATTATTCACCTATAAGGATAGTGTTACTTGGGCTTTAGCAGGCCCTTTGAAGTTTGAACTGCTTGCGATTTGATTCGAGCGAACGTTTGTTCTACAGGTTCGCCTCAATAATGGTTTCTATAAATATAAAGGAAAATTACTGGTGGTAGGACCTCTTATTAGTCCGCATGGGTAGGTACCACTCACGGAATAGATAAATAAGGTTGGAAAGGCCTTTGCTCTAATTTTGTATTAGAACCAGTGTCGCCGCTTCATCCCCACTATTTTAATTTCTACACATACACACACTGTGATTACAAGTATTTCGCACACAACAAAAACACCCACACATAAATCTCAGGACAGATATTCGTTCGCAAACTAGCACAAAACACCCGTAGGCATACGCANGAAAAAAAAAAAAAAAAAAAAAAAAAACGCCTACATTACCATTCCAACCTTATTTATCTATTCCGTGGTACCACCACCTCACCTATTCCGGCCGTGACGCAGTAATGCGTTTCGGTTTGAAGGGCGGGACAGCCGTTGTAACTATACTGAGACCTTAGAACTGATATCTCAAGGTGGGTATTTACGTCGTAGATGTCTATGGACTTCGGTAACCACTTAACACCAGGTGGGCTGTGAGCTCGTCCACCCATCTAATCAATAATAAAAAAAAATGTACGCAATGTTACTGGAATGAACGAATGAATTGAAAAAGGTTCAATTTGATGCCCAGATATTGTCAATTCTTTTTTAAATAATAAGTTTACAATAGCAGAATATAAAAATACTCGGAAATAATAGGAAGTAGTAATTGCACCACAAGGCCGAAGTTGTATCTGATGTTTACCTACTTACGGTCGATAAATATTGAATCTCGTTTTCTCATAGGCAGGTTTTAATTAATTTATGTACAGAACCAACGCAATACATACCAACGCATTCTAGGTTCATTTATGTGAAACAAATCGCATTAATAAAGTTGCCTTAGTTTCATCGTGATAACTTTTTAGTAAATTCATTCACCATTAATATTTTTTAATCATTAATGATTGGTGTAGATGTATGCTTGGTATAATGATATAATAATACTATGAACTTAGTTTGTATGAATGTATTATGTATATTTGTTTAAAATCCTCGGAAATTATTGCAACAATTACAATGCTTTTATCCAACTAAGTTTCTCGCCGGAACTTCTCAATGGGTCGCGATTCTGATCCGGTAGTAGATTCTAAAAGCACTGCTCTCGCTAGGACTAGTGTTAGTAAATTCTCTCAAGTTTAGCTCGTGAGCTCACCTAGCTTTATGGGCGTAGCTGGAATAGCCCATTAGACTAGACTAGCGAATAGGTAAGGATAGAAAAAAAGAGCTTTTAAGAATAAAAAAACGAACTTCAGCAACACTTTTTATTGAAACACCATTTAAAAGCCTTTGAACAAGAATTTATTAATAATAATTAAAATGCAGTCATGCTATATATTTTCTTTTTTGAAGTCGATTCCTCGTCCGCTTTCGCATCATCTGGCAGTAATGGCTCCAATTGGATGTTCAGATCCCTTATAGCATCATCTAGGATTTTTATTTTACCCAATAATTTTTCCGCTTGCAAGTTATAACCGGGCTCCAACATTTTCCCTGTGGGGTTCTGTTTAAAAAGATATTCGGCCTGCAATATTTTAATAGCCAATGAATCTATTATTGATCAGTAAAAATACTAGGTATATGTTTGATTAATTGGATTAATACATACGAGAAAATCTATTGGATCGTTCGGGCGAAGTTTGGCAACTTCTAATAACCCTTTTGTAAGAGTAGGAAATATGTATTGTACTAAATAATTCCTCATCGGTTCACTGGCAGCAGCTAGAGCGGCTTCTTCCTCTTCACGCAGCAAAGCGTACAGTTCGGACTAAAATTTATTTTGTATAATTAATGAGAAAAGTAAAAATATACATTTTTTTATTACTTAGATGGGTGGACGAGCTTGCAGCGCACCTGGTGTTAAGTGGTTACCGAAGTCCATAGACATCTACGACGTAAATGCGCCACCCACCTTGAGATATCAGTTCTAAGGTCTCAGTATAGTTACAATGGCTGTCCCGCCCTTCAAACCGAAACGCATTACTGCTTCACGGCAGAAATAGGCAGGGTGGTGGTACCTACCCGTGCGGACTCACAAGAGGTTCTACCACCAATAAATACATATCATATTACGGTTTTACTGATTGCTTTTTCATACCCAATATTCCATTTTTTCCTCCCGATCAGTCCTCATTTTATTTTCCATTTCTTTCATCAGTTTTGCTTCCTTAGACCTTAATGTCTCTAATTCCTCTTTCTCTCTTTTTTTCGTAGCTTCTGCTATTGCTAAGTATTGAAAATTAAATAATCATGAAATGTAATATTATTTAAGTAATTAAAACAATTGAACTAAAAGTTCACGTTTTTACTTCTTTTCTATCAATTATACTTAAATAAATAAAAAATGTTTTTATCTAGGTTACATTCATATTATCTTCGAAGGCATTCCTACCGACAAACTCATCATAAGTAGGTACATAATTATTATTTACTTATTTTCTTATATGGGGCGGAGACATAGACTCTGAAGAAGGTTGATCGTAGTCGGATCGACGCGTTTGAGATGTGGTGCTGGAGGAAAATGCTGCGGATTCCCTGGACGGCGCATCGGACAAACGCATCAATCCTGGAAGAACTAGGCGTCTCCTTAAGACTCCCCACCATTTGCCTACGTAGGATTTTAGAGTTTTTCGGTCACGTTGCGAGGAAAAAGGGTGACATTCTCGAAAGACTACTCATCACCGGCAAAGTGGAAGGAAAGAGGCCTGGGGGGCGTAGTCCCATGCGCTGGTCCGATCAGATTAAGACGACTTTGGAATCCAGCATCAATGTCGCTATCCACTGCGCGGAGGACAAAAGCGAATGGAGGAACATAGTCCTAACAAAAGTGCTCAGTAAAGGTCACGACCCTCAGAACTGAGGAATACGACGCACGGAGGAGGAATTAAAACTACTCTTACGGTTTAATCTCGTTTTTGTTTTTATTATTTCAATATTTCGAATACTTTACAGTTTTAGTGGTTACTAAGTCATTTTAAACCACATTTATAGAAACAAAAATTCTTCTTGATTTGTTTTTCTCTATTATCATGGCTTGTCACGATCTTTGCAAGTGGACTTTTAACGAATACAAGGATGGTTAGAAGCATAATCACACTTTAAAAAATACAAAGAGTTCTGCTTATTTCTCTAGACTGTAAGAAGACGAATGTTTTCGAATGGTTAATTAACAATCAGATTTAAATCGAAGTCGAAGAACTAGCATCCCACAGATGGCGACCATAAATAAATAATAGGCGTCAAATTATAAATACGACGTACCAATAAGTTTCCCATAAAGACATGGCCTTCCCATTCGGAGGGCCACAGTGGTATATATGCTTTTCATAGCATAATCACAATGTTCTTTCACGGGCACCACGAGAGGATGTATGTCAAGCTCATCAAAAAAATTCAGCGGAGTTATATCTCTCATGTCCCCTGCTCGAAATTCATTTAACCTTTTAAGAACTATTTCCTCATCTAGACGGTCATCACCTTCGGGTTGCCGCATGGCTTTTTCGCAGATGAAATCGTCGGATGCTTCCAGAGATACCACAATATCTACAAAAGGTTATTTGAAGGTAATTGTGCTGATGACTCACCGGGCGTTGAGCATTTATCCGAGTTCACTAATGCCTCAAACGTGAATTCCGCTGCCTACCTTCAGACAATAAATCAAAGTCTCAAATGAATTATTGATATGTATCATTAGCGCTCCTACTCTTCACACAACACTGTATTAAATTGTGGTATTATAATAAATATGGCAGAAGCGGTACTTCACGCTTGTTCATTGAATACTCTAAAAAACACCGACATATAGATAATATTTTTACAAGTGCTTAAGGTGTTTTTAATGTTTTTATGGTAAATCGTCTTTGTCATAATCGTTCAAAACTGTATATCAAGTTTCAGAATTTTAAAATACTTTACCATTCCTTAGAGTGGATTAGCCTAATCTAGCCTAATACACGTTATAATGGAGAAAATGTATCCTTTTGTCAGATTAACCTAAAACTACATGCGAGTATACCATAAAACAAATAAATAGATTACTATCTCTCGAAATTAAGTATCTGTAAACTGGTAGAATAAGCCACTAAAATTTGTATTCGTCTTTACATTACCATTTGGTATATGGCATAAGTCCCTTATTGGACCGCGACGGGGCAATACAAAGCTATCGTCGGGCGAAACATGTCTTGTCGGATCCCCTAGATACACTCTCGGTGCTTTTAGGCCTTTCAAGCACCGGTCACCATCCTCGTCCAACTCGTCGATTACGTCGAAGAGTTCTAGAGGGTTAGTGTCGGCAAATTGTCACCGGTTGAGCCCGTGAGCTCACCTATCCACCCGGGCGTAGCTGGAATAGCTCCTTAGGCTACCAGCTAATAGACATGGAAAAAAGTATAAATAGCGATATTAAGATTCCTTGAAACGCGCTGTTTTTTTCCTACCTAAGCTGATGGTCTATACTCTAGAGAGACCATATCAGCGTCACCGGGCGAGCAGGTGAGCTCACGGGGCTCAAACCTGAAGATGTTGCTAGCACGAATCCTAGCAAGATCCGCGATTCGTAGAATCGACAAATGGATCGGAAACGCGACCCACTGAGAAAATCCGGCGAGAAACTCAGTGGGCTGTGTCTATGGATTAATTCGCTCGTCGAGCCCTTCGTCGCAAGAGACGGGTTCGACCAGAATGATGACCGGTGTTTGGGGTACCTAAGAGCATCGTCAGTGGATCGGGAGGATTCGACATGACGTGTTTCACGCGCTATGGCTTGGTGTTATTCGTCTTAATGGAATATAAATTATACATCATATGAATTGTTAGTCTGTGTGTGTTTTTTATGTCTTTATCTACCTGATCTTTACCTGGTAATAACTTTTTCAAAACATTACTGTACAAATCAATATCTTCATCAAAATCATCTTCGTTGCGCTCTTCCCCGGTCTCTGAATCTTGTTCGTCGCCTTTTTCAAATACTGACGAAAAAATTACAGTAAAAGTTCTTTATTCAAAACTGCAGTTCATAAGCTTAAGTTAAGTTAAGCTAAAGGTTTGTTATTGTTTGAATCTTTAAAATATTTACAAATTGAAAAAGGTTATTAACCTTTAAAGTATTTTGGGTGTTCCACAATTAACAATCAATGTTCATAATCAATTCGAGCGTCCATGTAAGCCAACCACTTTATTACACTCACACGCACTTACACACATCGACACAACACAATCAGATTCAAACTTATTCTGCAAGTTATCATTCGACAAAATTTATCTACCTATTTAACTGCCTTACCTTTATCCTAGTTGGACTATCTGTGTTCATTAATTATGTTAACATTTTTTGGAAACATAATGTGTTTCTTTAATTGGCTCATGTTTGGGAGAACATCCTCTGTATAGTAACCGGCAAACATCGTGAGCAAATGACCTTGACTGCGCAGAACCGAATTTTAGATCACTTTGGTGGTGAGGCGCGACGGCAGGGGAAATCGTATAGAGCGCGTTATTGGTAGATCAGTCGAACCTTGCGTCCCGCACCGCGCCTTCGTTCCGCTTGCTCCCAAAAGTACGCTTGCGTACAGTGAAAAGTCTATCGTTATTAATCGTTAAGTTATATTTTGTTATAATTGCTTGTTGACTTTGTTGCCATTGCTATTTGTTGAGTGTTTGTTGATTTTTTATAAAAAATACCCTATGCCGCGACAAACTGGTGTAGTATTCAAAAGAAAGGGTAGAAAAATTGTGTACGACGTATATTGCTTCATTATAAAACAGGGGAAGAATGATATTATGGAAAAAGTAAAACAGACTTCGGAAGCAACAAAAACATCAGTGAGTACTGTTAGGTGCATTATTAACGAAGCTAAAGGCTCTGGCTTGCTCATCGTGCTTGGGACTCCGGGTAAGAAAAGATCAGGGAAGAAGAAAGTTACCGGAATGGATAGTTTCGTTCAATCTGTAATAAAAAGATGTAATCATAATAACTACATAACAAGCAGCGAAACTCCGTACCGTAGAAAGGCTTCGAAAATTTTAAAGAAGATATACATTTTAATGGCTCGGAATGAAGTTTACGACGAATTATGAAAGAGCTAGGCTTCAGATGGAAAAAAAAAAAAAAAAATAATCGGAAGCTGGTAATTGAAAAAAGTAACATTCGATTACTACGAATCGAATATCTTCAAAAAATAATTAATTATAGACAAAAAAGAAGATCGAACCGACTGAGTCGTAAACTACACCGATGAGCCCTATGTCGACTTATCACGATGATGGCGACTCGGGTGATGAAAACAGTGATGATGATAATGGTCAAGATTATGATAACGAAAAAAAATTACAAATACCAGCTTCGCTTCAACTGAACGAAGACCTGGCAACAGCTCTAGTTTTGACTTAATAGAAGGAATATCTATTTTACCCCAAGATTAAATTATTACAATTATTAACCTATATTTTTTGTTGATGTTCTAATAAATATATAAATAAATACATATGTTGATTTTAATAATTTAATTGCATTATGACGCAGAGTAAATAATGTTTTTGCACGTGAGTGTACCATGCGCAAACTTACCCCCACTACGTCAACAAATGCTCAAGAAATTTGCCGGCTATTATACCCTGTGTCTAGTTAAATGCTGTTGAAACATTGTTGATTAAATAAATAAATAAATTCACGGGGTATACTTTCCGTGAATATGCCGCGAATACAGAAAAAGTGGATATGGAAAAGCGCATTTAAAAAGGATATTCGGTTGGATGCCTACATATTGGAAATCTTTTTATTAATGTGTATGTATGGATGTACCAATTTGATTGGCGAATAAATAAATCTTTAGCCGCGTACATAGCAAACGGGTCGTATTTTTTTTTAAATCTGCGAATAGTGAAAACGCGAATGGAGGAGGCGCGAATAAGGAGCTTTTACTGTATTATTATTAATTATGTGAAAGTTTTGTAAGTTTATCCATTAATTATGCAATTTTGAGAATATTACATGAAGAACATTGTCCTAAAGAGGTCGGGAAACCATCAAGTACCCATCCTCTATTTGTGGCCGCACGGCACAGTAATCGTTGTCTTATGTATCTGTAAATAAATAGAGTTCCGTTTTTACGACTGTTCAGAAGGGGGAATAAGTATTTTTATAATGAAAAAGGTGCACCCTAGAATTTCTTCATCGTCGAGGGGGCGCCCAGTTTGGAGCATGGCCAAAGTGTGCTTCGCCGATTCTTGAAAGCCCTCTTCCTCACCAAAATCATCGTCGACTTCACTTGGTTCGGCCTCCTCACCCATTATAGGGCCTAAAGCTGCGGTTTCCCCTTTCTCCCAATGATTTACTCGCCATGTCTTCATTCGATGGTGAATGTTATTCAAATTCAAATATAATGAATATACATTAATACATGAAAAATTACAATTAATAGAACTTATTATGAAAAAAATAAATTGAAGACGATGTTAGAAGTTGCTCACTATTTACGATTTTCAAATAAATCTACTCCTACTAATACTATTTATAAAAGTATAAATTAATATTTTTATCAAAATAATGTTGTGGTGTGACATCCTTTAGCTATTACTTTTCAGATATATTTTTTATGGTTGCGTTCTATGGCATTATTAAACGATTGTGAAACACATGGCTTTTTATCGAATGACACACAGAGACAATTAAGTATATACCTTATGTTTATACGCGTACTGTTTACATACAGATATGTAGGAAAATTGAATGTACTGACCAAATCATCTATAGTATCTTGAACTATTGTCTCTGGAGAAATATACAATAATCCGTAAGATTCGCATATGAGGTTTGACAGAGTCGTCTTCCCAACCAGCGGAGGTCCGTAAACAATGACCTATCAATTTCGTAAAGACATCAACGCTTAGGTATATTCAATTGGAATTATTGAATATCCAACGCAAACATCAAATTCAAATACCTTGAAAGATTTCAAACCTCTCTCTTTTTTAAATTGATTCATTAACATCGGAACATTTTCTGCGAATGTTTGCTCCGAAACCCACTGAAGACCCATTGTCTCAACGATAAAAGTAGGCTCCATTGTCAAATTTAGTGTTATGGAATCGTAAATTCTTTGCTATAAAATTTAAAATACTTTTAGTTAACTATTAGAGTAAGGGCTTAGTTAATACTCTTTTGTTTTCAAACCATATAACCAAAATATCAAAAAAAGCAGACTTACGTCTATCTCGGGAATTAAAAAAGCATCTTCAGGTGGTATGCATGTGAACATACCCGAACCAACGATTCTTCCTAAAGCTTTAACAATCTATAAAAGTTTTGCTCTCAATTACACATTTAATAAAACAAAAAACCAAAAAAATTCAAACCCTACCTTCAATTACCTCTCTTTGTTTGGAAATGTTTTGTTCCACAGCAAGTATGTAGAGTTTCTTGGGGAAATCCGTCACCAAGTTATACACAATTCTGTAAAACGAATGACGTTAATGGCGATAATGATGTCATTATAGCAAGTGGTTTTGCTCGAGAATCACCGTGAGTAATGCAAGACCTGTTTGCTTAGTGCGAGTTTCTTAACGTTCTCGATAGCGTAAAAGTAAGTCAATTTTGTTTGCATTTGGAACAGCGCCCCTAACGGCAAACGTACGCAAACGATCCCATTCCATACAAGTATGAGCTAGCTTTTACGCTATCGAGAACGTTAAAAAACTCGAACTAAGCGCTCTGTGTGCTTAATGCGTGTTTTTTAACTTCTCGATCGCGTAAAGTTAACTCAAATTTGTATGGAGTTGGAACAGCGCCCCTAGCGGCACACGAAGCTAGTGAGTTAACTTTACGCGATCCAGAAGTTAAAAAACTTGCACTAAGCACGCAGTTTCCGCAACACTGTCTTTTTAAAACGATTACAAAGATATAAAGCTCCTTGGTTCGTGACATATGGCCCGTGAACGGTGAGTCTTAATATTATTAGGGCACACCGTAATTATCTGCATTTCCTGCTGCAAGATAATTTTGTAATACAATTTTTGGCAGATTAAAGCTATGCATACTTACTGTGCTAAATCGATAATATTAATCAGAGGAATTATATTGCCACCTCGTCCGACTATTGGTAAAAGACGTTCACATTCCCATGCTTTTTGAAACCAATAAAATAGCACATCTTCACGACCACCATAAATTATACCAGACGCAATCACTGTAGCCCTACAAAGTATTAATAAGAAAAAATATATTTAAAAGACATACCACGTGATTTGAGTTTTTAACCTGGATGAACACAGGATTATCTACTTTTATTATGATAAAAAACGACCCGAGCAAAGCTGGGTATAAATAACTTCTGTAGTAAATAAGGCAGTGCTGCTTGCTGATGCATGATTTTACGTACTAAATAATCTTTAATTCGACTGGTACTTTATGGACCAAAGAGCAAGACAAGTATTTCTTTATAAGGCAACGTTTTTTATCCCATCTGAATTACAGATTTAACACAAGCGAAACTGTGGAGCCTGTCTAATATAAAATAAAATCTTTTTTTCTATAGTTTGCCACCACTGCTCCATGATGACAAGAGCAGCAACGATTTCTTGAGAGAGAGGAAGTCGCTTTAATGTAGTCTGCGTCCCATGAAAATCTATGAAAGACACTAGCCTTAGATTTGTTGAAACAAAATTGTAATCGAGAATGTGATTGAGAAACGGGTGGGTGTCATGTCGGACTTTAGAGCCACCAACTATTCGTACCAACTTTTCCATTCTAACCACTGAGCAAGTTTTTGTATTTCTACACGGCACTGGGTATATTAAAGACTATGGTTTTTAATTATATCAAAGTGTAACAAGTTACTTACGAAAAGGATTTAACTACCTGATTTGGGATTTATATTTTCTAGCAATAGCAATCACATCATTTTCAATGTCATAGTGAATTTTGTAATTAGGATGTGGCTTCCTTTTGCGGAAATCACTTTCTAAAAAAGGTAAATCTGGGGTATCCTAAAAGTTATTATTAAAATATAATGTTAGATATATTTAAACTCGTTTGTCGTTATTTTTCGCTTTAAGAGCTTGTCCAGGAGTGAATTCGCCGTGATTCTCTCGTGCGTATCATGCGCGACCGTTTCGCCCAGAAAGAGCGTACCTACGCGCGAGCATTTGGGGACGAATTTAGTCAGTACGAAGCTTATCGTCGCTGGAAGAGACAAAAACGGAGGGAAAATATAATCACGCGCGAGTCGAGATTCTGGCGTAGTACACGCGATTTACGCGCGTATTTTAAATTCGCGCGATGCTTGTGGACGCGACTTGTGATGCCTAGTATCTCACTAACGCGCGAATGATTTCGCGCGAAACATTTCGCGGCGAATTCGCCCTTTCTGGACCAGGTCTAAGTTAAAACAAAACATACTGGGTCTAATGGCTTTGTGCAACCCCATGTTAGAACAGTCGAAATCAGAAGGAGACATCGTTTTTTCGAATCTTCAGCAGTTTCGTCATCAGTTGCTACATCGGGTTTCGTTTGCGTTTCCAAGTAGTCTTTCAGGACTAAAAAACATTGCATACATTACCAATTTTAAATTATGACAATGATGATAAATTTATACTGGTGAATAAATTGAGCATTTGGTTGTTTAGGGCGTTTTGTGAATGTTCTAAGTACTATTATGTAGGTACTGTCGTCACAAATCAGGTTAACAGTAACTTCTTATTATTTTAATAATAGCGCAATCCGGATTGCAATCAATTAGATCGTTAATTTTCGTCGTCCTCACATAGTTTAAAAGCGATATATGTACTTACGTGCAAGATAATCCTTGGCAATTTTATGTTCATCTTTGTCACAACTGATATCAATTATAACTGTTCCGCAAGTAAGCATTTTAGGCAAAGCTTCTGTTTTGTCTACAACTCTTGCTACATTATCCAGGGTCTTAATATTGGAATCCGTTACTGTGCCTAATCACAATAAGTTTAATAAGAAATATAATAATTTTCAAGACTACTTAGTGGTATTTAGTTGAATCTTAATTAGTATCTTAAAAGTGCATACTGGTATTTTCTTTTTAAGCGGTCCGATGGTAAGAAAAATTGTTATGATAATAGTCTTAAATGTTTTAGGCGTAGTAGCAATGGCGACGCGTGACAAAACGGTCTGGTTTAGCGGTATATAGACCTTCGCCAGCTACCTTCCACTTGGATATGCACGGCTGTTCCTTTAGTGTATCGTTTGGCTAAGTTAATAAAAAAATAGTTTGCTTTTTTTAGTTTCGGAAAGGTCCCAAGTTTTTGAATATCAAACATACGAATTTCAAACTCTACTTGCAACATTTATTTGAACTAAAAGGTCAGACATTGCATGAACTTGTTAGTTACGACATAATATTACTGAAAATATAATAATTTACCTATAATTTCATAAATTTCTGCCGGTGGTACTTGCGATTCTGTATCAATGTCTTCTCCCAGAACCGTTTCCGATTGTTCTTTCGTTGGTACATTACGCTCCAAAATTTTCGAAACGGCTTTTAAAATTTGCTCTCCTTGATATGAATCTAAATTGTTAATGAAATAGCGTCGATGTGAAAATAAATTGCTTGTATCAGTAACCGAAGGAATTTTCTCTACAGACCTCTTCATTTTTTTTTAAATGTTATGGAGCATATATAGTTATTATACGCACAGATACTTAAAATTAAAGACAAGCAATGTCAATATAATTACTTTTAATTAATAATCGTAAATAAAGGTTCAATTGAAGCTGTGGAGAGATAGGTCTATGGTGGAGAGTGACTATTGACATTTTCCGATGTTAGCAAAGACAAATTATGTTTGACAGTGCTATTTTAATTTACAACAAAGGTTTTAATTTAGTTCTATTGAGTTTTCATTATTGGAACGATGTTCGGATAATACTACCTACTATTAAGTTTATTCGATATTAGTTGAACTCATTTGTTTGGGATAATGGCATTATCACATCACAGACGTGCAGTTGAATAAAGGCCCATCCAATCACCAGCAGCAGTGTTCGAATTCCAATCTCACAGTTTGAAACCTCTGGGTCTACGAAGAGATTGGTTCTGTGTTTGGTAGCATGTGTCCGATGAAATGTTCCAAAGATATGTTCAAGATATTTCTGCCATGTACATTTTTATAAAGACAGTCAGTCTCCTTTGAAAATGAGTTCAGATTATTGTTTATAAAAAAATATAAAGTATATTGAGTTTCAATAAAAATATTGGATCAAAATTAGTAAAATTAATTCTCACAATAAAAATGGCGCTATAAACAGGGCCTAGCCGTACTCGTCGAACTCGGTAAAGAGTTAGACTTGCAACCTAACTTAAGCATCAGCCTGTCGAATTTTTGTCAGCGGGTCGCGATTCCGATCCCGTAGTAGATTCATTCAAGTAAAAACCTTAATATATTATTAATAGAAACACATTTGAAGATAAAACCATTTATTACTTTCTTAAAATGTAAAATACTGTAGATATATTCAGATATAGAGGCGACTTAATTCCATTACAAATAATTACATCGAGTAAGTACATACGTTTACATTTGTAGTCCTAAGTACCTATATTAGGAATATAAAAATACATATATAATTAAAATGTATATTTTAATAACCATTTTAGACAAAAATATTCGTTGCTTTTTTTTCTTCAAAACTATTTTTCGAAAACTTAGGTGCTATCTTATGTGTCTACGTCATTGAGGCTCATAAATGTCGGTCGAATGAGTCGGTGAGATCACCTCCTAGTAAGCTTTTCGTCGCTTAACGAGGCCAAAAAAATCACAATTAAAACTATGAATTAAACTTTAATTTATAATTCATTCCTGCAACCCTTTAAATCGATAAAATGAAAAGTTTGAAACTTACAAAACGCGTATTTTTTCAAAACAAGGAAAAGATGCGCGTGCAAAATTTGTTTTACCCTATTTATTGAAGGTCTAAAAAGATGACACACGTATGCTGATAAACTCAGTGACAAATTATTAATAACTTAGCTAAGAATTATATTATTATATAAAACATATTAGATATTATTCATTCATACCTTCAACAATATTGATAAATACGGTAATTTTTATTTAAAACCGTTAAACTCGGAAAAAAAATAGATTGTTTCAAGCAGCAACTTAATTTTGATTTTTTTTGTATGTCTTTAAGGCGTAAATTTTTTTGTACAGTCTCTTGAACAAAACTAAAGTTAACCAACTTGAATATATATTGCATTATTTTTGTTCGAATCAATGTTGCATATAAACTCAGGATGTCTTATTATATGAAATTTAGATGGCAAAAAAGCTCCTGCCAACTTTTTTGGCCGTTGAAGGTAGACCAACCTACGGGCTAATTGATCAGTCGTTACCGTCGTGCGGTCCTCGGCATGTACTACGAAGGTAGTCTATTCTTACGTATAGATTCAAATACAAGTTACTCATGAGGTTAACATTTTGCACCACTTAACTCTGTTCATTTGTAACATATCTTATACGAAGCCAATTTGAATTTGTATGATGACGTCATAGAAAAAATCAACATACATGCTATGTGCCGCCACTCACATCAATTTTATCAGACTTTCCTTGTAATACGTGAAAAGCTTTCAAGAATCTGTCATTCAAATTAATGTTGGGCAATAAATTATTGAAAAGAAAGTCTACCTACTTAATAATAATTATTGTATTAACTAATTGTAAATTAAATAAATAAATGCAACATAAAACCGTAAAGGTATCCCAGGTTATGTCTGAAACTTCTATTTCTTTGCATTTGAACATGTATGACCACTATCAAGATGTTAACTAATTTTAATCCGATAGTCAAATAAACTAAAAAAAACGATTTACGGCGACGACAGTAACTTACAATTGGGCCACTTGACGAAAAAAATAAACCATTTTTTTAATAGAATGAAGTATGAACTGGACTCTACACCGGGGAAACATTTAATAAAATATTTAAATCTCTATTCATCCATTCACGTGTGGTGATTATTATATACTATACTACATTACTTTACATGGAAAGTAGATTAGAAAGAGATACATCTCATATGGTTTAGGAAGTCTAAAAGTGCCTAATAAATAGCATTAAGCACATTTTTGTAAGTAGAATGGTATTTCTGCATGACTGAATTGAACCTATTTCCTGATAATATTATTTTCTTCATTTAAATATATCTGATTTATGTATACATTGTAAATTTTTGTTGAGTACTTTTAATAAAGCTTCGAAAAATTTCAATTTCAAAAAAAATCAAATATCAAGCATTTGGGCACTAATATGATCACCAGGATCATATTGTAAAACTTAACTTTTAACTGCCTTTTCTTTGTGACTGTTAGAATTTTGTTTAAAATGGTATTCCAGTAAGCACAGAAAGTCACCTTAATACTTGTTAGGAACACTTTTTATTAACCAGGTAGTCCTGATACCTATGACTCCCTGGACCACTTAAGTGTTCAGACAATATATTTACTGTCTAGGTAGGTTCTGTTATCAATTGAATTAAGCACAGTTAATATTTTAAACAATAATCTCAAAACCATTTCACGAATAATAATAAATGAATTTTGTTTTATCTATCATATAATTATTGTTTAAGTACAAAATAGCAGCCTTATGTTCATAGTTGTAGATCCTTAACTTTTTTTAATCCATCAGGTGAAATCAAAAATCCAATGAGTATTGATTACAATGAAGGAAATTGACATGTTTATGGCACCTTAACTGATGGGTATAATACTGAAATATATCTATTAAATTGTACTTATTTAATTGTAGTTTATTTCCATAATTCTATAGTTTTATAGGACGGTTTCATTGCAAGACATCTTGAGCAGAATATGGAATGTTNTTTTTTTAATCCATCAGGTGAAATCAAAAATCCAATGAGTATTGATTACAATGAAGGAAATTGACATGTTTATGGCACCTTAACTGATGGGTATAATACTGAAATATATCTATTAAATTGTACTTATTTAATTGTAGTTTATTTCCATAATTCTATAGTTTTATAGGACGGTTTCATTGCAAGACATCTTGAGCAGAATATGGAATGTTATATTGGGTCCCTTTGAATGCATTCAATAAAATGCTAAATACTTATGCTTATAACACACACTTAAGGAAATATTTTTCTAAATCTAAATTAAGTTGTGATATAAATGTATAAAATGAACGATAAATAATAATAAAAATTAAGTACATTTAAATGATTCTCATACCATATAATTATCGTCATTAAATTCATAAGCTAAATACTATCAGACGATTTTCCTATATATAATTGCGAGCACCTTAACACTTACACTTATAAGGCATTAAATCTAAGGCACTAAAACTTATATTTCGATAAAAATCACATAAAATAAGAAATAAATAACATCAATATTGTCATTTTATAAAGGAAATAAATTATTCCAAATTAACCCGAATAAATCTCTTTCAAAAACAAAATAAAAATTACTAGTTTATGGGACAGTATTACTACTTTCTTGCTGTAAATTAAAGCTGTGTTGTAATAACTGATTTACGATGGATGATAGTAATCTCCTTCTCACCAATACCTGAAGGAGAACTCGGCTCAGAACTTACCAACCATGGAGAAAGTGCCGACATTGTATGCAACTTTGGAGTTATTTCCTCTTTCTTTTCCGTTTGCTTTGTAGGTAAAATTTTATTAGCTACTTGTTGATTCGGTTCCACTACCACAATTGACACATATGCAGAGCCGGTCTGATTGGTGACAGCTGGTTCAGCCAATACTTTTGGTGAGTTAGGTCCGGATATATTTCCATTTGTTGTTTCAGAGCTTATCTTAGTATCAAGATCTGAGAGTTTTAAGCCATTGTTTCCTTTTAAAATCCTTGAACTGAAAAAAAAAGAATTTATTTATTCATAAATTTGTTTAATATAATTTGTATTTTAAAATAATAACTTGTGTGTAAAATTATTTCTTGTGTGTTTAATGTTTATAATTTCATACATACATCTTACTCTGCTCATTTATCGATGTAAAACTATCTTTTGGCTCTGCTACATGATCAGAAACTGAAGATAGTTTTGTATCATTTTGGGTGTCTAATAGATCAGGTTCAACATTCGATTTTTGTGACTTTGCACTACTCTTCCTTGACAGTGCATCAACATCTGAAGCTGGAGAAATGGTAGCAGTTTCTGCAGAGTTATTGTGTGTTTCATCATTAGTTTCTGACGGATTTACTTCAGATTTCGTACTGTTTTGTTTCTCACGTTCTCTTAAAACATGGCTTTGTCTACGTGCAAACCTCTGGCTTGGCCTTCTCTCAAACTGTACAGTACGACGGGCACGGTTCTGTTGTGTGGTCTGATATTCAGTCTTACCAGAATACTGAAATCTCGAACCCATTCTGAAGAAATTTTGACGAGCTGATGGTCCTTTAACTGGTGCTCTTAGGCGGAAAAATGTGTGATATTCAACAGCACATTTCCAAAGATGTTTACAAGCTTTTTCATTATGTAATCGAAAAACAAAGGTATGTTCTTGTTCGTGTCCCTGATCATCATCTTCTACAACTATCAGAGTTAATTTCTTCTTCTTGAAGTCTAGCTTTGTTATCTTGGGCCAAAAGAAGAGCCCAATTGTCTGTTGTGCTTCAAATACAAGAATGCCAGTAGGAGTTAAGCCAAGGCGATACTCACACCCATCCTTTCCAAGAACAATGTGCATATCAACACCATACATTTCAAGCCATTTTGCTTTGTTCAAATAATTGACTTCAGCTTGAGCTGGAGTGAGACCTTTGTACTTTTTGAATTCCTCTAATATTTCAATTTCCATTTCTTCACTTTGATTGGGTACAAATCTAAATTCTGACACTGTTGCTGGTGTGTGTACAGTGTCATCATAATCCCCCAGTTCAGATTGCAAAGATAAAGCAGCTAATTCCACAGCAGTAGTATTAGGACATTGTAACCTACTCTCTAGTAAATCTTTTTTGAGTTGTAAAAAGAATTGATATCGAGTCAACTCTTCCCGAAGATTATTAGGCTCAGAAGAATAAAATTTAACTCTAAGTCTGAGTGTATAAGGANCTGGTGTGTGTACAGTGTCATCATAATCCCCCAGTTCAGATTGCAAAGATAAAGCAGCTAATTCCACAGCAGTAGTATTAGGACATTGTAACCTACTCTCTAGTAAATCTTTTTTGAGTTGTAAAAAGAATTGATATCGAGTCAACTCTTCCCGAAGATTATTAGGCTCAGAAGAATAAAATTTAACTCTAAGTCTGAGAGTATAAGGAGGGCCAATCTTTATCTGTTTCTTTATGGTTTTAGTAGGATCAAGCCAATGTTTCACATTATTTGTATCAGTGAATTGTAATCCAAAATAATCTTTCTCTATTAAATCTAAAGAATAAAAAACTTGTTCATAGAGTTCAGCGGCACTAGCTTTTTTGGACAAATTTATAGTTAAATCAGTATCATCCAATAACAAGACTTTACATTGTATTAGATTCTTATTGTTAGTATTTTTTTGCCCCTGTTTGTTTCTACTTTTGCTTGAAGAACGCCCTCTTGTTAAAAATTTTAGCATTTTGCTAATTATATCCTAAAATAAAAAAAAAATATAGTTAATTAATGATTTTTACTTTAAATAATAATTGCATTAAGAACCATAATAGCCTAATTAGAAAAAAAATAAACATAGACATAAAAGAGCTTAGTGTCGTTAAGCGAATTCAAATTCGGTTTGATTTTCAAAAAATATTACAACTTAAACAAATGATGTTATCACTACTGCATTGATCCACCCATTTATTTTATACTCATAAAGGTGGTGATGTATAAATTTAATTAATAGATTCGTTTTAATCAAGGGAATTCAATCGAAAAGCATAAGTTATTATTGTAACTATGTTGTATCCATAAAACATTCCGAACTTCAACGTCTACGAAAGTAAATGCCATGCCCACGATCATTTTGACATCATTCGGATCTGTGATTTAATAATATTGAGCGACTATTTTAAAAATATTTCGCAAAGAACTATTTAGCAAGTGCTTACCTGAAAGTTACTAAAATAATATTTTTAGTTCTCTGGGACGGACTAATATTACCTAATGAATAAACATTGCAATAGCATTCAATCTGCAAAACTGGCGTTTACAAATGTAGGTACATACACATATGTAGTTAATTAAGTGTATAATCTATGGTACATAGATTATCACTCACTATGCCGTGCTAGGGGGAAGCTGGCTTACTGAACTTAGCCTCCCTTTTTTTGATTTTCGGATTTTTTTATTTTTAATTATTTGTTCGTCGTTTGTTCGTTGATGATCGAATGTAAAAATTGTTTGTTCGTCTTTTTTTTAATAATAATAATAATAATAAAGCCTTTATTCAGACAAATACATTTTTTTTTACATATACAATTATTATTTCATTTTATTAGTTTTTTTTTACTATGTTTTAAGTAAGTAGTGGTATTAATATTAATTAAATTTTTATGGATTTTTTTCTTTTTGACCTAAATTATTATTAGTTTTTGTCTGTTTGTCTATTATAGACCTAGGCCTCCTCCAACTGCCTCCATAAGCTTCTATTTTCAGCTGTTCTGGTCCATGTGCTTCCCGCAACTGCCTTAATGTCGTCCACCCATCTCCTAAATGGTTTACCTCGGTTTCTTTTTCTGTCTCTCGGATACCTGTTCTCTTATAGTATGCCCCGTCCACTTCCATTTAAGTTTCCTTATTGTAACTGAGACATCCTCTGTTTGAGTTTGTTTTTAATTGTTGATGTTCTTATTTTGTCTGATAATCTTTTCCCCTTCATGCTCCTCTCTATAGCATTTTGACAAACTTCTAATCTTCGAGCATGTGCCTTTGTTAGGGCCCATGTTTGACATCCGTATGTAAGGACAGGGAGGATGCAGGTGTTGAAGAGTTTCCTTTTAATGGTCATGCTTGTTTCATTGTTTTTCATCACTTTTTTTAGATTCCATATTCGTCTTTCTATTTCTTTTGAAGTGAGGTCTGACGGCGATTTTATTTGGCCTAGGTAAACGTATTCATCAACATATTCAATAGTGTTGCTGTTCATAGTTATGGGGTATTTTATATCGTTAGTTATAGCTTTAGTCTTCTGAATGTTCATAATCAGCCCTACCTTCCGACTTTCCTCATTTGGTTCTCCAAGCATTGCTTGAAGTTCATTTTTTGTTGGTGAAAAGATTATCAAGTTATCTGCAAATCTTAAATGGGTTAAGTTGTCTCCATCTATTGATAGCCCTCTTGTTTCCCAGTTTAATTGACGAAAAACGTTCTCCAGAACCACAGCAACTTCGGTGACAAAGGATCTCCTTGGCGGACTCCTCTTTGAATTTTTTATTCTTCACTTTCTCTTACTGTTTTTATTTTAGCTGTGCTACTGTTGTATACATTGCAAAATAAAATCCTGTTTAAAGAGTTTAGATATACCAAGTTCATTCTTCCATATTAAATGAATTTCTACTACATGTCCCTGCAATGTATTTCTTGCACTTATAAATAATTATCATTTCAACAAAAACAGATTTTGTGTGCATACATTTCCATTTTTTGAACTACGCAATGAATTTAGGAATTATTAATTTATTACAAAATACAAGTATCATTACTATCTCCTATTGCATGGTAATGAATAGTATCATTTTAACACGAAAGTTGTACTCCTAAAATATTCTTAGAGTAATTAGAAATCACTGAAATTTCTATAAGCTTGTTAATATTTAATATCATTAAAAATAACTGAATTTATTAAAACCGCAGTAATCGTACTTTAACAACTAATTGGCTGTCTTCACTGACATTTTTTTGTTGAAGTATTGTTGAAGTTTGTTGAAGTTTTCAATATTTTTTTCTATCTTTTATCTACAAAATAACTAGACAGTATAAACGCACTTGATAACAAAACGCTAGTAAATACGGCCATTGCCAGCTGACTGACAAAACCGATGCATGTGCAAGGAAGGCGTGAGGTGATGGTTTGCTTATTAGATATAAAATAATTAATAATTGGGAATTTAATTGTTTTTATGATCGAACAATCACCAATAGTCGTCGAACAAACGATAATTGATCAAAGTTAATTAATTTGAGTGATAAAAATAAACATATCTAGTAAAGGGATCCAAATTAAGGGTGAGCATTTGTTTAATTAATTATAAATAAATAAAAGAATTTTCACAATTCTTTTTTCGCGCACAATAAATAAATGACTATATGAGCTAACTAAAATTATTACCGCAGCCGCGATCCTCTCGATTTCCATCATCGATACCTAGACGTCTTAACATATCAGTAGAGTCAGTAAATGAACGTTCACGATTGTGTGGAGAGTTGCCCGATCATGACGGCGATGATGGACGATCATTTGTTGGCCCATCATGGCCGATGGTGAAGAGGAGCCATTATTACACTATCGTGAGTTTCTTTAATCGCCCATCTTGGCCGATTGTGAAGAGGAGCCATCAAGTGTATAATCTATGGATTAGTGATCTGTGGTGTGACGTGACTACGTTACGATTTCTTTCTATTTGTATCCAGCAAAACAAGTGGAGCATTCGATCAAACCTACCTATCAATTATCACTTCATACGATAAATTGCAAAATAGCAATTGGTGTATAAAATATATGTTTCGACGTAAGTAGAAACAAATTAAACTTTCATATTCTTGATTTTTTATAACCACCAACAACATAAACCTCATTTCACGTTTCTCTGATTAACATTTAATTTTAATATTAACCTCAATGTTTGCATTCAAAAATATTTAAAATAATGGCAGCATTGAAAACAGTATTTTCTACGTATTTCAAGATTAGGCTCCAATGTAGAGTAAAGTAACATCTTTTTTTTTTGTGAAGTTATATACCACTTCGTTGGTAGAACACTTAGTTCGCTAACTGCTCTGAATTTATATTCCAATTCCATTAAATCATAATTGAATAAAATTTACGCAAACAACCTTTTATTTAACTTCGGAATCCATTAAAATTCATTTGTGTATAACTCATTCTTTTTATATTGCCTTGTCAGCTTTGTAATTCCAATTTAAATTAAAGTAATATTTTTTTATTGGCTCTGAAGGCATATAAGTATACGGTACACATGATAATGAGTGGTTACGGTCACTTATGGATATCAGCAATGTCACAGTAGTAGCCATGCCTCTACCTAGAACTGAATATGCCCTATAAATCCCATTTCAAGGAGTTATTATATCCCTCAGAAAAAACTATAGAGGGAACATTATTTCAAGCCAAATGGTGCATATAGCAAAGAATATATCTAGAAATGCACTGATTTTGGGTAGTAAGGTCGAACTCTGCACCAAAGTAGGTGTGATAGTAAAAGAAATCTGCAATTCCAAGGAGTATTCTTACAACCTTTTGAGAGGATTGGGAATCTTAAGGTTGATATTTCTGGAACTGTTCAGTAGTAGAGCGATATGAAAGGGAAAGCTAAGGCTTTTAAAATATTAAGAGTCTTTAACAGTAAAGTTCTTCAACAGCAAACACTTATGCTTTACGAAGCCCATCAGTCCTTATGTTGAGTGCTATAATGGACCTAGCCTCTAATACTAGCTACTTCCACATGTCTCTAAATGGATATGGGCTGTTTGGATTGCCGACCATCGCATTCTCACAGATCATTTGGAAACTAAGGTTCTACAGCAGGATTCCAGTTCTCGTTGATTTCTTTACTGTATGTTCCATAGGAAGTGCTCAAAGGTATTTTTTGAGATAACCCAGCCACAGGAGCGTAATTTATCTTCACTTTCTGGAACCACTAGAATAATTTACAGTACATTTTTGGCCATCATTTTAGCAACATACCATTCAAATTTATAATGAATTCTAATGTCTATGTACCAAGCACAATGACATGTAATTCTTTGAAGGAGATTTGAAAAGACTGTTCAGAAGTAGAAAACAGCTTGATTGTGCTTCTGGAATTGCTAATGTGCTTGAGTGATGGTGGTTACTTATCATGAAATGGGCTGTATGCTTCGTTTCCTATAATCAATAAAAAAAAGTTTGTTGTGTCTGTCGTAAGAACAACTTTAAATTTTTCACAGATGCCTGTTGCTGAAGAATTTCAGGCTTCCTGGGCTGATGAGGTCGAGATTGACCAAGGTGTACTTCCACCACCTTCTGAAGTGGTTGAAAATGGACTAAAAATTGTTACGGAATATAAATATGACAATGATAACAAGAAAGTGAAAATTGTCAGGACATACAAAATTGAAAAACGTGTTGTTTCAAAGGTATACATTTATTAGTGATGTCAAGCTACTCAGCTATTACTGCTAGTGTTCCACAACTTTTCTAAATTAATGGTAGTTCTTATAAAATAAATCAGCTTTAATGATATTAGGCCCTAGATATACTTCACATACAAATATATTTACAGTGTTACACTTGTACTTTCAATTGTTTTCACAAATATGTGACTGGACCATTTTGGTGAAATACTTTTAATCCCTTACCTATTTAATTATTGTTTATGTAACACTGCTAAAAATTTGTGACCACTCTTTAAATTGTGATGTCTCTGCGCCAGTAAACATTTTAGCTTGAGTGGGCCTGGCCAGGTAGTCTACATGTCACAAAACAAAACTTACTATTATAGAGTATTGCCAAACGTAAAACTTGGAGCAAATTTGGAGATTCAGCCAGCGACAAGCCTGGACCTAACCCTGCTACTACCAATGTAGCTGAAGATGTCTTCATGCAGTTCATCACCAGTAAGGAAGAGAGTCAACGCCCAGATGACGGGGAGCTTGATGGTCTTAAGGTAATTTTCCAGTATTTTAAGGTTCATAGTCCAATAACATGTATTGAAAATTATTTATTTAAGTTACACTATTGCATGAGTTTCAGACATTTTTCACTTAATAAGACATTAAACTTTGTTTTTCATAATTGTGCTATGTTCAGATTATGATTATCTACATACAAACATATATGTAAATATTTCATTCATTCCCAATTGGGAAATCAAAACAGTGTCTGTTAATTAGCAGGTTAAAATGAGTTCTTTGAGAAACTTGTAAATTGTCACTTTATTCATAAGCTCTGATCATTACTACATATGAAACACACCTAATTGGTAAAATTCAGTATCTTTGATTGGTGTAATTGAGCACGGACTATTCCTGAAAGAACAAAGATTTCACATATTAATGAAATGCTAATCACTAACGCCATTAATGATGCATCGAATATAGGAAAATCTGCCCATATTTAACTACGTAAAATCTCAGTAAAAATTCATAAATATAAAATGTTAAAAATTCAAATCTTTGTTTTTAGCCACCATCCAGCAATGTTATCTTTAAGTGTCGTACATGTCAAGGAGACCATTTGACATTGTATTGTCCATTCAAGCACACTCAAATTGCACAAGCTAAAGCTGCTGAAGCTGCCAAAGCTGCAGGTAAGTCTAGTAATACTAATTATATTTGTAGTACATTCATCAAAAGAATATAATATTTGATAGAACAGGATCTGCCTTTTCTTCAAGAATATAAGTAGAAAAAGACCTATACTAAAATTTAAATTTCCGATGATTCTAATGAGTATTTCTGTGGACTTTTAAAAGATTGATTGTTTAACTGAGTTAAAAAAAAAATGTTTCAGAGGCAAAAGTTGCTGCTAGCAACAAGTACATTCCGCCCTCGTCTGCGGGACGTATACCTGGTCGTGATCAGCCCCCTGTGCGTCGTGAAGACGTAACTGCCATCCGTATATCAAACCTTAGCAATTTTGCAGTTGAAGCTGATATTGATGACCTTGTCAAAGGTTTTGGCCCTGTGCATAAACTATACCTTGCGAAGGAAAAAGTAAGATAATATGAAAACCTATTTTTATACCCCTAAGTGATTAGGGTTGTCCACCACTAACATTTTTTTTTTATTTGGACATTTTTTTTTGTTATAATGAGGTATTATGTGGTTGAATGAGGTTTTGTTATTTTTATTATATATTCCCTCATCGTTCACAGCACTACATACCTCTTTCACTCATTTATCACATCCTTACACACTTACAATAAGTTTTTTTTTTTTCTACACTAGAAATTCCCTAGAAATCTTATATATGGCAAAACAATGTTTGCCGGGTCAGCTAGTATTAATATATATTTTGACTTGAAACATCTAGTGAGTCTGTACGGGTAGGTACCACCATCCTGCCTATTTCTGCCGTGAAGTAGTAATGCGTTTCGTTTCAAAGGGCCCCACACGATGTTCTGAAAAAACTGAGTTCTTAGAACTCATATCTCAAGGTAAGTGGCGGCATTTACGTTGTAGATGTCTATGGGCTCCAGTAACCACTTAACACCAAATGAGCCATGAGCTCGTCCACCCACCTAATCAAATAAATAAATAAATATGGTTGAGGATTTAAGTTTACAAGTCGATTTGGGTTATTAGAAACATCCAGTAAAAATGGTAGACTTCCTGTCCAAGTAAATTAATGCCTGACAGCATCACCACCCGACAACGACATTGTATTTCGACATAATATTTTATTTAATGACAGCTTCACCAACAACTTAATTTACATTAGTACTTATTATGCTAGTGGAACTTGTCATAAATTAATAAAATAAAATACTTAACCACTATAAAATTCATTTCAGAGTACTGGACATTGCAAAGGATTTGCTTATGTGCACTTCAAGTTCAGGGCAGATGCTGCGAAAGCAATTCAATCACTTAATGGTCATGGTTATGATCATCTGATTTTGAACGTGGAATGGTCTAAGCCTCCACAAAACAATTAAAAAGTTCCATTTGTACACAAACTTAAATAAATACATTTATATTAAAAATATTATGTAGTTTCTTTTGACTTCAATGATAGTTTATTTAGGGTCCCTATAACAATATATAAAAAGAAAGCCTTAGAAATCATAACATGATTAAATGTAATTATTTTAACTATTTTAAAATTGTTGTCTGTCTCATTTTATCTCTGATATAACTTGATTCAAGTACATCAGATGGTGTTCTCATTTATTTCATTATTAGGCCAATGACACATTTATTCTGATAAATTTGTACTTCATTCAATATTGGCTCAATTTGTGCTATCACTCAGTAAGTGTAATGGGGATTAAGTATTAGAACTTCATGTCATGTCCAGATAATAGATTTATGGCATTGAGTTTTCTCAGAAAACAAAATGCATTTTTTTACCAAAACCTTTTGCTAGCTTTCAAAGAAAAATTATATAGCTCACTAAAATAAATAGTATTTATTGGGCACAATAGGCAGTTACATATAATGCAGTCCATGGTGGCGTTATGAACTCGAAGAGTGCCTGTGCTGAAAAACCATTTAGTTTTCATATGATTTCATACATTATAAAGTGACATTCAACTGAAATATTTTCTTATAATATAATTTTAAGTATATAGGCAATAAAAAATAAGCTATTTCCTTATTTAAATATTACATATTGATAATTTTATTATGCAATAAATTAACACAATTTTCAATTAAAATAATTTATTTAAAGCGATCAGTGCTGGAATAAACTTATCTAAATTTTATACATATTTAGCAAGACTTACAGGGTCAAAACAATTTTAGGAGTTTTACTGCAAATGTGCTAAAATTACAAAGATTAAAATGACTCAAAACATTTCATAGGCTGCCATGAACATTTAAATATCAATATCGTATCTTTCATCATCACTATTCGGGGTATAGGTTTCTTCAGGTAAATGTAATTCTCCACAAAACATAAGTTCTATGTAATGGAAATAATCTAAAGCTATATTTGTAAGCATAGCTCCAGTCGTTACACCAATTATTGTGCCAATGACTGGCCTTTGTCCTACTGAACTCCTTAGGATCGCCCATAAAAATATAGAACCTAAAGGCCAGAGACAACCACCTAAAAACGCCCAAGAAAATCGACGTGCAGGAACAGCTGCAGCCATGTGTGGTCTCGCCCAAAGCCATAAACCTGCCCCAGTTCCAGCACTAAGAAACAATACATCTGTGATGTCTCTTTGCGGGAAGAGCCTGAAATAGAACAAGGACTAAGTTTGGATTGTGTGAAAATGACTAATCAACCAATGATTAGTTAATGTTTCATATGCTACATACCTGACCATTAAATGAGGGTTCATCACACTAACTGATAGGGTTGTGTAACTAGCAAGCCCTTGCATTGGTATGTAATAATAAAGTACATTGTCCCTTGTGAAAGGTGGTAGTTTTATATTATTAACAGATTTATTTAAAAAATCTATACTTTTTGGTACTGCTGCTGGTAGATTTAATAGATGTTGTCGACAATTTCGGTAGACCTTTTCCAAAATATCCATATTGTAATTTATTGGCTATTTATAGAAAAAGTAACTGTACTTTTGGCCTAGCACTGAACGAATGTTGATAAGGTTAGGTCATAACGAATAATTTGGCAAGAGCTTTTCTTGTTATATTTATACTTTAATTTAATTCACTCACTACACTTACAATAAAGTCAGAACTCTCAAAACAGAACAAATGTAGGTAACATGACAAGAAAAGTCTTGGAACTCTAAACCAAAAATCCTAAAATGACATGACAATTGACATGTTGACTTGACAAATGAAAAGTTGATCATGGAAATCATATGATTGTGCCTAGATAGCTTGAGAATTCAGTTGTAGAAAATTAAAATGATGTAGGTAACCTAGTGTATTTTAATATTTCTCATAACTAATAGAAAAACCGTAGTCCGTAGGTATGCACGTTACGTATTGCATATATATTATATAACAGAGTACATTATTTCTCCGAGGAATCATCATTCATCATTCAACGGAATAGTTTGCATGTTAATAATTAAGAGAGATATTTAAAGCGTTTTGCCACTAAAGGTACTTAAATGTGTAACCACTAAGTTGTACACCATTTACATGCCAGTCAACCAGTTAAATAAAAATATTGTGTATATTTGCCTAATTTATCAATGTTATCAATCTCGCAGGCAGGACAGTTATCTCGACGGAGATTTTTTTATACGATTTTTTCGATCTTCAGTGTAAATGTTGAAATCTATTTGACTTACTAAGATTCAAACAAAAGTTTTCATTGACTTTTGGTAGGAACGTGATGACTGAAGGAGTGTTGTTTAACTTCCTGTTTCTTCCTGATTGGTAGATGTGGAAATGCAACAAAGTTTAATGGACATTGCTTCTCAAGTTTTTTAAACACCTCTATTAATTCCTTTCTTAATTAGTACCATTTGACTGAGAGGTTTTTTGATTTCATTTAAAAATATCTTTTTGATATAAAAAATTTGGCAGTTGCCACTTACTACTACTACTACTACAAAAAAAGGTTAAAACTGTCGTACAGTTACAAAATGGTAACTTAATATATTTTCAAGAGCATAATGCAATAAACTATGATCAATATCAAAGAGTAACCGTTACTATTGGAGCTTTTATGAAAGATCTTTTGTAGGTCCTGTGTTGGATAGACAAATGGGTTCTGATTAATCTTAATTGTAATACTTTTTAATTTGCACTTATTATATATGGAATATTGTTACCAACAACTTTAGCAATAGTATTTACTGAATTTTACTATTCAACAGTGCTCAACATAAAAGTTGATATTGTTGGGCCAACTACCTATATGATAAATAAAGATACTAACTTACATAAAGAAATGAGATCAATATACATTATGTAACAAAATCTATTTCTTTTAAATGATGGTTTTGTACATTGTATCTTATCATACTGGTATGAGTAGTAGCAGTATTTTATCACTGTAGTGACATAGTGTTGACTGAAAGTAACATTAGTACTTAAACAATTAATTGCCCATGATTTACTTCTGCAAATATATATGTAGTTTAAAACCAATGTAAATTTGCATTTGGTCATGATTTTGCTGGTGACCAATTTAATTAGGCAATCAAGCCTCGAGTGTACTGTTATTATTGAACAGCTTTCTGAAATTTAAAAATTTTCGTTTTTATTTTTGCACTTGCAACTTGGTCAATTAAGCTTTCACCTAATTGACTTGTTGCTTCCAAGTCTAATGTGTTGAAATTTGTCATAATATCCAAATTTTTTCTCCATTTTTCTAAGCCATTCCATGCTATCATAATACCATTATCGGTGCACAGTTTCATTGATGGTCTATATACATTATAGCCATAATCAACACTTGCAGCTTTTAAGGCATTGAAAATGTAATTATTACATGCTACACCTCCAGATAAAACTAATTGTTTATTATTTTCTGGAATTAAATTATTGATAGAACAGAATTGCATTGCACGTTGTGTCCTGTGAACAAGATGTTTTGTAGTTGCTATCAATGCAGCACAACATAAATTACTTATTTCAGGTATTAATGCATCAGCAACTACTTTGTGTTCCTTTTCTTTCTTACGCAGGTGGTACAAAACTGAAGTTTTTAATCCATTAAAACTAAAATTGCAATCTTTAACTTGTACCAGTGGTATTGGAAGGTTAAACATCTCTGGATTGGTGGCTCTTAATGCCGCTGTTTCTACAGCTTGTCCTCCACACATAGTGGAGAGTTCAGGTACATTCCTAAGTTTCATTCTCCTAGCAATTTTATCAAATAGTTCACCTGGTGCCATGTCTATACTTTTACCTAGAAGGAGGAACTTGTTTATATTTTGGACCACAGCCAATAAGCAATGACCACCAGAAATGAGTAACACTAAATATGGGAAATTAACATTGTGTTCCATTCTGACTGTCAATGCATGTGCTTCCATATGGTGAATAGGAATTATAGGTTTAGCATTAACTCGTGCTAAATGTTTGGCATACTTCATGCCGACAGCCAGACTTAATGGTAAACCAGGTTTTACTGTAACAGCTATTGCGCTTATGTCTTTCATCAACAGATTAGCTTTTAGTAATGTTTCTGTGACTGTTGGTTCAATATATTTCCGATGAAGATCTTGAGCAACATCAGGTATAATTCCGCCATTTCTTAAATGTACTAAATTTTGGGATTTTAAGGACTCCGCAATGATATTCCCTTCCTCGTTGATTATAGCACATCCAGTATCATCACACGATGTTTCTATTCCGAATATTAAAGTAGAATTACATTTAGAATTCGTTAAAGGTCTTAATTTTTGAAACGTATTCATAGCACTTCTGCAAAGTATTCCTGGCATCATCAATGTTTTGGTCTTTTAAAATCACTTGAAGAAACATACATAGATATCACTTAATTGTCAATGTCATGTGATTAAGTGTATAATCTATGGTCATGTGTATTAATAAGTGTATAAAATATGGTCATGTCAATTCAAATTTCAAATGTTTTTTTCTTCTTTATTTTTGGTTTCGGTACGGTTTGTGTATTAGCCAGTGTTAAGTAATAACATTTTTACAATTCGCCATTTTAATTATTTGCAGTATAAAATGATAATAAAAAACGAAGGAAACTGTCTATGTTGACCATTCTTAATATCAGTTTAAGTAATTAAATTAGCAGTGTGGGACGGTATAGATAAATGAAGTTGAGAAAGTAATTTGATTAATGTAGTAATTAACTCTGCAAATGATAATATGAAGTGAAATGAAATGAAGTTGATTAATATTATGAAACATGGAATGAGATGATATCGGATGAAATATAATTTCAGTAAAATGGTTGTCATTTACTAAGGCTTTCTTAGTGGACTTTATGGAGGATCCCGAGAAGCTAAACAGAGTACTAAACAGTTAATAAACTACCGTTATTATGCATTTAAACCTGAAGAAACACTAAATAGACAAAATAAAACAAATCACACAGCTTTACTCCTGACGTTTCCACCAAAAAGTCCCAATTCAAGTGTTAATTAATATGTGTATTACATAACCGATCTTGCGGACCAAATGGTAAAGAGCGGACGTCGTCCAAAACACGTAAATTCGGATCCTCCCGATCCACTAACGGTGTTTTTAGGTACCCCAAGCACCGATCATCGTTCTCGTCGAACCCGTCGCTTGCGACGAAGGGCTCGACGAGTAAATTAACCCACAGACACAGCCCACTGAGTTTCTCGCCCTCAGTGGGTCGCGTTTCCGATTCGGTGGTAGATTCTGCGAAGCACGGCTCTTGCTAGGGTTCGTGTTAGCAACATCATCAGGTTTGAGCCCCGTGAGTTTACCTACTTCTTAGGTTACGCTGACATAGCCTCTTAAGGCTTAGGTAGGGATTTTTTTTGTGTGTTAATTATATATATATAAGACATATTTATACAGGAGGAATATGATTTATGTTGAAGTGTAAATTCAGAGATTATTTTATTAGTTACTGTTATTAATACTATGGTTGTGATTTTTTAGTCTGAGACACAAATTATTAGTTTAGACGAGAAATTCAGTTATACAAGGGATCAAAGATCATTCATATCTAGATTTTAAAATTAAAATCTCAGTAATATCAGTTTCACGAAAAATAGTTATGTATCGCAAATGGCGCTATAATGTATGGAGTCAAATTGAAGTAGCTGATATTTGGAAGTATCGGCCCATGGATGATAGTAGTACTTCATGCGATGCTGGATCTTTACTTTGTAGAGCACAACTCTTTATCCAGGCGCGCAGATTGCTTTGGCATCTTGAGCGTACTGTTTATGAAGTAATATGAAGGAAGAATTACTGGAAAAACCCTTCAGCCAGGAGGGGTCGGTTTTGCTAACAGCTGCCCGAGCGTCTCCGAAGGAAACCTAACAGCTCAAGGGCAGCTGCTTCGCGAATGCATTTAGAGTGTACTGTTATAACCTTCTACTGAACCGTAATTAGATGGCATGGTCCTCAGTCGTACATCTCGACAATTCTGCCTTGTCAGCACTTATATAGCATTATCAGTGAAGGCACAACCAGCCCACTTATAGACAGTCTAATCACAGCTATCGCGTTAATCGATTGCCTAAGGGTCCTCTTCTTCTCGTACAATATATGTAATCCAATAAACATTATTTTAATTAATTTCAATTACTCTTTTAAAACGACCTCGGAGAGGAACCCTACAATATGCTTACGCTCACTCTTCGTTGTTTTACAAACTAATTTAGCTTTCTCTTAAGATAGCTCGGTAACTTAATATTGCTCAATTTACATCGAATTTAAGATTCCCAATTTTTTCCGAACAATTGTACATTGTATATTATTTATTTATTTATTAATACTTTATGCACAAAACGAAAGTTGTATACAAGCGGACTTAATGCCATGGGCATTCTCTTCCAGTCGACCATAGGGTGGCGCAGAGATAATGCATGGTAGGTGCATTAACAAAAGAATAACAAACAACAACAAAAAAGAAGAAAATCAAAACAAAAATCTTCCTTAAAGTAACATCTCAGTATTATAGAATACACATAATGTTAAATATAGGTACTTATATAGATTACATATGACTTTGTATGCATAAATAAACATACTACAATTTAATATACATGTAAAGTAATAATATATAAATACACATGAAAATACACAATTTAGTATGATAGTTAAGAATGGCTAAAAGTAAAAAATAACAATAATAATAATTGAAAAATAAAATAAATTCGTTTGGAGATGATTCTTCCAGTTTTTTGTGGATGTATTCGCGAACTTTGAGTTTAGAAGTAAAGCGATTGCTGGTCATCCTGATTTCTTTGGGAAGCGAATTCCATAATATTATGGACTGTACAAAGAAAGAAGAATGTAAGAAATCTGAGCGATAAATAGGACATTGTAAGAGACAATTATGTGAAGAACGTAGACTTTTCTCATGGATTGCGTTCAAGTATCTAAAATGCGATTTTAAGTAAGAGGGTGAGGAGGCAGAGTCCAAAAGAGAAAACAAGGTAGTCAGCGCTCTCTCCTCTCTACGCTGACGGATCGGTAAACATTTCAGACGAGTTCGATGTGCGGACACATGGTCATATTTTCTAAGATTGAAAACGAATCGAATGCAATTATTGAGAAGGCCGTCTAGTTTGTTGAGGAGATCTGCATCCAGGTCATAGTAGCACACATCACCGCAGTCGACCATAGGGAAAATTAGTCTGCACAAGCATGGCCTTTACATTCTATGGTAGGATATTTTTTAGCCGATAGAGAGATCGCAAGGTCCTGATAACTTTTTGACTAATGGATGTTATTTGCGCTCTCCAACCAAGTGTAGTGTCAATGTGTAATCCAAGATTTTTGACGTTTCGGCTAAAAGGGATGATTATGTCATTGAAAACAACAGGCGGCAACTTAAAATTACTGATCTTACTCATATTTCGATGGCTACCAAAAATTATCGCCTGGCATTTGGTATAATACGCCTCCTGAAATTTCAGCGCAATAGCAAAAGGGTTCGTCTTTGAACCTGCAAATAATATTTGTCCTCAATGGGTTGAATTGGATAAATTTCAATTCATCTCGTTCGAAGACCTGCCAAAGGGAGCTTCTCCATCTCAACCCTAAGTTTAGATAGACCTAGAGGCAAAATTATACATTTGTATTTCCTTAAAAAACTTTCCAACATTATTCCGCGCTGTTTAACAACCGCTTGAGGGTTCAGCGTTCGCACTGGTCTGGTCTAAATACTTAAAGCGACAAAACACTTTTTTTTAAACATTTTTACCACTATTTCTTAAATGAACACAGCATTTCAAACATCATTTTTTAAAATGATGTTTGAAATGTTTATCTATAAATTTATTTCAGTAGTGTATAAATTTAAGGTAGATACGCGTTGATCGTATTTCACGGCATGCATAATGATTTGATCCACTTCAATTGCAGGACCGTTCACATTGTAAGACTCATGTCTAAATAGTTTTAAAAAATAATGCGGTGTATACTTTTTAGTCTACCCTCGATATTGGTAAAGAGGCACAGTATAGAAATGCTAGAATGCTTGGTTTGTTAGATAATGTTACGGTTCTTTTCGCACAATTTTCTGGTTTAGCCGCACGCACCTCAGGCGGTTTCGCGAGAATACAAATTCATACATTGCAACTGATTAACAAAAAAACACACATACCAGAAAACTACGGTGACAGGAAATTTCCCTTCGTTTGAATATTAAAATATGCAAAAAAGAGCTACCACATATAGGTTAAGGAAAGGAGTATTATAATTGCACTCCATGGACGGCGAATCAGTTACCGTGTTCACTAGAAGTGTACATGACAATCTTCAGAAGAAGCAAAGTGGTCAGCCAGCCGATTTATACAGAGAAAAACGTTTTTTGTCTAAGATTATAATTTGTTTTCGTAAGGAAACAGTTGTCGATAATGTTTTCATAGTTCGAATTGCTTTGCAATGACTGATAGTAATTTTAGAATTGTAGGAAACATGTTTTATTGGTGGTAGGACCTCTTGTGAGTCCGCGCGGGTAGGTACCACCGCCCTGCCTGTTTCTGCCGTGAAGCAGTAGTGCGTTTCGGTTTGAAGGGTAGGGCAGCCGTTGTAACTATACTGAGATCTTAGAAGTTATATCTCAATGTGGCGCATTTACGTTGTAAATGTCTATGGACTCCAGTAACCACTTAACACCAGGTGGGCTGTGAGCTCGTCCACCATCTAAGCAATAAAAAAAAACAATTGTTTGATATTTCATAAAATAACTTATAAATACTCATAGTATGAAATAAGTAAAAATCTTGGTCTTATTAAAGATACTGCACTTTAGAACGTAGGTGAAGCTTATTTATGTTGTTTAAATCGTTGACGCACTTCGAGAAATCAAATATTCAAATATGGATAAAGTTACGGTGCGGTCCAGAATAATCTTTTGTTCAAATACATAATTCCCAATGGACGGTGTATTTTTTGTAAGTCTATTCTTTGGCTCAGTGATTCGATGCAGTCCGCACATACCGCTTAATGCTTCAGTTTAGGAAACATGTTTGTTAGATTAACAGTTAAAAATAATATTCCCTACCGGGCGAGGAAATGTGTTTACAGAAGGGCGTCTGAAAATTTTGTGGGTAGTGAACATGCCAGTAAGGTCAATGAAGAGGGAGATAATCTCATGAATTTCGAAGATATACCGGGACCTCGAAGTTATCCCATTATTGGTACGCTTCATAAATACCTACCTTTAATTGGTAAGTAAATTAATTTATTAAAATTTAAACGAATTTTTGAATATAGGCAAGTATTTGAGTTTGAATTATGTACCGTACGTTGTTTTGATTTATTTCGTAAATCTTACGTGCGAACGAGCTCATGGCCCATCTGGAGTTAGGTGTTTACCTAAAATTGTAGATATTACAGCTGATCCCACACTTCAAAACGGGGCGCATGAGTACTTCGTAGCAGGTTTGTGGATTGTATGCAACAGCAGGGTTGTGTTATCTATCCGTGCGCATCTACAACACGTCTAATAATTAAGCGGATTTAAAAAAATTGCGGTATTCTTTTAAACTACACGTTAATATTCCATTACCGTAGAATTCGTTCGCGAACACGTGTTGGGTGCGTTTAACATTAAAAAAAAAAGTTACGGCGTAGTGGCATCGCAAAATAAATATCGTCGCATAATAAATCAAAAAAATCCAAATGTTTTGGATCTTTCTAATAATTATTATCACATAAACTAAAATGAAGGGTTTCACACACAATAATGGATACATTATAAAAATGAAAACAGTGCATTTCTTAATCCCCTTTTTGTACTGCTTGGTGATTTGTGATAACTGTTGTTATATCTGATCTCTTTGACTTTGACCAATATATGATGTAGGCACATATTCGTAAGTGTGTCGCAGTTACTCAATTTACGTATATCATCAATTTTGATTCAGCTACTTTTGTGGCAATTACTGTATTTGGCTATTATGTAGATACCTAAAAATTACGCTTTGTTCTGTTTCGCTTAGGTTTTTTGTATTTGGATGATCCAAGCATGCGGTCATCACATATCCAAATCACACAATTACTAATTAATTAATTAATTAAAAGCAGTTTATTTTCTGGTCCTAGTAAAAAAATATAGATCTAAATTAATTACAGTGCATTGATAGAAGGAATAAATCTTGTATGAAGATCTCCATTTCTGGGGTCATTGTGGTCCCGAAATATTTTTAGTATCATCTTCCAAACGTGTCAATGGTATGCCTTTGTAGGGCTTGTCTGATCGTCCTTTCCAGGTAGTAACATAGTTTTTCTTGCATCTGAGGTCACTAGCCACAGCCAAGCCGCTTCTATTGGTGGTAGGACCTCTTGTGAGTCCGCATGGGTAGGTACCACCACCCAGCCTAATTCTGCTGTGAAGCAGTAATGCGTTTCGGTTGGAACGGTGGAGCAGCCGTTGTAACTATTCTGAGACCTTATAACTCAGATCTCATGGTGGGTGAAAAAAAAAAAACTTCCTTCCAGCTCAACAAATCACTTACGTCTAGAACACTTTTGTCTAGTTCTATTACTATCTCTTTTTTTGGTACAGNGGACTTCAGCAATGCCAGGGGCAGAACCAAGCCGCTGCCTACCGCTTAATACTCTCCACAAGCCTCGTTTGAAGAAGGACATGTCATAGCGCTCGGGAAACACCGTGGAGGGGAGCTCATTCCATAGCCGGATGGTACGTGGCAAAAAAGATCTCTGGAAACGCACTGTGGATGATCGCAGTGGCTCCAGGTAGTACGGATGAACTCTACTCCGATGGCGGGCGGTGCGGTGGTAAAAACGAGATGCCGGTATCATCTCGAACAATTCCTCAGAGCACTCTGAGACCTTATATCTCAGATCTCATGGTGGGTGAAAAAAAAAACTTCTATCCAGCTCAACAAATCACTTACGTCTAGAACACTTTTGTCTAGTTCTATTACTATCTCTTTTTTTGGTACAGTTGATTATAAAACTCTCTTTTTTCTAGGCTAGTTGGCTAATGGCGTATTCCAGTATTACATTGATTTGTTTTGGGAACGGGATTCACATTTTATTACTCCTCTTCACGATGGAAAACTTGGGCAAATAGTGTCTAGTTTAATGCTAGTCAAGTTCTTAATCTCCTTTAGTAGTTTTCTCATTGATTCTGTCACTACATTTTGTGTATTTAGAGAGTATCCTGTATAACTTCGTATGAAATAGTATCGAAGGTTTTCTGTTAGTCCATGAATGTGATATAAAGTGGTGTCTATTGTTCTTATTATTGTTCAATTACGAGCTTTAGCTTTACCGTATACCTATGTGCAATACCGTCTTTACCATAAGGGCACACGGGGCCCGTGCCCAGGGCCCCCATTCTCAGAGGGCCCCGAAAGACCGACAATTTCTCTCACACGTTTATTCTCAAAACATTTTTGTTGGGCAAATTACACTTTTTTCACAAATCAGTAATCAGAAGGTATTTACAAGGCATATACTATGTCTATAATAGAAGATTTTGCTCAACAGAAATCCCGAAAGAAACCATTATCGAAATAGTAACCAAAAAACCAACAGCATTCTAATATCATTAATGACATATTACATTCTATTTGATCTATAATAAATGGTCATACTCAGTAAAAAAAATGTTATTATAATTCGCTTTTTTTACTTTCCAAAAAAAAGGGCTTCAAATTCTTGTGTGCCCAAGAGCCCCATCCATAGAGTTACTATTCTAACTGGAGTGCTTACTTCGTTTGACATAAAAACTAAAAATATACTTTATCTCTATGGCTTAAAGCTTATTTTTAAATAGCAAAAGATGTAAGGAAAAACGGTCTGAAAAGAGAATGATTATTAAGTGGTGGTGTCCCTCTCGCACATTTTACAAACAAAAAGCAATGTTGCTAGCTTAGAGGATTTTCCACAAAATCTCGTAATTTGGACCCCTGTCTTAGTTATCAAAAATGGCTTTTAGTGGTTAGTGGATTTTTTAGTAGCTTGGGCGTTGTTGAAAATTATCGAAAAGGTTAAAATCAATCCACTTTACAGGATTTTAAACATTTTATGACAATAATATATCTAAATATATATTATTTAAACGATGTGACTTAAACTTAACTAGAAAATGTTGCGACAATTTAGAATTTTCATCAACGTCAAAAATTAAATTGGTTCAAAAGAAACGTACAAAGTTATGGTGGAATTAGTTTCTGATGATGATAATTTATTGAAATAAATTATATAAGAAGTATTGATTATATGATATATATTGATTTTTGATAAAACATCATATATTAATAAAACTCATTAACAAAAAAATTTTTGTTCTATAATAATAAAAACTCTGTTTAATGGAAAATTAAATGGTAGGTAGGTAGATTTCTGATGGTTTTCATGTTGAATTTGGTGGGAAGCCAGATTAATTGTTGGCATCACCGAAAAAGAGCTATGAATGGATTAAAAGAAAAATGGCGTCTATTTACGTTTGTAGTTCTAAGTTAAAAGGGCACTGATACAGCTTGTGGCTTGTTTTTTTCGAAAATCGTGAAAGTTTCCGTGTAATCATGGTGGATACTTGTATTGTAAGTGGTTGTAAGCGAGAATCCTCTCCAGTTTGTGGAATATCCTTCCATATGTCAGATTCATTGATAAATTTTTACTAGTGTGAGCATATATTTTTAAAATGTGAGATATTATTTCTTATTATAATATTTAATACCATTTGTCTTGTAAATTGTACTTAATCTATGTCATATACTAAATTTGAAAAAACAATCGTGAAAAACTATAATTTTGCAATGTATTTTTCATATTATAAGAGCCATCACGTGGTATTTTTGGAACTTTTTTATTGTATTGAATAGCGTCGCACGCAAGCATGTATATCATTTGCCTGACGTTAAGCGAACGAGGAGGATCTTCTAGTAAATATGACTGGCATTTCTGGAAAATGTCCTATATAAAGGTCAAACAAGAGGAATCAAGTACTCAAACGCAAGAAATAAAAAATACCCCGAGAAAAGCAAAATTACGACAAGATGTTAAGGTTTTGAAACAAAAACTTAAAAGTCGCGAAATAGTGATTGTAAATATAAAGTCGATTTTAGATTTATTAAAGAAAAATGGCAATTTAATTGAATTGAAATTTAAATTGCGAAATAATAATGATACACATGGTCCACTTAGATATTGATTAACATAAATTATATATTTCGTTGAAAAAAAGAATTTATATAAAATAGAGAAAATGTTATATTATAAGACTACAGAAAATTAACTGAACTTAATAATAATAATATAACCAATATTTCGTAAATAGAGATCAAGTACTATGTGTATTGTGTTATGTTTATTGACTTGTCATTTAAGAGTTATTTAATTGTCTACATTTATAACAAATAAATGAATTTCAGTTCATTTCAATTTATTACCCATTGTGTTTTATTTCCTAAAATATAACTAGTAGACTTAATATACACGTGTCATGAAAATAGCAGAGAAGTAAAAATACAAGCAATTTTAAATCAATTGAAGATGTGAATGTAGGAAAAGAGCACCCGATACGCGCAGACCATGTGTGTTGCAGTGTCTTACTCAGTGTGTCAAATCTTAATTTGCACTGCCCACTTAGCCAGTACATTAAAGTAGGAATTGCGTAATTAAGTTCAACATAATATTTAAGTCGCGGTTGAGTATTCGGACGTTAAACATGAGTTTGAGGAAGTTTAAGTAATAGAACTGAGGTAATGATGTTTGTAAAAAACTCAGTGCTAGATTTACGACTACGAAGCAATTTCTAAAAAAACCGTCGAAAAAAGTCACCATGACGACGAAGAAATGTTTAGAATTGAATTTACATAAATAAACTGTTGCAAGCACGTGTTTTGTATTTACATAGCGCTACACAGAATTACTTAAGGTAAATTCAAAACTGATGCATGTGTATAATTTTGTCCTTTAAATAAATTTTATATGGTCACCACATTAGACAAGGACACCGCGACCAAAAAGTATTCTCTTTCGAGACCGATTTCTCGGCATTAGACAGCACTCCAGTTGTAGGTACTTATTAACTCCATGGCCCCATCCTAGTTTAAGACGTCACTGCCTATGTGTGTGTAGATGGTTTCATAGGCCTGTTTTTGCTCATAAAATTATGACCACTTTTTTGGAGAATCAGAGAATATTGAACGGAATATTTAACTCAAACTGTTTTGTTGTCTACTTGATCTTTTTTAATTGATTTTAATTATTGCTTTAAAACGTCACCTTATAATATCTTCACTTATTTTCCTGATAATTTTATGACTTTATATATTTGATGAATAGTACCTTTTTTTTCAGGTGACTATGACGCCGAAGCTTTAGATAAGAATGCAATATTGAATTGGCGACGTTATGGTAGCTTAGTTAGAGAAAAACCGATTGTCAATTTAGTCCATGTTTATGATCCGGATGACATTGAGGCGGTGTTCCGACAAGACCACCGCTATCCAGCGAGGCGCAGTCATACCGCTATGAACTACTACAGAACCAACAAACCGAATGTATACAACACTGGAGGGCTTCTTGCGACGTAATGAGAATTTTATAAGGAACTAGCTGACCCGGCAGACTTCGTAGTGCCTCGATCGATAAATAAAATACCTAAGCTTTTGTATAAAATAAACTTAAAACAAACAAAAGGAATCCGTCCGACAGGGGACACATCAAAGGAAAAGCAAAATTGCTATTTGCTTATTTAATTCCGAGCATTTTCATATTTATCTACATTTTAAACCTTCTCTGGACTTCCACAAATAAGTCAAGACTAAAATTAGCCAAATCAGTCCAGCCGTTCTCGAGTTTTAGCTAGACTAACGAACAGCAATTCATTTTTATATATGTATATAGATTATATTGCTTGCTTCGTAGGGCAAATTATAGTGACCATAAAGTTGTCACACCCCATTGGTTTTTTCTGACATAATATCTATGTTTCTTTACTTAATAATATTATAAAAAGGAAATATTTGTTTGTTTGTTTGTATTGAATAGGCTCCGAAAGTACTGAACCGATTTGAAAAATTATTTCACTGTTTGGAAGCTACACTATTCCAGAGTGACATATGCTATAATCTTTTTTGAAAAAAAATTGGGATCCCTACTAAAACTCCAATAATTTAACCCAAGGTGTAAAAAAATTACCTAAAATATTCTTTACATCGCGTGCCCTGCGAAAACTATCGATGATAGAATAAAATAATGTATGGACTACGACTTTGTAGAACACATTATTATTTACAAAAAGTGTCGCGACAGCATATGTCTAACTTTTATAGTTATGCCCCAATAAGCGTTATTTTATTTAAAAAATAAAACAACGTTAAATATCGTTGAAAATTTTGCTAAAGACCCGAGCGGAGCCGAAGCGGGCCGCTAGTGTTTTTATATTCACACTATTGTGTCGTGCCAGTTTTTGGCAGCCATAACACAAGAGAAAAACTTGACTTAGAGCCGTTGCATGCAACGTTTATTAATTTGTTAATCTTGTATAGATAATAGTTACAATATTACAAAATAGTGGTAAAATTAATCATCGACCCGTTTTTATTACTGTTGATAACATTCAATATATCCGAAACGTAACACTATAATAAATATTGAGAAATGGTATTGAGGATGCAGCGAAACAAAAAGAACATTCTCGAGAAGATTCTGCGTAGGTTAACGTAAAATAAATACGTGTTTAATACGAAGCAGAATCATCTTTTATATGGAGACAAAAACAGGAAGGTTCTCTGTAAGCCGATTGTCTTAATGTTGTTATTCGAAACATCGTCAGGCTTATCTTGAAGAAGTCTTAAGCGCGATTCTAGTCTTTGTCATAAAACTACTACTACCTGAAATATCTATTAATTTATGCAATTACTGCTGGTAGCTTATATTCAGAATTCAGAACCATAAAAAGGTCTTGCACTCTGAATTTAAGGCCAAAAAACAGCGGTTTCTATGGCAGAAATAAGACTGACCTCAATTCACTTTAATCTATAGTAAACGATTAGGCACGATAGTGTTTGTTTGTACAACAATTTAAAGAAAGATAAGGCCATGTTTTGACAAACGCGTATCAATTAGATTGTTAATAAAACTGTGAGTTTTGAGATCTGCATCTGCATATATGCATTTTGAGAAAATCCGGTATTGTTTATTGTATTATATTGTTGATCGCAATGTTTCACAAGATCAAAATCGGACGTGAATGCCTTAAATTATTTACCTTTTGTCCCATCCAAAAATCTTAGAATATGATAATTCATTCTCAATTCCAAATACCGGGCCGGCACATTTGTTTTTATAACGAACGGATCCTTTTGTGTAAAGTGGGTGCCCCCAGACTTCTTAAAAGATCTATTAATCTGCAGATCAAAAGTACAGAACTTAAATATTTATTTATTTATTTAATATATTTTTTACTTTTTACACACAGCTCTTAGAAGAAACACGAAAATAAGGATACGGAGTACTAGGGCACTATTTATTTCATGTTGAAATCTCTTCCAGTAGGCCCGCAAAAGGAAAGAAGAATTAGGAACACAAACCTATAAAAAATTTAATTAATTAATTAAATTAATCTTAAAAATTGAGACAATTTCAAATAGTATTTTAACCGTTACGATATTTTAGCAACGGACCCGATTGGTGGAGACTCAGAAGCATATTTCAAAAGAATTTCACGAGTCCACAAAGTGTTAAAACTCACGTCTCGGACACCGATAATATCGCGAAAGAATTCGTTGAGTGGATAAAGAGAGACAAGGTGTCATCTAAAAATGATTTTTTAACGTTTCTAAATCGCCTCAACTTAGAAAGTGAGTTCGAATGAATGTCTACATATTATAAATTGCTTGTACAAAAAAAAAAGTATATTCAAATGTTTTTTTTTCAGTCATAGGTGTAGCAGCTTTTAACGAACGCTTCAATAGTTTCGCTTTGAGCGAGCAAGATCCCGAGAGTCGCAGCAGCAAAACGATAGCGGCAGCATTCGGATCAAATTCTGGGGTCATGAAGCTTGATAAAGGATTTCTCTGGAAAATTTTTAGTACTCCACTATACAAGAAACTCGTGAACTCTCAAATCTATTTAGAGAAGTACGTACCTGTGTTAAATAATGAACATAACCAGTGTTCGCCGAATAATTAATATAATCGCTAGATTAGAAGATTCAAATTCATTTCATTGTAATATCTACATATATTATATATTTTCTCTTTTGTTTTCGAAATTTAAAAAAGGCAGTTTGTTTTTATTGTACCTATTTTTTCGAGGACTCTTAATTAATCTAATAGGTACCGTTTAGCACCAATGAGACGCAAGTGACACCTTTTAAGTTGAAATTAGGCTGTAGAGCGTAAAAATAGTTATAAATAGATATGTATTGCACCCAAAAAACTTCATCCATTATCGGCCGTTGGGTGAAATATTAAATATATGTATAAGTAGAGAAAAAATTGTATCGAAATTTTTGTCACTTTTGAAAAAAGAAATAAGCCAATAACAAAAAAAAAAATCATGACCAAATTAAGGCTTGTTCGTTGCAACTAAATAAAAAACCCCTTAAGAAACATTACAAAATCTTTAACAGAATAATCAATTTATTTACATTACAGAATTTCCACAGATATATTGATTAGAAAGATTAATCTCTTCGAATCCGATGATAGTAAAAACGATAAATCTTTGTTAAAAACATTTCTTCAACAATCCCAGCTGGATCATAAGGATATCATGGGAATGATGGTTGATATTCTAATGGCCGCAATCGACACAGTGAGTGTTTGAAATTTTAGCATTTAATGCATAGAGGGAGTGAAACCTTTTGTTACTTAAGTCATGTCATGTTACAGACAGCCTACACGACAAGCTTCGTATTGTACCATATAGCCCGTAATAAGAGATGCCAGGACGAAATATTTGAAGAGCTACATACATTATTACCAAAGAAAGATGATGAGATAACCGCTGACGTTATTTCTAAAGCGTCATACGTGAGAAGCAGTATTAAAGAGAGTTTGAGACTTAATCCGGTATCGATTGGAATAGGCAGATGGTTACAGAAGGATATAGTTTTAAAAGGATATTCCATTCCTAAGGGAGTATGTATAACTTTTTCTATGTATATCAATCTCATTTCATTCTCCTTCTTTGACTGACCAAAATCCTTTAATAATTCTTCGGCTTAGGCTAGACGACCGGTATAATTGATATTACTATTTTTCGGTTCTAGATTTGTTTTTGTAGTAATTCCTTGTGGTATCATTTTGAGGGCTCAAACTGATTTAAAGAAAACTGATCTCCACTGTTGCCAATGGTATACGTTCATACAGGATAGTATTTTTTTTCCTACCTATTCTAGTAACCTCGAGGGGCTATTCTAGATTCATCGAGCTAGTAGGTGAGCTCACGGGGCTCAAACTGGGAGTGTTGCTAACACTGGCCCTAGCAAGAGCAGTGTTTCGCAGAATCTTCCATCGGATCGGAAACGCGACTCACCAAGTAGATCCGGCGAGAAATTCAGTGGGCTAACGGGATAGTGAGAACTTACTCACTCATTACTTATTAGCAATGTCAATAGCACAGCCGAGTTGTTCCGAACTAATATGAAGGTAGGCAGCGGCTTGGCTCTGCCCCTGGCATTGCTGACGTCCATGAGCGACGATGACCACTTACCATCAGGTGGGTCGTATGCTCGTCTGCCTACAATGGCAATAAAAAAATTAAAAAATTAAAGTGTAATTTGGAGACGACCTTATTATGACGCTGAGTGTACACGGAGAAGAGGCGTCCATTTTAGAGCCGTATGATACGGGCACAGATATTATCTTCTGGGATGTACCATGGATGTACGGGGCGAGCGATTCTATGTAGTACTAGTGATAGTAGGTGACTTTTAAACCTGACGACAGAACCAGGCGTAGATATGACAGAAGCGACTCTCTTTCCATAGGTATATAAACTGCGTTTTATCAAAACTGTCTCGTCATGGTTAATATGATTAGTGTCATCATTGTTTTAAATTACTGTTATTACTAATTATTTATAATATTACTGGTGGTAGGGCGCCTTATGAGGACGCATCGGCAGGTACCAACACCCTGCCTATTTCTGCCATGAAGCAGTAATGGTTTCGGTTCGAAGGGTGGGGCAGTCGTTGTACTGTAAAAACTGAAACTTAAAACTAATATCTCAAGATGGGCGGCGGCTTTGTTGTGGTTGATATAATATGTATATGGGATCCGGTAATCACTTAATATGTGAGCCCGTCCACCCATCTTACAAAAATGTCACTTAAATTGTCCACAGACTGTTATAGTGACGCAAAACATGACGGCATCACGGTTGCCGCAGTTCATACGGGACCCCTTAACCTTCAAGCCTGAACGTTGGATGCGTGGTTCACCGCAATACGAGACCATTCATCCGTTTCTGAGCTTGCCTTTTGGTCACGGGCCCCGTTCGTGTATTGCAAGAAGACTGGCCGAGCAAAATATTTGCATTACCTTAATGAGGGTAAGGGTATTGATCTATTTTAAGACACATTTTTTGGTTAAAACTGTTTTTTTTTGTTAGTCAACCTCTAACCTTTACATTCGTTTTATTGACGCGTAAGCCATTCTTGAATTATTAGGTGTACTACATTTCAAGTTATCGCAAGTCAAGAGTCAGAATTTTTGTATTGAGTTATTAAAAGATATGGATAAGAATATTATGGAACATCAGTCTTCGTTTTTTCATATATTGTTAATTCGAAGTAGTAGTATTTTGGAAGTTTTTGTATGAAACAACTCGGGAAAAACAAATGTGATATTGTGTCTTAAAATACTCTTGTAATTCTCCAGTTAATTCGTGAGTTTGAAATCCAATGGGCCGGCGAGGAGCTTGGAGTGAAGACACTGCTTATAAATAAACCAAACAAACCTGTATCACTTAACTTTATTCCAAGAAGTAGTTAACATTAATTATTAGGAAGTTTTATTATTTTATTACGTTCAACAATCTGTAATAAATATCGAAAAGAGAAAATTGTTGTTTACATTTTTTTTTATATTGTTTATTTTATTTTAAAGCACTAACTGATTGTCGAAGTTTGTACTGTATTTATTTACACAAAAATACAAATACACAAAGCGTTTGCCAGTCTTAAAAGACATCGTTTCGCTGTTTTTATTGTTTTTGGCCAAAGCATCGATTACTCTGATTTGAAGTCGAAGTCACAATTTCATTGCAATAGTGTCTGTACATTAAAAATAAAACATTTTTTGTATTTTTTTATTATTTATTAAACACGTTTTGTTAAATAAAAATAAAATTTACAATAATAATATTAGCAAGTATTATTTATTACAAGTCCTGTAAAGGTTTAAAGGTGAACTAATATAAGTACAAAAATCTTCAGAACTTAACAAAGAAGAAAATTTGCAAATGATTTTAAAATAAATTAATTCCCCAGTAGTCAAAGCAACAAGTTGCCATTTTATTGAAAAATAAAAATGATGATGATGATGATGCTTAGATGCCTGATATTTAATAATGACAAATTATTCGCCTTGACTCAAAACATCCACCTTTTATTATTAAAATGCATTACTGCATAAGTTAATAACGTACTTTTATTATTAGTTATATGCTACTTATGTATGATCAAAACACATTTTTATATTTGGTGGAAAATGAACGGTACCAAAAGACAGGCCCAAATACGATTGACCATTTTAAGCGCCCACACAAGTTGTACATTACCATTTTCATATATTTTAATGAGTTCACTGACTCTGATACTACAAACTCTAATTTTCTTCATAAAATATCGTGAACATTTCGTATTTTTAGAGCTTTAACGGTAAACGAGTATTTCTAACCGCGTAAGAAAATGTCAAAGAACAGTATGTAATAATAATTTATTATTATTTTTCTTCTAGGTGTTTTCCCATACGATGGCACTTAAATTAAATATATTTATATTTTGGTTTTCTAACGGTGATAAATTCGATTGTTTATTTGTTCGGATAAGAAATATTATAGATCTTCTTCATTTTACCCTCACTGCCAAGGATCACGACCACATGTGGTACTTTCCTCCATAGTGTTCGGTCATGGGTGGCATGGATCGCATTGTATAAGCTATCACCAACCACTTTCTTAATCAGATCTCACCATCTGGCTGGTGTTCTACCCACGGCGAACTTGTCTTCTATGCAGCCCAAAATTATGAGCATCTCTAATTCATGTCTGGGAGACCGCATGATGTGTCCGAAGAAGCTCATAACATAACATTTCATTTTTTATAGATAGCGTTCTGTAATCTATGGTAATTATACACATTCAAATTAAGTAGTAATTGGCTAAGAAATTTTCGTTTCGTTCGATAAATCTAATAGTTTTGCCTTCACTAATTTCGTTTTTTTTGAACCTAGCAATACTGGTCAATAAATAAATTAGGTAACTTTATTCACACTGACGCATATGTACGTTTTCGATTATTTTTTTCTATTTTTTAGCAATCGGTCGTGGATCGTAAGGAGTTGCGTCGTGTCCGACGTATCTATTGTTTTTTCTTATCTGAAAACCTTCCCCGGGAGCGGTATTGTAATAAATAACTCGTCGAATACCAAAAGGATCTACATAACCGAAGCTGCCTATTCTATCGTTAACATCTCCCGTGTTTTCCTCGTGGTACTGCTTTGGAAGATAATATCTGAAACCGTTTCTTCTAAACGGCGCACCATCGTAAGTTGAGAATTGTGGAGTATAGCCGTCTCCTAGTTCGGCGGTTGGTCGCTGCCGCCGCAACCAATCATCGGCATGTCTATACGAATTAGGATTAAATACGTCATATCTTTGACTGTCACTAGCATAATACCCGTCGTCAAGTGAATTGGTATTCGGGGGTTCGTAGGCATAAGGGTTTGGTGTTGTAGCGTCTCTGTTGGTCACTGATGTTACAGTAGGTCTGTAATCATAAGCTGTAGAAGAATCAATAGAGTTTGGTGATACAAATACTCGTGGAGTTGAGCTCGGATGGGAAAATGTAGGTGGGGCTGGTGTAATTGTGACATCTGAGGAGGAGAAGTGCGGTGGTTCTATAGTGGAAGAAGGTAGTGGTGAATGTGTCGTAGATGTGAATCGGGGCGGCCCTCGATTACGTTGTACGGCGGGCGCTCGCGTCACTCCATATCCCGAGTCTGTGGGTGCGGTTTTCGCTATATTCAAAGACTCCTGAAAATATAAAATTTGAGGCATTAAAATCATCAAAACAGTACCGAGAATCATATCCTTATTAAGGTACATATATGTATTATATTTGACTATTTCAACAACTTATTAGGTTTCATCCGTTTCATTATTGAAGTATAGAGATTATTAGATAGATAATACTTTTTAAACAGATCATTAATATAGTTTGATTACATCAAATCATTTGCTTCGTTCTGAGTCGATTGAGCTTACCATAAAATAGATCATTACATCATCCACCTTATTATTATTATTATTATTTTTATTGCCCTTGTAGGTAGATGGGCATACGGCCCACCTGATGGTGAGTGGTTACCGTCGCCCATGGACTTCAGCAATGCCAGGGGCAGACCCAAGCCGCTGCCTACCGTTAAGTACTCTCCGCAAGCCTCGTTTGAAGAAGGATATGTCATAGCGCCCGGGAAACACCGTGGAGGGGAGCTCATTCCAAAGCCAGATGGTACATGATAAAAAATATATCTGGAAACGCACTGTGGATCAACGCAGTGGCTCCAGGTAGTATGGATGAACTCTACTCCGGAGGCGGGCGGTGCGATGGTAAAAACCAGATGATGGTGTCATCTCAAACAATTCCTCAGAGCACTAATATCCAAAACATAAAATGATAGCTTTATTCTGCGGATTGATTAATACATACACTTATCGGTCGGTTTTGTCCAACATATACAGTTTTGGATTTGTATATTCTATAACCCTGGTCGTCAGCTATGTAATCTTGTAAGCGTAGAAATCCATCTGCGCCAACCCAGCCTGTTGTGCCTGTAACCATTCTCTAAGTAAATTTGTACTATTCGTAAATTACATTTCTCGAAAATTCATAAAAAATATTGTATTAACTTAAATGTTACTTTTAAAAATGATATTAAAATTGTCGAATTTGTTCCTCATGCATAGAATATAAATGATCATTTTAAAAATGATACCAATATTATTGAATTTCTTCATCTCATGCATATAAACTGAGGGACTTAATTCACACTTGGTTTAATTAAAAAGAAACATTCTCGCTTAAGAAAGGGTAAGGCTTTGTTGAAAGTACACTGACTGATTATTCTCGCAATTTTTTATTATTTTTGTTATGTTAGTTTTGACGTTTTGAATACTTAACAGTTTTTTGGACAAGTGACTATCGACTATTGAATTTTGTGCTAAATTTTACTCACAACAATTATGTCTACAATGGTTTTAGAGAAACTGAAGAGAAGTTAATTCTTTTTCAAAAACACTTACGATATTGTATTTTAAACGCTAACGCTAATATAACGCTCACCAACTACGGATCCATCTTTTAACCTCCTTTCTTTACGATACTGTCCATTGTGAGTTTGGTAGAGGAAGTAGCGCTCGTCCTCGTCATCAGTTTGTATGTGGAACTGATCGGGGTCTTGTTGGGGACTGTAGCCGTCTAACGCCGCGAGTGAACTGCAGGCAAATACCTGGAAAGTGGTAATATAAATATTTTACTTTGCCTTTGTTTAATCCACCTATATCAATTTAGTTTCAGAAGAAATTATTATGTTTAACAATCTCTTTTATTTATTTATTGCTTAGATGGGTGGACGAGCTCACAGCCCACCTGGTGTTAAGTGGTTACTGGCGCCCATAGACATCTACAACGTAAATGCGCCACCCATCTTGAAATATAAGTTCTAAGAACTCGGTATAGTTACAACGGCTGCCCTACCCTTCAGACCGAAACGCATTACTGCTTCACGGCAGAAATAGGCAGGGCGGTGGTACGTACCCGCGCGGACTCACAAGAGGTCCTACCACCAGTAAATTAGAGGTTTACATTTACATCTCTAATTAGAGGTTTACAGATTAGATATCGGTAATTAATTATTAAAGATTTAAATAAACAACCTTAGAATAAGCTTTCAGTTCAGCTATTAGAAAAACTCAAATTAATTATTCATATACATCTATAGCATGACCTTGTAAAGGGAAATAATCCTCATGTTTGCTTCTATCTAAGTTTTGAGATCCGTATCTACACATTTTATTTTACAACCACTGCACAAATACTGCTAAGCTATCTTATAAACAGACTTCTCTCTACTAATATGAGCCTAGAATGGTTTTATTTAGAGTTTATTTCATATTATCCGAGTAAAAGTTTGTTTTATCCATTTCATATCAAGTGCTATGGATGTGGGTTGAAACCAAGGCCTGTAGTAGTTAATTAGTGATTAGTGAAGTGTCTTGTTCATAATCACAACTTAACCGAGCGTGGGAGTAGTCAGTAGGGATCGTTCGAAACAACAGTTTATTAGTTGTGGTGTCAAGGATTTTACAAATAAACTACAGATAGAACGGACAGTCTCATTGTTTCCAATGATATACGAGAGGTTGAGATGGCCCTTTTATCACTGTTGCTTGCTGATGGACAAGTATGGAAAGAAAAGATGGCGCAGTGATATTGACACTTGCAGACTTCACTGGGAGCAGGCTTAGGGACCCCGGTAACCGTACTCGTAGAACTCGACAAAGAGTTCGACGTGCAACGTAACCCTTGCATTAGCCCAATGAGTTTCTCGCCGGATCTTCTCAGCGGGTCGCGATTCCGATCTGGTAGTAGATTCATTCGCGAAGCAGATGCTCTTGAGCTGTTAGGTCTCCTTCGGAGGCGCTCAGGCAGTTGTTAGCAATTCCCACCCCTCTTGACTGAGCCTTTACTCACCCACTTATCCTGGTGAAACTGGAAAGGCCTTCGGGCCACCAGTAATCCTTCAATCATAAAATAAAACTTGTAGACTTATACTGTTCGCCCGAAATACACATCAGAGTGTATCTTTACACGAGACACCGGGTGTCTCACTAATTAGAACCACAGACGGGTAATAAGCAAACTGATAAATTGTACTCTAATTAAAGTTCGCGAAGTGTTTGTGACAAAGTGAGTTCTTCATTGATGGGTACTTAAGGTTTAAGTTGGTAAACATGCATTGTTATTAAGTGTAGTGCCCATAAAATCGGCTAGGTATATAAGACAATGGTTTCGTAGTAAATTAGAGACGGATTCAACAATTTCTAAAACAATAGATATTAACTGGACTTTGAAGGTCTTTTAAGACGTAGCGATACATATGTTTGTGTACACGAGTATTTCATGAAGTAAACTATGGTAGTACGTTTTCATTTGAGTGTTCAACAATGATTTTATATTTTTTAAATCGAGTTCGCATTAACATTTTCAACATTTCAAGTACGCAAAATGGAATTCCTAATTAATATTTTAAAACTACGAGTTGTTATTGCCTTTTTTGCTGTTTATTTTTCTAAACGGAAAAAAAACATCCAGGGGTAATAAAATATTTTATTTAAAAAAAACAATGACTAATATTTTCTATCATGTTGGTTCTGTAGAAAATGGTGAATTTTAATATTTCATCCAAACTTCAGTTCGCTTATGCTCCTAGAGTTTCATTTTATCAGGAAATGCTGTTACACAGATAATAGACATTAGATTCTCTTTTTATTTGACATTTGTTTAAGGAAACGTTTTATTAAAATCAATGTTGCCAGCTGTAATAGCATCTACCTACTCATACGATGCTACATAGAATATCAATGTTTTCCACTGATTAAGACCTATGTTGTGAGGGCCGCCACAACCTCGGGCTATACGTGGGTTGATAACTAAAGAACTACGCGGAAATGTCCACATGCAACATTAGACACGTCGCAAAAACTATAACCAAAATCTCATTCGTTCCTACTGATTCACTTACTTCAAGTATTGTTTTTATGTGGAAATGCGATTAGACAGACCGCTTACAAAATAGACAAAGCATTTGCCACACTCAATTCGAATGATTTACATATGAAACGAATTTACTGCTTTTATTTTAAGCAATATTAACATCTTTGAAAAATGACATAGTAGAATTATTCCTTAGTGTTTTCTCAGATTTCTACGAATCGAAAATGCGAAATCAAATATTATTATAATATGTTTTTATTTATGACCGTGTTTTTATTTAGTGCGTCGAAAATTTTAGTTCGTGGGTTCATGGCCATGAAGGAATGAAGCTAAAATTAATTTATCAATCATGGGTCCGTGACCACGAAAACTGTAAATAGGCAAAGACAAAACAGTTAAGTATGATTTTCTACTCTGATTGTCCACCATCATTATTTTCTTTGTTTATTATTATCCTTTTATTATTATTGGTAATACTAGTTTTAGCGTTATCAATAGTTGGTGAATGGAGAAGTAAATAATTTTTTGGTTATATCTTCTTTTTATATTTTCCCGTAAAATGCAATCCAAGAAATGATCGCTGATACCTCTTTGTATGATTAAGGGGAAGCTATCCCTGAAATCGATCCTCGGTGGTTTATTTTTTTCACAAAAGTTTCACGATCCATCTAATGGTGTGTGGTTATCGTCGATCATGGACGTAATCCAGGGGTATAGCCAACCCTTTACAACAAGAATATCATATGAAAACCTGCCAGTATCCTTGTAGGAACACTCCGAGGCTTTTAATCAACTTAATTCAACATTTCCATGGCAATAACACTAACAGAGGAAAACGTTGCTTAGTGATTTCATAAATATAAGATATTCTGTCTTTCGTTCTACCTATAATTGGAAAATTTATAGATCTAGAAAAAACGTTTATAATATAATAAAATTATAATGAAATATTATTATTTATTATTATGGAAATCATAAGGAATAAATTTGCATTTAAAGTAATTAGTCCGAGCTGAGAATTTTACAGCGTTGTCTGAAATGAAATCATTGTTATGTTCTTGAAAGACGGATACAAAAATTATAGCAAATAAGAAATAGTGAAGTCATTAACGTGCAAAAACGGGGCAAAAACGTTTTCCAAATTTGGCTGAATTTTTTATAATACATAATTGCAAAGAATTTAACTTAACTAAATTACACAATGGTTCCAAAACAATAGTAACGTGGACTTCATCATCCGCACTAATGAGATCATAGATCATAATATGTATGCACATATTCATAAAAGTTACGTGCGCAAAATACTGAATCTGAATATAAGCATAATGTATTTAAAATTGTAACTGTTAAGTTTTTTTTTATTGCTTAGGTGAGTGGACGAGCTCACAGCCCATCTGGTGTTAAGTGGTTACTGGAGCCCATAGACATTCACAACGTAAATGCGCCACCCACCTAAAGTAGTAGACTGAAGGAATACAGAAAACTTATACTAAGTATTTAACACTTCTAAAATCTTCGTTTCTTTTGGAAGTTTTAAGTTAACAAAGATAAAATAAATTTAGTTACCTACGATTAAAGTGATTTTTATACTATAACTAATCTTACGGTAAAGTGCAACACATGATTACTCCGACGAATAAATAGAATTTTTCTCCTATCTATGCTGATAGCCTTGAGAGGCTATTTCAGCCTCGCCATAACGTGTGTAGGTGAGCTCACGGGGCTCAAACCGGAGTGTTGCTTACAACGACCCTAGCACGAGCAGTGCTTCGCAGAATCTACCACCGGATCGGAAACGCGACCCACTGAGAAGATCCGGCGAGAAACTCAGTGGGCTGTGTCTATGGCTTAACTCGCTCGTCGAGGCCTTCGTCGCAAGCGACAGGTTCGACGGTGACCGGTGCTTGTGGTGCCTAAAAGCACCGTTAATGGATCAGGAGGATCCGTAATGAAGTGGTACACACTGGTGCGGTTTGCAACATACTGCTAATAATTAATATAAGAACCGGGGAGCTTAGATGTCAGGAATTAAGTAGAAAGTATTATTAGTATTATTAAGGAATTAAGTATTCGGTGAAGATACTGCTACTACGGGCAGGTAACAATGAAGTATGTAGTTAAGTTGTAAGAATCATTCGTCACCGTAATCTAAATTGTGATTTTTTTTATTAAGAGTTGTACAGACCTTTTTTTTTATTGCTTAGATGGGTGGACCTGGTGTTAAGTGGTTACAGGAGCCCATAGACATCCACAACGTAAATGCGCCACCCACCTTGAGATATAAGTTCTAAGCTCTCAAGTATAGTTACAACGGCTGCCCCACCATTCAAACCGAAATGCATTACTGCTTCACGGCAGAAATAGTCAGGGTGGTGGTACCTACCCGCGCGGACTCACAAGAGGTCCTACCACCAGTAATTACGCAAATTACAATTTTGCGGGTTTGATTTTTATTACACGATGTTATTCCTTCACCGTGGAAGTCAATCGTGAACATTTGTTGTGTACGTATTTCATTATTTTTATTCAGTTTAACTTAAAGACTGATCTAGGTACAATAGTAATAATTTTTAACATTTTGTTTTACAATTTTCAAGCTGCTACTAGCTAAATAAATATAAATAAACCGAATAAAGCGAATAACACATGTATCCAGTTTTGTTATTTGCATTGACGGTCTGCTTCCTCTTAAGTAATAAGGTTTGCTCCCAAGAAGATTTATGCATACAGTTG